CTCTATATTTGTCATCGACTGCGTTTATTGAGTCCTGCCTTTGTTTGTGTGTTGCCCAGTGGCCTTACTTGGGTGTTCTGTAGGGTAGCAGTGCCTCCATGCAGTAACTCCAAGTCGTCCCCTTTGAATGACTTGACCCCTACGAATGCTCGAGTAGAACTTCGTGTTATTGCCATGCAAGAAATGACGATTGACTCATCTCAAGGCTCATGCATCTGCCCTGTGCCCTTTCTTATTTCAAATACGTAAGCCCCCCCCCATCGTGTTACGACATCTCCAACTGACGGCTGGGAAGGGACATGCATATGCGACGAAAACGCCAACGCAGACGTCCGTCAAGTCCTCGAGCCGAAGCCGAACAAATCCAAACCTCCCAAACCAGACAACAGCTCCGTTAAGCAAACCCCGCAGTTTTCAAATATGACGAAATTGATGCATGTAATTCTTGGCTGTCAGCTTTCCCCGAGTTAGATAGTGTCACCACCAGATAGAAGAAAAAGCGCTGTAGACATGTGTCATACGTCGTCCCTTGAGCGGGTGGCAGGAGTAGTGGCAGCAAGTCCCCGGGCCTGTTGACGAGATATATCTCGTGTTGAAATGTCTCGGCTTTAGTGATGCCAGTAGCCTATATGTGCCTTACTTACTTGGTACTTACGTGAATGACATTGACAGTTTAGCTTCAGCTCGTATACGGAAGCTTGCTGGTGACAAGACTCTCAGAAAAGACTGAGGGAACGAACCCCCTCATTTTAGGTACTGCTTTGTTCGGTCAATTTAAAGTTTGGCTGTTGTGTCAAGGTGTCATTCGTGATTCCATTCCCCCTTTCTTGTGATGCCGGGGGGAGGCTTTGCCCGACGACTGACGACGAGTACAACATGGCCGAGATCTTCGTGTGAACTTGGGGGAGAGGGGGAGGGGGAGGGAGGGAGGAAACTGAGTAATGGTCTTTGTGGATGTGTGACCTGCATGCACTATTACTATGACTTGACCCTTGAGAGCGGGGGTTTGAAGCCGCGTGCCGTAGGAGAGAAATGCGAATGCCCGCGGGGGGAGAGGGGAAGGGCTTTGCGGTCCGACGGAGGGAGGGAGGGAGAGATGCTGAGCTGTTCCGTGTAACACCTGGGGTTGGGTTAGGTTAACCTTTTTCTATTTTGGGTGTCGTGGGTGTGTTTGTGGCATCGATGTCTCTGCGTCAAACGGCGTTGCCTTCATGGTGTTTCGGTCCGGAGTTCCCAGACATTTCCTGACTGTCATGGGCTCTTCGTCAAGGCCACGTCTTCTTTTCACGAGGGGTCCGAGAGTCATATTGAGAGTCACATGTTGCCGAGCAAGTGAATTGCAAAGGGCATCGTATGTAATATGTTGGGTTATTTTTTTTTTTTTTTTGTCTCTTCAATTTCAACTCAGGTGGCGGAAAACTGTACACGAAGCAGCCCCTGGTTCCCACCAGTTCAACCCCCCCTCCCTCCTCTCTACTCTTATCCTTTCCTTCCCCTCACCACTCACTGTGAAGCGCCAGACTGCGCGGGGACAAATGGCTTGCCGTCTCCGGGGCCGATTCTCACGTCGGCGAAGATTTGTTTCGGCCGCAGCTCAACGGGGGTGACGTTGGCGGGCTGATCGGGAATCTTCTTTTCCAGTTTCTAATATTTGGCGAAATTTCGTTCAGTAAATGTTTCACGGGCGTATTATTGCAAATGGTGAGGAAGGGGGACATGTATATATGGGGAGATGTCGGTTGTTTTTTTATTAAGGGGAGACGTACCAGGTTCTCGTAGACGCACTTGCTGAGCTTCCACTCGGCGGGGCGGCATTGCCAGAGCTGCTGGTTCCGGTTGTCGAGGCATTCCCAGTGCTTGCGGAACTCGGCCAGGCAGTGTGTGTTGATGTCGGTGAGCCTGTATGCAATCTCGTCCATCAGTTATTCCATCCTTGAACAGGCGGATTCGGCCCCTCTCTCTCTCTTCCAAGCCCAGCTCTCCGGCATATATGTCTCGCTTCGGTCCTCCCGCAAATTGATGGGGTTTCGCTCATGAGCATCAAGAAGGAAAACGTACACGCTCTGGGCGCAGCGGGTGACCCTTCGGCCCTCCTTGAGGCAGTTCAGCTCGCCCTTGCCCGGGTTCTCCGTCTTGCACTGCATGTAGTCATCGTTGTAGTCGCGGCATCGGGCGCCGATGAAGAAGGACGCAGACAGCAGGGGCGCGGAGCTGGCGCCAATCTCCTGGACGGGGGGGATGCTGTCGGGGAGAGGCGTGGTGTCGATGAGCACCTGCTGGTGGAAACTGACGAGTTCTGTTAGCTGCTGCTGCTGGGTTCTCGCGGGAGGGGGGATTGTCGCCGGTATGGGGTGCCGGGACGACTCAATTGCGTCGCTGCTGGGTTCTCAAGGGGTTGGTAAACGTACTGAGACCGTCGTGATGCCATGGTTGCCGGAGGTTCGCGGTCGACACCTGTGTGAAGCCTGGAGGAGGATAATGGAGCTACAGTATGAGGTCTCTTCGGATGGGCTTAGTTGAAAGATTGTAGGTTGCTTGCGGCCAATCAGAGGCGACCGGGGGGTCAGCAAGCGCAGCCTCGTTGGTGTTGTCGCGGGGTACCTGGAATGCGTGAGAAATACCTGGCCTGCTGAGATGCGATTGTTTAGCGGGACCTGAAGCCTGCTGCAGCTGCTGATTTTGCCAGACTTTGCGCTATAATCTCTGTGAATTAGTGGTCGTGCGGTTGCTGATTAAGAGCGGCAGGTACTGCAAGTAGCTTCCATCAACGATGGCCGGAACTGCTGACTCATCCAAGTAAGAAGTCTTCTCTTGCATCAACTTCTTGCATCTTCCCTCATCCTCAAGTCCTATGAGAGGATATCGTTAGGTTCGGCAGAGATTGGACCCTCTCATTATACCAATCTGCAATTGCATCTTCTATCTGCATCATTCGGCTGTTGCGCCCTTCAGAGCTGCGTGCCGCGATTTGACGCTGATGACGAGCTGTGATTGGCTGAACGGTGGACAAGGCTGAACTGCGTGGCAGCTGGTACCTCCTGCATGTACCGCTGAGCGCGACCCTGGCAGCAATTTTGTAGCAACCTGAAGTCAACAAACTGCCCAGCGACGAGAAAAACATCCGCGCATCAACCTGGACGGCCCTTGACGCTGCCAGCCATTCGCCAAACGACAACCACCCCCCTGAACCCCGGAAACACGCATTGCAATACATTTTGCGCCTTGTCGCATTTCTTCGGCTATTCCAAAGCTCCTCTGAGGAGCTCGGCAGACACCCCTACGAGACCTGCGGTCTGCCTCTCTGCACCATGTCGCTGTTCGGACAAACGAAGCCTCTGGGCTCGGGAGGGCTCTTTGGCTCGGCCCAGACGGCGCAGCCCGCCCAGCAGACGCAGACATCCGGCGTCTTTGGCCAGACCCTGGGCGCAGGCCAGCAGGCGCCGGCGATTGGAGGTTCGCTGCTCGCCCAGCCCCAGCAGACACAGCAGGTGCCCGCGCTGTCGCAGTCACAAGCCCAGCTGTCGAGCTCTCTATGGCAGCCCGGCCAGGAGACGCCGCGTAAGTTTTCCTTGTTCCTTCTCTCATTGTTGCTTACAGGAAGTGTCGCGACAAACTACTGACGAGCCATGGTGATGTGGACAGACCAGAAGCCGATCCTGGAGCAGATGAAGCTGGTGACGGAGAAATGGGACCCTGCCAGCCCGAGCTGCGTGTTCAAGCACTACTTTTACAACAAGGTCGACGAAGCACACATCCCCTTCTACAAGCCCCAGCCGCACGAGGACCCTCGGGAATGGGAGGAGGCGCTGCAGAACAAGCCGGCGCCTGGCTTCATGCCCGTGCTGTGCGCGGGCTACACGGGCGTGGCAGACCGGCTCAAGACGCAGAAGCGCGCCATTTCCGAGTTCAACACGCGGCTGCACCAGATCAACGGCTGCCTGGATGCGCTGCTGCAGCGGCACGAGCTGGAGACGGAGACGCGAGCCCTGGCTGCCCGGAGGCGGCAGACGATGATCTCCAACCGGTGCCTGGCGCTGGCGGCCAAGGTGCAGATCCTGAGGAACAGGGGCTACGCGCTCAGCGGCGACGAGGACGATCTGAAGAGCAGGCTGCAGGCTCTGGAGCGCGACGTGCAGGACCCGGCCGTTGGCGCGCGGGAAGAGGAGCTCTGGAGCAGGCTGATTGTCCTGAGGGAGTACTCTGAGAGGCTGAACAAGGAGCTGGAGAAGCCGGCTGGGGCTGAGAGCGAGGGGCTGGACGAGGAGACACAGGCCAAGGCGAAGCGAGTAAGTCGAGGCTCTTGTCAATCGATGCTTGGGTCATGGGGGTATTTGGTGGCTAACAAATGGACTACAGGTACTGGAAGATTACGAGAAGCAGCTCCAGCATCTGAAAAAGGAGCTCGAGGCGCTCAACGCGGACTATCAGGAGTGGGAAAAGAGCAGGAACTCGACGTCGCGGTCGCGATGAGAGCTTCTTTCTGCGCAATCGAAAAGGTGTCGCGAGGAGGGGGCTTTGATTTCTTTTTACTGGAGGCATGATGCTACTGGTGTTAATCTGGAGACTTTTTTTTTTTTGTGTGTTTTTGACGTAAACCGGATGGGAACGTTGGTAGGCAGTTTTTGGTTGCCGTAGAAAGGCGGTTTGAGGCAACTTGGCTTTCAGCAGCTGTACCATGCTGTAGAATTGAATGAATCCAAAAGCGTCTTGTAAGGCATACGCCAAGTACTTGAGTGATTTGAACGAAGCATCATTTTCTCTTGGTTTGCCGAGTCGAGCGCTCCTTTCGAGTCTGTCACCACATATTCACCAACAGATATAGAGCATGTGGTTCTTGATTTCCCGTTTCTATCGTGCGTTTCGGTTCGTCCAATGTTTGTCCCAAATGACCCAACATAAGAATTCGTCTCTTGTCGTTCGACCTCGAGCGGTCAAGTCTATCGTACAGTGAGGAGATGAATGCCGTTGCTTGGAGTCGTAACCCCATCGGCAGCATTTACCTAGGTATCAACATTTCGCCAATCGGAAATACCGGCGCGGGCATCCGCCAATGGATCATGTGCCGGAGCGAGAAGCAATGTGGTGTAAGGTAGTGTTACATGATGTTTTCGTTGGTCTATATACGAATGTTTGGTCTTCTTTCGTGCCTTTTGTGGATGCGGGTTTAGAAGATGCGGCTGATCATGTCAACGGCGAAGGGAGCTGTTCATCTTGCGGTCAGCAACGGCGCACAATGTACGATTCATAAAAAGACATTGGTGCGCAAATAATAGGACATACAGAGGTAGAGCATGATGGCCGTGGCAGCGACCTGCTGGACGGTAAAGGTCGCTTCGGCCTCCATGGCGCGAATCTCCTCGGGCGACTGCTGCGGGGGGGCGACTGGACAAGGGCGAGAAAGACGTCGTCAGCACAGTTCACATGATCACGATGACGCGAGCTCATGAAGGAGAAATATTATCAAGTCTCTCGCCCATGATGCTGCTCTGTCTCTCGTGGCAGAGCCAGGGTTGGTTTCGGAGTTGGGCTGGATCTGATCGGGGTTGGGCGGCGCAAGGTAAGGTAAGGTAGGTACGTACATCCTCCAAACATGGTGATGTGATGGGTGCTTTGTTGTGGTTGTTTGTTGAAGTTTGAGTGCAAAAGGTGACGGATCGTTACGTAAAACGTGTGCGATTTCGGATGCGCGCCCACTAATTCTGCTGGGTGTACAAAAGCAATACAGTGTGCGATAAGGGAGAGAGAGAGAGGAAACAGAAAACAAGAGGCCTGGGGTTGGTGCGAAATGCAGAAGACAGGTCGGAAGAAGAGAGAGAAAAAGGTCAAGGTTTCTGGAAGAACTGATTGATGACCCTCACACATGCATCGAAAAAAAAAATATGATGCAGGGAAAAAGCTTGGTGCTTATCCGGGCTGGCGAATCAGATGCGGCGGCGTGATCGCTCAGCGTCGGGCCGTGAGTGGCCGATGTCGTTTGTGGTCAAGCGCGCACAGTGGAAAAAAAATTGGGAGAAGCTGATGATGGCAATGGGATCAAGGACCAACTGTCGATTATCATTTGTCTAACCGAAAACTTCTAGCCTGAGCACAAAAGAAAAGAAATGTTTTCGGAAGAAAGATTAAGCTGGCCCATTTGATGATGGATTTTTCTGATTGTTACTCGTACTACCAGTATTACTATCAATGTGGGCATGATTCATGGAGGGGCACTTGGACTATCTGGCGCTTGCGACTATGCTCCAAGCATATAAGTCAAGGGACTCTGCGGAGCCGAGCGGCTCCAGTATTTACGGAGTAGCAGTGCGAGAGTGTGAGATGCTGCCTGTTGTAGTAGTAGTTGTTGTTTGGTTGTATTACCTGTTATTGTATGTCCGGCTGGACAGGAGCTAGGACGGAGTACGGAGTAAGTCGTACAGTTGATATGCCGCGAGCTGATCCGGAGCGAGTCAATGCTGCCATATTCGGCTCTGGGGAGCCGCGGATAAGGGAGGGTAACGAGAGAATAAAGACAAAAAAGTGAGTTACAGAAGACAGTACCGTAAGACGATGCAAGGGACGGTGACAGACCGAGAAGGGCAAAAAAAAAAAAAAGTAATGAAAAAGTGAAAATGAGGCCCATCAAAGGCCCCCTGTGATACCCCGATCCCGTTCGGCGCTTTGTTGTTGTATTATCAGGTATTGACAGATAAGAATGGCCATTGATCCTCCGCAGGGCCAGCCAGCAGTCGGAGCGAAAGGGAAGGAAGGGGACCTGAACTAGAATTGGAAATAGCCTCACCGTCTTCTTCTTCTCTTCTTCTTCTTCTCATCATTTCTCAATTCTTCTCCTGCATCCTCCTCGCCTCCTCTAGCCTGCCTGTTTCCAGCCGCTCTCCCATCTCTCTCCAAAGTGGTCTGATCCAGCCCTTGTCCAGACGAGACCAGACGAATATAAGACGGGCTGCTCGTCGTCCTGGTCCGCTGCCGGCGAGGGCTTCCACGCTCTAGCGCTATCACGGCTGCCGGGCTGCCCCACGAAGATCCGCCACGGACAGCCATTCACGGGCCTGGAGAGGCGACGGTCATCTGAAATTTTCTGGGGGGGCCTGCGTGAGGAATTCGAGGCTACCAAGCGGCTACTCGAAATCGCGGCCGTCCGGGCGGCGTCGGTTCAAATTTCTTGGGGCTGGCGGCGGCTTGTGCGAGCGAAGTGAGTGAGTGAGTCCAGGCGCAAAGTGATTGTTTGTTCTGATTCTTATTCTCCTCCTTCTCCTCCTCCTCCTCCTCCTTCTCCTTCTTCTTTCTCTTCTTTCTCGTTGTCATTCCCTTGTCTAGTCGTGCCTCGTCCTCATCCTCCTCCTCTGCTTCGAGCTATCGAGGGAGACGCCTGCTTTCTCCGAGGCTCTGCTGCCGAGCATAGCATCTCTCTCTCTCTCACCCACACAGCCAGCCCGTCCCTCTTCCAGTGCCATTCACAAAACATCGTGGCTCGCCATGGCCTCCCGGCTGGTTCTCGCCCGAGGGGCTGCCCTTCGCCCCTCGCTCGCCCTGGCCCGCCATGAGGCGAGGCTTTGCGCGCCTCGTGTGGCTGCTTCTGTGTCTGCTGTCCGCAGCCTCACCAACACTGCCAATGCGGCCGCCGACTTGCACCGCGGCGACCGGCGTGCGGCGTACGAGGCGCTGCAGGATGACCCGACTTACAGGGAGATGCGCCAGATCCGCGCGGCCAACAAGCTGCCGTGGAAGGACTTCAGCGCCCGCCACATTGGCCCGCGCGACGACGAGATCGAGCAGATGCTCAAGGCGCTGGGCCCCGGCGCTGAGACGCTGGACGCCTTTGTGTCGCAGGTGATTCCCGCCGACGTGCTGGATCCGCCCAAGAAGACGATCCAGTCGCACGTCTACAGCGAGTCGGGCATCGTCAAGGCCTTCAAGAACATGAACGCCCACAATGACATCCGCGTCTGGATGAACGGCGGCGGCTACTACCCGGTCGAGATCCCGGCCGTCATCAAGCGCAACGTGCTCGAGAACCCGGCCTGGTACACCAGCTACACGCCCTACCAGCCCGAGATCAGCCAGGGCCGCCTCGAGTCGCTGCTCAACTTCCAGACCATGGTGTCCGACCTGACGGGCCTGCCCGTGGCCAATGCCAGCCTGCTCGACGAGGGCACCGCCGCCAGCGAGGCCATGACCATGTCCCTGACCAGCCTGCCCGCCTCGAGGCAGAAGCGCTCCGGCAAGACGTACGTCGTCTCGCACCTGGTGCACGACGCCACCATCCGCGTCATGCACGGCCGTGCCGAGGGGTTCGGCATCCACATCCAGGTGCTGGATCTGGGGGCGCCCGACGCCCAGGACAAGATCAAGGCCCTCGGCGACGACCTCATTGGCGTCATGGTGCAGTATCCCGACTCCAACGGAGGCGTCTCCGACTTCCGCGAGCTCGCCGAGCTGGCCCACGCCCAGGGCACCCTGCTGAGCGCCGCCACCGACCTTTCCAACCTGACGCTCCTGACGCCTCCTGGCGAGTGGGGGGCTGACATTGCCTTTGGCAACGCCCAGCGGTTTGGCGTTCCCCTGGGCTACGGAGGACCTCACGCCGCCTTCATGGCGGTTCAGGAAGGCAGCAAGCGACGTCTGCCCGGCCGTCTGATTGGCGTCTCCAGGGACCGCCGAGGAGACCGGGCCCTGCGTCTGGCTCTGCAGACGCGGGAGCAGCACATTCGACGAGAAAAGGCCACGAGCAACGTCTGCACTGCCCAGGCTCTTCTGGCCAACATGTCGGCCATGTACGCCATCTACCACGGCCCCGAGCAGCTGCGGGAGATGGCCATCAACAACCTGCGACACGCCCGCATGATCCAGGCCGCCGCCCAGCACTACGGCCTCAACGTTTCGACCCGCTCCGTCGACGCCGACGGCAAGGTCCTCTCCGACACCGTCGCCCTCCACTTTGACGACCCCGTTGTTTGCCGGGCCCTGCGCCGCGAGCTCATGGATCAGGGCATCAGCAGCGGCAAGGCCTGGCAGCCCAACGAGCTTGTCCTGGCCGTGCCCACCACCTTTACCCTCAAGCTCTACGTTCGCGTCGTCAAGGCCTTCCAGACGGTTGCCTACAAGAACCACAGCGACGCCGACCTCGACGTCTCCGCCAAGTACTGGAAGGAGGGATTCGCGCAGTCCTCGGAGGAGCTCATCCAGAGCCTGCCCGAGTCCGTCCGGCGACAGTCCAAGTTCCTCACCCACCCCGTCTTCAACTCCCACCACAGCGAGACGGAGATGCTGCGCTACATGTACCACCTCCAGTCCAAGGATCTGTCCCTGGTCCACTCCATGATCCCCCTCGGCTCCTGCACCATGAAGCTCAACGGCACCACGCAGATGGAGCTCATTGGCCTCGAGAATGCATCCAACATCCACCCCCACGCCCCCTACAGCTGCGCCAAGGGCTACCAGCGACTCTTTGATGCCACCTCTGCTCAGCTGGCTGCCCTGACCGGCATGGACGGCACGTCTCTACAGCCCAACTCGGGTGCTCAGGGTGAGTTTGCCGGTCTGCGGGCCATCCGCAAGTACCACGAGCAGCAGCCCGGCCCCAAGCGCGACATCTGCCTGATTCCCGTCTCCGCCCACGGCACCAACCCTGCGTCCGCCGCCATGGTCGGCATGCGCGTCGTGCCCATCAAGTGCGACACCAAGACGGGCAACCTCGACTTGGAAGACCTCGAAGCCAAGTGCAAGAAGCATGCCTCCGAGCTGGGCGCCATCATGATCACCTACCCCAGCACCTACGGTGTCTTTGAGCCCCAGGTCCGCAAGGTCTGCGACATTGTCCACCAGTACGGCGGTCTCGTCTACATGGACGGCGCCAACATGAACGCCCAGATCGGGCTCACCTCGCCCGGCGCGCTGGGTGCCGACGTCTGCCACCTGAACCTGCACAAGACGTTTTGTATCCCCCACGGCGGTGGCGGTCCTGGTATCGGCCCCATCTGCGTCAAGAAGCACCTCATCCCTTACCTGCCTCACAAGAGCACGCAGACGCCCGTGTCCAGCGCCGCCTTTGGCAGTGCCAGCATTGTCCCCATCAGCTGGTCCTACATCTCCACCATGGGTATGTTTACTTACAACCTTAGATCTTATTCATCGCTTGCCCCAACTGTCTGCTAACTAATTCAATCCCAGGCGATGCCGGTCTGCGCAAGGCCACCACCGTCGCCCTCCTCAACGCCAACTACCTCCTGACGCGCCTCAAGGACCACTACCCCATCCTCTACACCAACGACAAGGGCCGCTGCGCGCACGAGTTCATCGTCGACGCCCGCCCCTTCCAGAAGACGGCCGGCATCGAGGCCATTGACATCGCCAAGCGCCTGCAGGACTACGGCTTCCACGCCCCGACCATGAGCTGGCCCGTGCCCAACACGCTCATGATTGAGCCGACGGAGAGCGAGAGCAAGGAGGAGCTCGACCGCTTCGTCGACGCCATGATTAGCATCCGCAACGAGATCCGCGAGATTGAGGAGGGCAAGCAGCCGCGCCAGGGCAACGTGCTCAAGAACGCGCCGCACCCGCAGCGCGACCTCATCCTGGGGGATGCCGAGGGCAAGTGGGATCGCCCCTACTCGCGCGAGAAGGCGGCGTATCCGCTGCCGTATCTCTTGGAGAAGAAGTTTTGGCCGACGGTTGGTCGTGTGGACGACAGTGAGTTTCACCTCCCATTCAGCAGGACACTTTTTACTTCAGTGTGCTAACCCTTTGATAGCCTATGGCGACACCAATCTGTTCTGCACATGTCCTCCCGTAGAGGACACCACCGGTTCCGCTTAAACCTAACTTCTTGACCAACAGAAAAACTAGGCTCCGAGCCTTTTTCAAAAGGGTCTTTTCATTCATCAAACATTTCAGCAATCACGTAAATATCACTGCCACGACATACATAGAGAACTATTTCTTGGGAGGAAGAACAAAAAAACAAGGGAACGGGAAGGGGAGTATATAACCATCTTAACATGGTTCTGTTTTTTTCAACATTCATAAGACGGCGCATAGCGGGGATTTGTCAAAACTTGATACACAAAAAAGAGAGAGAGGGAGAGATTTTCGGGTGTATCTTTGATTTAACAGGTTTTATAGGATGGGAAGCGCCGGCTAATCTCAACATTGGGACATGGGATGATGTGAGAGATTTCGTGTTTTGATATTTGTTTTTACTTTTGTTTTTAGATGTATGGTGATGGGGGATTGGGTTCAATTGTTTTGACCTGATGAGCAATACAAGTTAAATCAACTTGAAGGATGACTGCGATTTGTGTGCTTGTGTTCCCGCCTACCTGAGACTAGTACCTAGTAGGTAGTTTGACGCTTTCGGCCCAGTCATCAAGTCACCTCATTGCCACAAGCACTCGGCATGGCCAGGTTGGGAAGTGGGATCTCAAGTCCACAGTCATCATGACTTGCTAGGATATATCCATCGTATATGTACACCCCAGTTCCCATCAACCAATCGTTCACAGACTTTGTGTGTTCCATACGCTTCCCATCCTTTTGATATCGATAATTCACCGCCAGCTACACTTTCATGAAGACGGCAAAGACCCTTTACCGCGTGCTGGTGCCAAAAGACTCGTGCAATGTATAGGGCACTCACTCTCGCACATCGTCAGACGGCACAATGACTCTCAGCGAACGTCCCAGCCTGCTGGCAACAACGGCCCTATGATCCCTCGGATTCGGCAGGGCAATAAACGGCCCTTCAGATCGCATGCTCGTGTGGCTTGGCTCTGCTAAGCTGATGGGGGACATGGACGCCAAAAGGGGCTCCGACGATAGCGACGTGGGCGAGAGCAGTGTGGCATCGGAGTCAGAATCCTTTCCGCGTGGAGATGCCAGCAGAAGAGACCCGGAAGCAGATTGTGTCAGAAGCCAGATCTGCGGCTTCTTGACCTCCTCCTCGTCATCCGCAGCTAGTGTAGCCGTGGTGTCGACCGATGGGTGCCTGTCTGCGTCTCCAAGAAGGCAAGGCGACTCTGCGCTCTCCTTGTCCGCATCATCCCCTTCGCTGCTCTCTTTTTCACGCCTCGCATTTCGGCGGCGTCGATATATAACGTAGAGGGTGAGCCCCAATGTGTACACTGTCAACATTATCAAAATGGGGATAACAACCGGTGCGGCCCAGCGACGGGGAGGGTGATGCGACTGTTCTCTGGTCAACAACTGATGCTAGTCTAGTGGCAGCGATTCAAACTCACATGTTCTTTCAGCCTCCAAGGCGGAGAAGCCGTCCAGCTTGCGCGAGAATCTCGAGAAGATGAAAGCCAGAGGGTATATAATTCATCATCCAAGTGGTTTGGTGTCCATAAACACGTCGCATTCGCATTATTCATACCATCTGAAGAAGCCAGTTAACACGAGTTTTGAGAATGATCAAACTGGAGGACATCGTGATACATACCTGTCAGATTCGAGACCAGCTCATATACAACATCGCCGTTTCTGGGGTACGTAATCCTGAATAGTCCAAGCTCAGGTAATCGATCTTCATCTAGGGACTGATTCCACTGAATCGTAAAAAGATGGCCATTCGAGATACTATCGTTCCATTCTTCATTCAGAAATCGAAGACCAATACCCTCGGCGACAGGTCCACTAAGGTGATCTGGTCTGTAGCTCATAATGCGAATATCCCAAGGTCATGTCGTGGAGGACCGCAGCTGCCGTCAAGGAAGCAGTGGGAGCTGTAGCCTGTAAGTCGTGGTTGAGGAGGCAGTAGGTACCTATTGACCAGTTTAATTCTGCAGCGTAGGTAAACACCGTGTACCAGAACTGGAACTGGCTAGGACATCGTAGCTGCAGAAACCAGGAAGCCCAGCTTTAAAGTAATGATCTTCACTGCGGCGGGCGCTGAAAGGCTAGCAATCGAAGAATGGCTGGTGCACAAGACGTCTCAGTCGACAAGGGAGAAGCACTGCGCATCTAGTCATGGAGTTAGGGCGTCAAGTGCCGGAAGGGGGGGTGTCGACTGAGAGCGGCGTAGCCGACTGAGAGATATCGTGAAGAAAGCAGACAAGCAAGACGGCGCATACGAATCGAGCGGCACAAGGCGCTTCTCTGGTTGGACGAGGTCACGATGGTATCTCATCGCTTGTTAGCTCCATGCAAAGAGACACAGGTCATTTCACGATGGCTTCGCTCGCATGCCTGACCAGAGTCACTAGCATATGTGCCGCAAAAGGTACCCCCAAGGGGGCTCGGGTTAGTGGTGCAGCCATTGGACCAACCGGAGGGACATTCGTCCATGACTCTTCACGATGCGTCCCAATTACGCCTCCCACGCAGACACATCCAAGGCAAGCTGTGGAAACATTGCGGTAGAGAAGGGGAGAGGCAGTGCCATACGGCAGCAACACGAGGCTATAAGTTTCGCCGATGCAGACGGTTCCACCGTTGGTCCCGCGGATCGAGATGGTTTACTCCGAATCTCGTATTGACTATAAGGATCTTCGCCGTCTTGCGTCAGGATGAACAATGAGTTGCCGAGATTCGGGTAAACGACGTTGGAACAAACGGCTGAGGGCACATCGAGACACCAGAGGAGAGACCTGGGACCGGCCGTCTGAAGCAAGGCTGGAGCAGGCTGCGGCGATGCTCGTCGAGAGCGCGTGAGGATGATGTGAGAGAACCATCATCTGGTATGTAGTGGCGACATTCCAGAGCCATCAAGCGCTGGGCTCAGGGATGAGACATGACGAATGAAGAGGGACCGTTTGAGCACTTGCAATGGGGGCGTGTGAAGCAGAAACAGTTGCTTCTTGATCATGGCAGGAGGCGTGTCTTTGAGCAAAAGAACCTGGAAGATGACGAGAAGAAGAAGAAGAGAGAGAGTACCTTGGGCAGTTCTAGATCTTGTTACTCTCAGCTCACGTGCTAGCAGACTCGAGCAGTGCCTTCCCTTTGTGGTCCTGTCGACGTCCAGGAAGGAGGCTAGTACCCCACAGCACCGCAGCGTACCTGCCGAGCACCGCGGCAGCTGGAGTGGGGCTGCTGCTAATCGACAAGAACAAACGGAAGGCGTGCATGTGCTTCTACTAGCACCAGATTCTGGCGGGGCATCTCGACTTCCAGTTCCTCTGTAAACATCAACATCCACCATCACCAGCTTCAGCTGTTCATGTCAGCATCGCCACCATTTGGCTCGGATTAAAGCAGAGCTGATACCTTGACAGCTAAAGAAGACTAAAGACGTCGATATCAAGAAGAACCCGGATACGACTGCTGGTAGTTGCTGCCCAGTTCTGGAGCCAACCGACTCCCAAACAGACACGCACACGCATCAGAGCGCGAGACAATACGAGACCGCCAATCTCCAAGCATCGTCCCCACATTCTCCAGCAAGACCCTGCCCGCGAATCGGGCCTGGGCTCAACCTTTGCCTCCTCGCCCTCCCAACTCCTCCCGTATTCTCGGCATCGTGAAGTCCGGGCCCCATGGCTTCCAGGACGGGCCCCCCCGGCGGCACAGCTACCTATGCCGACTGCGTCGATTCGCTACGCAACTCGCTCAAATTCCTCGAGGCGTCCGTGGAGACGATTGACCGCGGCGTATCGGACTTTCCTCGCCTCATGACCGTCCTCAAGACAGTCCGAGTATGTGCTCTCCCCTCTTGCCCGGCTTGCAGTCACTGCAATGCAATGCACTGTACAGCGTCGTTGACCTGGCCACCCCTCTGTGGTTACCGCTTATAGCATTACGAGCTCATTCCCCAACCCACGCTCGCTGCGGCAGAGGCTTCTCTGCGCGATGAGATTGGGCCTTACATCGCCTTTCTTCTCAGCCGTGCCGATGCTCAAGTCGAACGGCAGGAACGTCGCATTGAGACGCTTAAAGCTCGCGCTGAGCTGCAACAGGGACGGCTCGCCAGGTCTGATGACCTCATGCGTGGCGTGCCAAAGACGTCTAACAAGAGCCGGCAGCTCCGTGGCGAGGACAAGCTACGCGCCCGCATCGTGCGCCAGCGCAAGGAAGCCCTACGATATGGCATCGAGAGGTTGGAGCTGGAAGTGCTCCAGAAGGAAAGAGAGTTGAGAAAGCGTCTGGACAGCCGGTAATGAGGTACTCGGTATAAGCGATCAAACATCCCACGACACTCTAAAGACGGCTCTCTGGATTGCGCGACTGCAAGACTGCCCTCCCCCTGGGGTTAAGTGAACAACTAGAGACACTACCGAAATTACCATGGCACTCCCTCCACAGCCACCACGACCATCCCGCAAGGTCGGCTTTCACGATGCCTTCATTTCCGCGAAAATCTTGCCTGCATACCGGCCTGATGAGTAGTGTCAGCCCTCCGATTGCGCTCTGGCCTGACCCGCCTCCTGCGCGCTCGCGCCACTGGGGCGAGCCATTATGTCTCGCCCCTTCAGCTTGGAGAACTTGGATTGAGCGCTGTACTACTCCCTTGTCTCGAAAGAATCTGGTCTGGGCCCTTCATTTGCTTGTACGGAGTCGGCTATGGTGTGGTTGGCTTTGCAAGCGCCTCCTTGGTTAGATGAACAGACTGCATTTACCACACCTCCTTGCGTGCCTCGTGAGCTTCCGGATTAGGAAATCAGACTTGTTATGACAATGTCACTGGGCTCTCATTATCTCCCTTGTGTTTAACGATGCCAATGCTCCCTTGTATGGGTACTCCGTATATCTATCTAGTCGTTCTTTGATGAAAAATTGATTTCCTCCTGCAATGTATCCAAAGAGGGGCAAGAAAGATAGGGAATGCTTTATCGGTCGGTTTAAAGCCCGCGAGGCAACATTGACGTAAGACGTTCAAGATTGTAAACTCGAACAGTACTTAAGGTACCCTTGTTTCTTCACCAACCTACTATCGTTATTGGTAATAACAAACACTTGAAGTCGTTGGTTCGTATTTCAGAACTTGGCATTCACAGCCCAGTTCGTCCACAGACCTGGATATAGATCACTTCACGATAAACTCTCGTAGCACGCAATCCAAAATAAAAAGAGAATCAGGTATCATTTTGAACTGTCATTCCAACATCAACTCCTTCCCTCCCCCCGAAAAATCGCATGGTATGGGACAGACATTGCCCGCTTGACCTTTTGAACTTTTTCAACTTACCTACCTACCAAACAAGGAGACTGCAGCGCCCCGGGTTTTCCGTATCAGCTTGTCTCGATTTCTTTTTCCTTTCTTTTTATCCCCCTGCAGAGTCCCGAAGTGCTTGTGTCCTCGGGGCGAGACTTGGCATGCATGCATACGTGCATACACGTCTGGCCTCCTTTTTCCTCCTTGTCTGCCTGGTCCACGCTCTCGCCATAGAAGAGAAGAAAAGGGAAAAGTGATAGAGAACAACAATAGATCGCAGCCTAGAAAAGGGGGCTGAAGAAGAAACTGACCGCGCCTCGCTGCTTTTTTTTCTTTTGACGACACCGCGTTCAGTTGACTGGTCCAAGTAGAGTCAATGAACGAACGCAGCAGTAAATGGCAAGCGAACAAGAAAGGGAGAAATACACAAGGGACAAGAAGAACAGCGTCTCGTACGTCAATGATAAAATGGACAAAAGAAGAGCAAAAACAAGAAACGAATCAGCATTGAGAATAAGAAGAAGAAAAAGGAAAAAAGAAAAAAGAGACAAGAGCCCCCACAAAACAAGGGATGCTTCTGATCGCATTGCCCGTCCAGTAAGGCCAGTCTCCAGTAATTGGTCTCGTCCAAATATACTCCATCCAATATATAACCCTAACCCGATTGCGCAAAGAAATCCCCGGGAGTCGTGACTCGAGGCGTGAACAGAAACAACCAACGCGGCATCAACGGAGGCGAAAGAGAGAGCGGGAGAAGAGGGGAATAGGAGGAAAGGGTAGTATCATGAGATGAATGCGACAAGGGAAGCCCTGACACGTAGGTGTCCTGCTATCCCTATCCAGCGATTGCTCACATCTGGCAACCGTGGTGGCTTCATCTCCTCTGAAGGGCACTTCCCGCTCAATTCTTTCGTCATAGCTCATAACAGAATGAGATAATTGCTGGGCGCGATACCCGTCTCTCCAGTCTCTTTCCGCGCTTGCCACCATCGTCCGCTGACATCGGATACTTCCAGAATTTCGTGCTTCGCAAAGGAGATTTCGTTCGCGTCGTCGGGATTGGCTTCGTAGCTGTAGATCGCCTTTGCTCGGTAAGGGTATTCGGTGGGTGGCACTACCTCGGCGTCGGGGCCGGTCACCTTGATCTGCGCTGGCCCAGCACCTCCAAAGCCGGGCACGTTGGAACCGCGTCCGCCACCGACCTGGGAGGCGCCGCCAACAGGCGAAGGATTTTCGAAGCCATTGAGCTGCGCAGAGGTATACATTTGCGGCGGCTGGACCGAGTTGGACGTTTCGGGGCGTCCCATGCCTCCAAAGTTGCTCATGGTCTGTCGCCCCATGTTGGCAGTAGACTCCTTGGTCAAAGCAAAGGAATCCAGGAAAGCGCGGGGCGTAGCGGAAGGCGTCGAACCAAAATACAGAGTCCACACAATCTATGCGCGCGGCGCATGTTAGCATACGCGCAAAACGATGACGAACGACCTGACAACCGGGCAGAAAAGGCGCGTTTCCAGCTCGAGATGGGACAACGTACCACAACCATGGAGAGAAGGATGAAGCCCGCAGCCGCGGCCTCTCTGGCGCCGCTCTTTGAGTACACCAGCGAATTGACCGACGACGTCACCAGCACCATGCCTCCGGCAGTATAGCCCGTAATCGCCACATGGTAGGTCTGGATCGTGTCGCTGCCGACGACGTAGAAGATGCCGATGATGAGGAAGAAGCTGTATATGCTTGCCCACCAAGCGAACTTGGGGAATGGGTCGTCGGTCGTTTCCTGGATCTGGCCGATAACACAACCGACAATGGTGATGAGCCACGCAAGCTAGGGCTACAGTTAGCTCTGACGCTTACCACTTCGTCGCAGACCTGTCAGCGAGAAAGGGGGGGGAGGCAGCGGGACGGGACGCACAAATGCAATGGACGTGGTGGCGAGCGCAAACGGATCGCCCAGGATGTTGCCCGACTGAAAGCCTCGTCGCCTGTAGATGTTGGAGTTGTCCATTTTGTGAAGTGACGGCGAAGTGACCGAGTAGGGGGGCATAAGAGAATTAGCCAGCTTGTCGGTTTGGGGGGCGAGCGGCCGGATGCGACTGTCGACGCCGCGATTGGATGCGCTCAGGGCAGAGAATGTCGTCGAGCGGCGCGCCGGTTGTCGATCAGACGGCGGTTTGTCACTTGGAAGGACGTGTTTTTTACTTTGGGTCGATTGGAATCCGCGTAGCTGGTGTCCGGCACAGCCGAAGGGAGAACGAGTGAAAGAGAGAAGAGAAGGAAAAAGAAGGTAAATGCGACCGCGACTGAGGTCTCGCGTGGTTCGCCGGATCGTCAAGATGGAGATTGAAAGAAAGAAGAGAAGGGAAAGGAAAAATGGGGGGAAGTCGATTGCAAGATGGAGAAAGAAAACGGGACTGAAGGGGAGGAAGAGGAAACGAAACGGCTCCGGGCGAGATGCGGCTGGTGGAGTTGGTGCGACGGGGTCAGAAAAATACAGACAAAAATACAGGCAGCTGTGGATTTGAATGTTTCGCAGCAGATCCGCAGAGCCAGAGGCGGCACAGAATTCCTAGGGACGGCGCTTGTGGCTGGAGGGATGGATGGATTGGCGAGCAGCGCAGTGCAGGACCGAGGAAAGGAGAGCAGACGCGGCGACGATGCGGTCCCCTAAGCTGCGAGGCTGTTGCTGTCTGGTCCCTGGTCTGTCTGTCCAGTGTTTTCGCGAGGAAACAAGGAGAGGAGAAGAGAACAGAGGAGGGCCGACAGAGGAGAGAGGCGTTGCAGGAGGATTGGAGGACGACGAGAGTGGAGGTACACGCAGAGTACCTGGCGAGGGCGAGTGCGCAAGCCGCCAGGCATTGATGCAAGCACTGCAGCGGCGCCAGCTAGCGGCCTGTGCCTGGCCTGGATCGCTCAGTCAGCGCCCGTGCCTGGGCCTGTCCAGCGCCAGACACCACCAGACAGCACCCACTCGTGCCTGGACCGTGGCGGGTGCGGAGCCCTGTGCGCCGGGGCTAGGCAATTCACGAGGTACCGAGCAAGTACCTGCCATCAGCGCGGGACAACGCTGGCAACGCAATCAACCGTAACTGCGCCTGTAGGCAAGGTAAGATTCGGGAGGAGTCGGCAGCCCCGTAACGCTTCGCCAGCCGGGATGAGGCCTGGGCGGGCGGTTGGTGCAGGGCCTGGAGGTGCCGTTGATGCGGCAGGGTTCATACAGTGCCTAGGTAGTGCCAGCGTCCCGGTGCTCTGCAGGCTGCGGTTGCGTCGCATCGAGGCTGTGCGAAATGAAGGGCTCAACAAGCATGGAGGCTCTCTGTTGTGTCGAGTGCCTGTCTGGCTCAGGTATGGACGGGATAATTACCTACCTGGCGATACATGCAGGCTCTCTGATTAACAAGGTAAGATACATGTACCTACCTAGTAGAAGTATAGTAGGTAATCACACTTGCAGTGAGGGCCTTCGGACGCTCTGCGTTTCAATGTCGATGACATCCATTCTTCCTCATCCAATATTCATCGGCCATCTCGCGCTCCTCTCCATCCTTCCGCCCTGTCTTTCTGTTCAATCTTTGATGACATGTGAGACCATTGGATCTGAACTGATCCAGTCTCCCCCCCATGACGCGCCACGCGAACACACGGAAGTCAGCCTGGGCTAGGAATGACAACACGTGGAAGCTCTCCCGCCTTGGAGCTGTGCCCTCCCTTAGGAATGCACCCCACGATTGCTTCACCGCGACAATCGCCCTCCCGCGCCCGTCTGTCGTCATTCGCTTCTCCACCAGACGTGAGATCCGCAGCTGTCCACGCCACGCACTGCATGCGCACCAGCGAACCGCCGGGGAAACGAAGCTGCGGGTTGAACTCGAAAGATTCGCGCACGCCGCTTGTGCCTGTACATATGCCGTGCCCTGCCACACGATATGCGACTGCCGACTGGCCACGAGATGAGGCAAAATCGATACCTTACAATGCAGAGGCACATGCAAAGATGACACCAAGCAGTTGGACAAAGCCACTTGTGCTCCGTGCTGCGTGCCGACAGTCGTCGTCGTCAATGCTCTCCCGCGCTTCCGAGAATCTACTTCTCCTCTTCCTCCTCGCATGCTCACTGACAACCCTCCATCTCTCCAACCGCTCTGCCGCTCTCACCAATCGGACGATGGCCATGGCGATGGTTTGAGATTCGGCACTAACAGAAACAGGCTCACGATTCTGCGGGCAACCCCAGCAGAATGCAGGGGAGTTGAGAGCTCCTCCACCGAGTTTCATGCTTCGTCTGGGCAGCCCCACCGGACACGGGTCTGCAGACATGGAAGACTGTCAGCCAATAAAGTCGAGGCCTTGGACGGCTCAGCGATTGAACGGAGTCCATATGTACAAGTACGTGCATTGACGACTGTCACCGGCAGGGTGTTTCTCGACGATGCGCGTGGTGTGAAGCCGACCTGTGCACAGATACCACAACGGAAACTTCCTGCAGCCGTCGAGCCGTTTTCCTACCTACTGGCCAGCAGACTGTTTGATGGCGTCGAATGACTGGCTCAGACTGCTGCATGCCTGAGGCGGCTCACCAGATAATGCGCAGAGAGATGTCGTGCATCCCTTTGGCCCCTCTCCGTAGACGCTGCGGCAGGCATGAGACGGCAATACATAGCTGGACAGGTTCCAATGACTGCCACGCAACTGCACTGCGCAGCAGATCTGCATGAGGCGGTCGTACTGCCCGGCTTGTGTCCCGGCTTACAGGCGCTTGAGCTGAAGTATTGACGAAGAGCCATTGCGTGTGATCGCCAGGAAGACGTACTGACTCTAGGATTTCATCGAGGTTGTTTTGTGATTGCATGTGCGGTGGAAGCTCTGTCGATATTCTCAACTGCAACGTCAGCGTGGCAGTGGCACGCCGTGGCCGCGGTGCAGTACATACAAGTATGCATCCAGTGTGAGACAAGCACGCGATGAGCCACTCGTGGATGGTGATACGAGAGCTTCGATGCAGCTGGACAATGGCCATACACTTTGATGGAGGCCAGCCAGTATGCGCCATGTTTTTCCTGATCAGATGCAACTATTGGTGGTTTCGTCACTATCACAAATCAATGTGTTGCTCTTGGACGCACATCACTTCACAGACTTTCACCCCGTCACCACCCTCTTTCCATGTATCGTGATGCCAAATAACCTAATCAACTGGTGAGGATACTGGAGGATATTTGACTTTCCGACGAGAAGGTAACAGAAGCACCTAATTTAACCTGTCCGGCGCCCATCACTCAAAGATATCTCAACCTTGGCTTTTTCTTCCTTGCAGTACGATAAAAAAGTATGTTGTAGTGTACAGTACTCGTAGTCATCGAGCGACTTCAAACTCGCGTCGTCGAAATTGAAACTGGCCCCCGTTCTCCATCATACTTTACCTACCCCTGACTAGACCCGTTCGGCGGCCTCTTTTCAAGGGCTTCCAGTTTTCTTGGCCCCATGCGGGAACTGGGAGTACGTAAGCAGAATAAGCAAGCGATTTGTACGGGTACCTTAGTAAGTAATAAGCCGAGAACGAAGAAAACATGCGCTTACATGAAAACCAACCATGTGCACACAAATGCGACCTTAACCACCACAGACTCTACCCAAACGGTGCTCGTGTTAGTCTAGTGTGTGCCTAAATTTCCTCTGCACTCCCTCCCTACTTTTTTTGCAGAAGCCCGCCGGCCTTTATTGGCTAATGAGCAAGCACGTGTCAGAAATGGTGGGATGTTCTGACTTATTCCTCTTTGGAGGCTCAGTTTCGAAGCTTGGCTTTTTGCGAAAAGTAAGACGCCACCGTTCTTATTGTTGGCAGAGAACAACTTTCTTTTCCTTGAGTTGAACTTGTTCAGCCTTGGTGGTGGTGGGTGGTGAGAAGATTCTTGGTGTTTCTATTGTTGGATCTGTGAAGGATGTGTATCACGCGGTCTTCTAGACTGGGTAAGTCGGCAGAGGAGACGGACTTTAGTCGTGAGAATGGTGGGAGTCTTGCATTGCGCCTTGGGACCATCTCACTGTTGTCGGACGTGCCGAAACGCGAATACATGTAGAGAGGATGATGCATCGTGATGTTGTAGTTAACTGGTTCGGGCTCTGCAACATCTGCTTTGAGCAACATACTTGGCACAGGGTTTTATCGGCGTTGGAGGTTTGTCGCATCACATCACCCTTACAAGTTGATGTTTCTGTGACGGCATGGCCGGTTGGGGTTCTCATGAACGGATCATTCCGACTGGCAGAGCTGTCTAAAAGTTTGGCCGACGTCTTGTCCTGATCGGCCTTGGAATACATTGGAAGCGTGAATCGTGGCAGTGTCTATTCTATTGGGGGTATCTGTCTTTCATTATGCGTTTCTCCTTGTATTCAGGGCAGCAGTGCAACAGCTGTCGATGTCCATACGTCGTGTCTACGTTCTCCTGAGAGAACGCCCATGGTCATTCCTCCAAGCTGCTTGGAGATAGTCTCTGTCCCCTCTGACAGCCTGATCCGCTAGCTTACTTTCAAGCAATGCTTGTGATAATGCGAGTGCGGAGCTGTATCCGTCACCCTGATTGAAACATGGTCGTGACTGGACAGCTACAAAATCTGCTCAAGATAATGTAGCTTTGGTGCTCATGGTCGAGTAGTTAGTTGGTACCACAGCCAGCTGCCTCCGCTCATTCTTCGTGCTTCTCCTCTTCGAGTAATCGCTCTCTCCTCCTCACTTCACGCTCAATCCTCTGGATTCTGCTCTCCGAGTGCGCCAACACTTGGGAGCCCACCACTGCCCCGTTCTCGTACCACGATCGCACAAGCGCCTCGCTTCTACTCCGGAGCGCGGAAATCTCTGCGGTCTGGGCAATCTGCGTAGCTTCAATGGCCTTCATGCGCTTGGTGAGCGCGATCAGGCTGGCGCTGGCGGAGGAGTCGGGGATGGGAATGTCCTTGACGGCGGTGAGGGCGGAGAGCGTGGCGGGGAAGGATGACGCCGAGGAGAGGACAATGGATTGGACGGCGTCGGAGTCGAGCTGCGAGGGTGGCTGGGACGGAGGAGGCGCGTGGAAGAGGTCGGGATTGGACCTGTCTGCATTTGCGAAAAGGTCAGAGGCGATGCGCTTGTGTAAGGTAGCTTCGAGGATAGGTCAAGAAGTAGGCCGCGAGAAAGCTGCACTGACAGATCTTGAGAAGCTCCGCGTAGACGCGAATTTGGGAAGTCATTCTGGTAAATCGTCGCTCTAGGGCGTCCATCTTCTCGACCGCGGTCTCATGCTGGCTCTGGCTGGAGAAGGGAGAGGCGGTGGTGCCGTAGAGGAGATGCTCGATTCGCAGGAGGCGCGATTCGAGGAGGGAGATGGTCGCGAGAGTGGTTCTGTCGAGGGGGTCGTCCATTTCCGCCGACATTGTGCGCTGAATTATTGTGGACTGCGTATGAGGGTGACGATTGAGTGCGTTTGCTCTGTGGTTTGCACGGCACGGAGGTTCAGTGAAAGGATGGGAATATGGAACCAGTTTGTATGTCATTGGTTGCACGAGGTATGACGCTCTGGAGGAGAAGAAGCTGTTCGCTTTCGGGTTGAAGCTCCCCGTCCGGTAGCGGGCTAGTGCCGTGCGCTGTGATTCGTCGGTTTTAAGTGCGCGTTGATGCTTCATGCTGGTCCTTGAATACCTACCTCAGGTACCAAAACGAGCTTCATACAAATATAACTTCATGAATAAGTGCCTTCCATGATCATGAATAGGCTTTTTACGTAGTGAGAGCAATGTTGTAACCCCATGTTAGTCGTGGCATCGAAGGCTGTTACAAGATATCGCCAAGACTCGGTGTATCAGAACACGCGTGCCTCCTTTGATTCCGGCGCCTCCAGGTGCTACATGCATCTCCCGCCTTTACAGAGAGAGTATGGATCGCCATGAGACATGTCTGTAGACTACCTACATAGGTAGAGCTCCCACACAAATCAGGCACAGCCATTATACCGTGTTTTCGTGCGGTTCGTGGATTCAGATGACAGACGAGATGAGCCCTCGATTGCTGCTCTAAACATGAAGATACATAGGTACCTTACCGTATACAAACAAGTAAGGTACAAGAACAGTGGCATGTCTGCATGGAGTGGGCCATGGATAGTGACAACAGGTTCACTTGAAGCGCAACACGCACCCCGTTGGATGATGTCAATACAGAATCTACTCTCCATCAATTCTGTTCTGATTCTATCATCAATTTGGGTCAATTGTCTTTATCTGCCAGATGCATCATCGGACAGAAGACGGAGTGGCGCAATCGCAGTCGGGTTCGGGGTTCACTGAGTGCCACAGGCTCCAGCCATTCTGATTGGCTGCGGGTGCCGGCCGCCAGGGTCCGGGGCACACCCCCGCTGTAAAATGCACATGCAGTCCACTGGCCAGCCAGCACAGCGCCTCTCTGCCCCCCCGTCAGGGCCAATTTAGCAGTGAGCCGCCGTCACCTCTATCGTCAACCTCACCTCATCCTCGCCTCGCCGCACCTGGCAGCCAGACGCCGCTCGTTTGCCATCGCTGCCCGTCCCGCCGACACTCGCTCGCTCATCCGACAAACGACTCATCGCAGCGCCTCCGGACAGCGGCGATCAGATACCGCCGGCCCCTGCTGCTGTCGCACGATCGCGCTTCCGTCTGCTGCACCCAGAGTTTGGCATCGACCGCTGGTCACCCGACCAACTTCCGGCTGCGTCTCAGAGGCCGAGAGACACCTGCTGGGAGAGTACATCCAGAGGCCGCTGAGCAGCGCGACTGCCCGCCGTCTATGCTATAGCGAGACTGGCTATGACCAACTACCAGACCATCCCAGACAGGATCGCCTCTCCGGGGGGCTCCAGTAGCATGTCAAGGTGAGCAACAAGGCCGCGGTGGTGCGCATTCAGACGTTAAATGGCCGACTGACTGACTCGTCTCTTTCCGACTTACAGATCGCGGCGCCGAGGTGGAAAAGATGGCCATGGCGGGCAGGCCACGATGATCAGCAGCATCATCAACCTGCTGAATACCAGTTCGCGACCCCCCGCGTCCCAAGCTTCGATGGCGCATGCGCGAGCGCATACACTAACCTGACGGTGTGTAGTCGTTGGAGCCGGCACGCTTGCTATGCCCTCCGTCTTATCGCACATGGGAATCATGCTGGGAGTCCTCCTTATTCTTTGGTCGGGCTTCACCTCTGCGTTCGGCCTCTATCTCCAGTCCCGTTGCGCCCGCTACCTTGACCGCGGATCGTCCTCCTTCTTCGCCCTGTCCCAGCTGACGTATCCTAATGCGTCCGTCATCTTCGACGCGGCTATCGCCATCAAGTGCTTCGGCGTCGGAGTTTCGTACATGATCATTATCGGTGACCTTATGCCAGGCGTGGCGTTGGGCTTCAATAGCAACGCCGAGAAGATCCCCTATCTTGTTGACCGAAACTTTTGGATCACTGCTTTCATGCTACTGGTTATACCCCTGAGTTTCTTGAAGAGGCTTGACTCTCTCAAGTACACCAGCATAGTTGCCTTGGTGTCCATTGGATATCTCATCGTTTTGGTCATCTACCACTTCTCCGTCGATCCTCACGCCGATCCGAGCGACATCCGCGTTATTCAATGGGCTGGAGCCGTCGAGACGCTCAGTGCCTTACCGGTAGTCGTATTTGCCTATACTTGCCACCAGAACGTGCGTTTTCTGCTCTCTCATTTCCCCTGAATATCGCTAATTATTCCCAGATGTTCTCCATCCTCAACGAGATCAAGGACAACACCCCAGGCAGCGTCGTGCGAGTCGTCGGATCTAGTATTGGGTCTGCAGCGTCCATCTATGTTTTGGTGGCCATTACCGGATACATCACGTTCGGCAACTCCATTGTTGGAAACATTGTTTCAATGTGTAAGAACCTCTCTTGACCGGCACCATAAGGCCCTCCTACTAATGCGATGTGTCAGACCCCACTGGAGTGGCATCTACAATTGGAAAGGCTGCGATCGTTATCCTCGTATTGTTTTCTATTCCATTACAGGTCCACCCTTGCCGTGCCTCTCTCGACGCCGTCTTCAACTGGCGACCAAATAGGGGAAACACGAGCGGCGGCCGAGCTGGTTCCCCCCTGCTGACTTCAGCACCGGCGCAACGCGGTGACCATGGCAGCACTGCACCGATGTCCGATCTTCGATTTGCGCTCATTACTACGATTATTCTGACCCTAGCTTACATCACGGCTCTCTCCGTGAGCAGTCTCGACCGTGTCCTCGCCTTTGTGGGGAGCACAGGATCTACATCCATCAGCTTCATTCTCCCCGGCCTCTTTTACTACAAGATCAGTGATCCTGAGAGCATCCATCATCAGCGTTTGGCCAAGGGAGACGATGACATGGGCGGCTCAGATGAATCTGACAACGAAGACTCTGGCATGCTTGCCCAGAGCAGCCACAGCATTCACAGTGCCACCAGTGCCACGAGCAGCCAGAGCCCAAATGCATGGCGCTGGCGCAGAAAGTGGCGATGGGACCTGGAGCACCTCGAGCACGGCCTCTTACGCAAGATGGCATTGGCACTGGCGATTTACGGAATGATTGTGATGGTGGTCTGCTTGGTTATGAATATCTTCTTCGCCGTCTCTCATTAACTATGATACAGCACAGTGTTGCCCCTGTGGGGTCATATCCACATATCCACGGAGAGAGCGAAAGAAAGAAAGAGCGAAATTGAGAAAGAGCGAGAAGAGAGCTAGAAGAGAGTGAGAGAAGCTGGTTTATTCGTTTCTTTTTGGAAAGGCGTTTCTTCCTGGTCATGTTACAGTTTTATTGCAGAAGTTGTCGACATGCGTGGAGTTTAGACAAGGGTAGTCATTGGCGTCGAATCGTTTCCTTCATTTTTGCATTCCCTCCTTAAATTTCTGCTTTTGTTTCTCTTTTTGGACACGAAGGCATACTAGCTACGGGGAAAACGTACAGAGAACTATATACTTACAATTTTTCGGGGACGAGTTTCATGATGTCGCGGTGCTATGTGCCTTATCAGAGGAGACGTGGATTGACAATCATCAAGGTACTTAGGGAGAATGAATATGCTAAATGATGCACTTAATGACTGACTCAAATTAGCCATCGTTCTTCTGTCTTTTCCGTTATGTTAGCCTGAAAGACGATAGGGCAGCCTTCACCTCGAATAGGGGGTGTCCGATAGGGTGATCTCAGACATAACAGCTGCAAGTGGACGAAGCGATCTCTTGTATGGATATCACATCCATGTATGGCCAAACTGTGACTCGCTTCCCAACTTCTCTCAATAACGCCCATATCACATCGTGAGTGGTTACATGCCGCTTTCAACCCCCCATCAGATACAATCCAAGCCAGCTTCACACTGTTTGAAACAAGCTTCTTGTGGTATTCGCCCTCTATGTCAAACCGTACCCAACGCCGTTAAATGCCCAAAATCACATATCATACAGATCATCCCACAGTCGAATTTTCACATCCTCTCGCCTTGGACGGCCCTCCATCTCCTTGCCCTCTACCGAATCCTCACATCGCCCGCCTGGACACTACCCTTGGACTCGTTCTCTTTGGGAGCAAAGTTGCGCTTCGGCAAGATGCCAACCATGGAGAGCAACCGCCACGCCGTGTCGGTGGGCTGGGCGCCGACGCCGATCCAGTAGCGCGCGCGCTGGGAGTCGAGCTTGATGTCCTTGTGCAGCTTGCCGGAGTTGTCGTAGGGGTCGGGCTTGGGAATGGGATCGTATGTGCCAATAACTTCGAGGGGCCGAGAGTTGCGCGCAGTGCTGGGAAGGATCCCGTCAGTCAAGCTTCGGACTTTGAACTTCAATGGGAGCTGCCATCGTTCGAGGTGGAGTGGAGTTGATGCAGTTGAACATTGGCTGTGTACATACCGAGCATGGGCCACGACGATGTTGTAGAAAGGCGAGTTTCGGCGCCCAAACCGGGCAAGGCGGATCTTAACGACCATGGCGTATGTATGGTAGGGGCAATGCGAGGCGATGCTTCACGAGGCAGCGAAATCTCGGTAACCACAAGGCGATTGGCCCGTTGGTGGTGGTGTTTTGCAGATTGGCAGCAAGAAAACGTCGTTCGATCCGGAGCAGCAGTTTCGCCGCCCCCACCAATCACAGCGCACGCGGAGCAGGACCCGAAAATCGCTGACATCACGCTGGTGTTATTACGGAGTACTACTACCTTAGTATAAACGGCAAGTTCGCTTTCCACGACATCAATGACCATTCCGGGCAGCGACTCAAAAAGCAGCCTTTTCATCTTCAAGAGACACAATCGCTGAAATCGGAATCTCACAGCTTTACGACCTCAAAGACTGTCCGCACTCGTCCTTACCGGATTACACCATGGCTATCAAGGTCTGCCCCCATGCTTCTTCTCTCATGCATCTGCGTCGCTGCTTGGCGCTAACCGTTTTGCTGCGCAGACCCTCGGCGCAAAGGCCGCGGCCGCGCTGGACCAGGAGCTCATGAGCACTGGCGCCTTCTCCATCGACCAGCTCATGGAGCTCGCCGGGCTGGCGGTCTCGCAGGCAGGTGAGCGGCAGACGGTTCGCTGAGCGGGAGCATGACAGGTCTACGGTGATATGACCTGCACCCCCCCGGAATGGGATTGCTAAGGGTCACCTTGCTAGTCTACCGTGTCCAGCCCTTGGACAAAGGCCCAAGAATCCTGGTGGCGTGTGGGCCTGGGAATAATGGTGTGTTGTCCCGCGCCTTATCTCCTTTTTGCCGATGTGCAAGAGATCTGACCGAGATCTGGAAGGCGGGGATGGCCTTGTCGCCGCACGACATCTCTTCTATTACGGGTACAAGCCGGCAATCTTTTACCCCAAGAGAAGCAAGAATGAGCTCTACCAGGTAGGTCTGCCTTTTTTCTTGCGTCTGCTTAAGCTTGGCCATGCTTGTAGAGTATCGAATTTGCGAGCACATGCCATGTTTGAATAATGTTTCTTTTATCAATGTGTGCTTATAGGGGTATCTTGAGTGGTGTTTTGTCTATTACTCACCCGTCAAGAGTGAGCGTTGCTGGACAATGTTGGTTTTTCTGGCATTCGACTATGCGTCGTGGACGATAAAAAGTCGATGCCCAGTTGCTCTCAATCCTGCTTCGTGTTCCGTCCTTCATCCCCTTTTGACTTTCCCCTGCTCTCTGAATTTCGGCCCCCGAAATGGTTTCTCTTCATCTTCCCTTGCTCTTTCTCTGAATTTCACCCCTCCCAGAACGTTTCCCACGCAGTTGCCAAAGTTGCTAACCGTTGCTCGCAGCGATTGACGAAGCAACTCGAAGATCTCGAGATCCCGTTTGTGGATGACTTTTCGAAAGCCATGAACTCGACGGACCATGTAGTGGATGCGATATTCGGTTGGTGCCTTTTGCTTCGTGAAGCCACAAAAGATGGTCTTCTTTGATTGACGCTCGCTTCAGGATTCAGCTTTTCAGGTGAGGTTCGGGAACCATTTCCGTCCGTGATCCAAGCTCTCCAGGAGACCAAAATCCCCGTCACTTCAGTGGATGCGCCGTCGTCGTGGGATATCGAGAATGGCCCCCCAAAGACGGGATTAGGAAGTTCTTTCATGCCGACAGCTCTTGTCAGCCTTACGGCTCCTAAACCGTTGGTCAACCACTTCACTGGCCGGCACTTTATTGGCGGACGGTACGTACCTCTTGGCCGTTGTATGCGCTAATACGTCTCTCAGGGCTGGCGGGCTAACCAGCGGTTACAGGTTCGTGTCTCCATCGATTGCCAAAAAGTATAACTTCGAGGTCCCTCCATACCAGGGCGTCGACCAGGTTGTTGAGGTTGGGTCGTCTGAGCAGAAGCTCTGAATGAGCTCATCCAGGGGGTCAGTCAAATCCCGGCGCGTCCCGAGTGTTGCGTCCTTGTCGTGGCTCTCTGTATTTCCTTTGGTTTCGGCTGAACTTGGGTGTGTCTTTCCTTGATTGTAATCGTGCTAGTTGTTACATCACTTGGCAGCCTCCTCTCAGGCTGTTGGGACAGACGGGACTCGGACATCCGCCCTCACGCATTTCCTCGTTGACGATGGTGACCCCCTGAGGGCAGTCGCTGGAAGGCGGCCGGGAATCCGGACACAGAGCAACCAAGAGAAGATATTCTTTCCCGCAGACTGGGCATTCAGCCATATGCGCCGTGCACATTTATCTCGAGTAAATTGTCCGTCAAGCACGTTTGGAGACGGGGGTCAAAGGATGGTCAGGGGCAGGGCGAAGTTCTGGTCCTGGTGTTGGCAACATGAGCGAGACGACGCTTGGTTCCAGCTGCTAAGGAAGGTGGCCGACGAAGCGTGGCAGGATGGTGTATGCCCGGTAATACGGCCGTCTGAAGCTGAGCTAACCAACGAGCAAATGCGAGACAGGCTCTCCCGAGGAGATGGCCGGACCTGAAGATTTAAGGGAGGATCGGGGCGGGATGTGGCTTCAGGCAAGGAGGATTGCACTGGAGGTTCCTATCCGAATCGGAGATGGAGACGGAGACAGCTACCAACCGTTGCCACTGCCCTGGCTCCTCAACTCCTAGAGACAAGCCACAGCGGTCTTGAAGGGGGGGGGAGTGGACAGGCGGGCTTGCTTGCAGTGGCCGTGTCCCCTCCGTTGCGGCGTCCAAGATGCAAGATTCGCCGGCAGGAGGCACACGGGAGTTGCAGCGGCGAGGGAGAACCATTTTGACAGATAAAATCGCGGTGCACCACCCGCATTTCTTTGTGCTGGCTTGAGCCATGTGTGATCCGACGTCCAAATGGGACACAGCAACGAGCCCGGAGCAAAAGCTCCCTGCCCGCTGTGATAGGCCGGGGCGCCAGGCCGCGCTTACAAAACCGAGGCGAGCCCCAAGACGGTCCGCTTTTTCTAGAACTACCTACTGCCTTCAGGAACTTTTCATCATCTTATTCCCTCCGTTTCCTGCTCCTGACGGTACTGACGCCTTGCTGCAGAAGGATGGCTCCGGGGTCTGGGTCGGGGCTTGAGGCTTGGGCGTGGTTCGAAAGCCCCCCCCCCAAGCCCCCCTCGTGGCTGAAAATTCACCCTGGATGGACCCTGGCAGTCGCGAAGCACCGGCCATGCCATGCCGATCTGGATGTCCGGCTCTGCCCTCCTGGTGATGCCATTGGCGTCTGCCATGACATCCGCGGTCGGTGGCTCTTCGCAGCTAGCCATCGGCACATGTCTCTGGACGAAGCTGGTTGGGAGGGAGACACCGAATGGCTTACGCAGGTCGATGGCTACCTTGGTCGAGAACCGGGACGTGCTTTTGGTGCCTGCCCTGCAGAGCCTCGTGTGGCTGTCGAAGGGAACCATGGCGCCTGATAGCTACACTCGTACTACTACAGGACCAAGCTTGCTTCCTTGGCCAGGGTCGACCACCCCACACGGCCCAAGCCAAGCTATGGAATTGAAGGCGCCACGGGGTGGCGTTGTGTGGAGCTGTACCGCGTACGTGTACGGAGGGTGTTTGCACTCAGAGCAGCAGCATATGGCCCCCACCCGGTCGGTGTGTTTGGAGTCCGTTTGAGGAGCTGCTACAACCGTTCTCAAACGGTAGCCAGGGCGCGCTGGCTGACCGTGGCCTATCATGGGCAGTCGTCCCGTCCTCCTGCAGTCGCTAGTAGCAGCCCTGGTCGACGGACTGGATGGAGAATGAGGGCAGATCACCCTCGTGCGAGTATGACGATTGGCGCTTAACAACATCAGCATCACTTTCCATGAATGGTATATACCAGGTTCGACTCGCATCTTCGGCTTTCCCTCCCAACAGGCCATGTCTCATTGGGGCTACTGTACAGACGTGGTGATCAGACACAGGATGGCTTGGCAGGGTGTGATGAATGTGTTCACATGCTTCAGCCACAGCGGCGAGGGAGCATCGCAGCACAGGCATCAGCGATGGATGAGCAAATGAAGGATGCTACCTATGATTCAGTGCCGAGCAGTGCAGACGTACATACTGATCATCAGCTTGGCAGATATTTTCTAGGGCGACAGCAGCATCATATCTCTGTCTCTGAGGTCGATCAATGCCGCTCTCTCCAGCGCAATGACGCCAACGAGGAGACACATACGAGTATAGAAGAGCTGCACATCATCCAGCAGCTCATCAATACCGTTCTCGTATCTAGATGGCCATACGGTACATACGGGACGTGGACCAGGGACTAACGTCAGCCACATGTGGCGCCGAGCCGGGCAGCCCATCTTCCATATTGATCTACTCGATGCTAGATCCATCCAGGGACTTCCCGACTTCTAGCCAGGCGGAGTTCTCGAATTGGCTACGACATTCCATGGCCATGCAGCGGAACATTAATAATGGCGACCGTTGTGCCGGCGCCTCGGGACAGGTCGCAATGCAACTTCAACCTTTGTTCTTCAAAACTTGCCCGTGGGTTTTGGGCGACTACCGATCCTGAGTGCCTTGTCAGGATCCCGTTGGACCCCTGCAGGGGAACCCAACACAAAGCTCGACTTGACCACGGCGCTGCGTCCAAAATGGTCCGCCTGGAGCCAATCAGTGAGCGAGCTGGTGAGATTGCCCAGGATGTCGGCCCTTGCCTTGCGGTGTCTCACAATGCTGCCACTGCATGTGCTCGGTGAGCCTTGTCGCAGAGGCAGATCCGCGGGATTGTGATCAGACTGTCCGCACATTGCGGCAGTCTATGTATGCTAGTACTATTCTCGTGCTGAACAGCTTGCAGATCACGATCTCCTCAATCCTGAGAGTATCATACATACAAACATACCAACATACATACAACCATACTTACAGTATATACATACATACACACATACAACAAGTGCATACGAGGCCGTTTCGATATCCTCACAGGCCTTCCGTCTACCCACCCAATGAGCTGCCGTCACATGTCCTTCCGATGGCCATCAAGATGCCTCTGCCCGGCGATCGACAGTGGCGCCGGCTTGCCACCGCGGGCGCTATCAGAAAAATTTACACGGTCGCCACAAGTGCGGCTTGTCCCTTGTCCAGCTTGCGTGGCTTTGCAACCACATGCTTACAAGGCAACAAGCCTTCTCATCATCAGCCCATCAACAGCCCTCAGGACAAGGAACCGTTTGAACCGTTTGAACCATCGTCGAGCACCCATCCCGCCTTAGTCAGCCCCTTGGTCGAAGCTCCGTTTGCGCGGCTGACGAAATTTTACCCTCGTTCCCCCCCATTGGAGGGCGGAGAACGTCGCCGGGCTGGCGGTGAACTGGGGACTCGTTCTCGTTCGGTCTTCGGTTTTGCCCATCAATGCGCGCGTCTGAGACGGATCTCTGGGCGCCCGGAGGAATTGCTCCTTGCCTGCCAGGCTTGTACGCAAAGGGGAAAAACTTTTTCGCCGGCTACTGACGATTTTCAACGCCAGGGACGACGGTGATTACATAAGGTCGAGGTCTGGACTGAGACGGCTTCATCAACGACGGGGAACCGGGTGGATGGAATGTGAAAGCGCGAGTCTGGCAGAGCGGAAAGTGGGATATCAGCTACGGACCGAGGTCGCTCGTTGGAGGAGCTGTTCGATTAAGGTTTTTGCCAGGAAGGTGCCTGTGGCTTTGATTTTGACCTGGCTTCACTGGACGGCCCTTCAGGGGTGGGTCTTTATGAGTCTGCTCTCTCGAGGCTTATACGTGGCTAAGGGCTTCGTTGCCACGAGGTATCATGGCCTCATCGTGGCCATATTCTAGAACCTCATGGACGCAGTAACAGCAGTGTTAATCACACCGGGTGGTACAGTCGTTGAGGATGAACAGGTCTGGAATTGTCTCTTGAAACCCGACTGATCGACTTCCACGCAAACTTCGTCGTCAAAGGATGACGCCTCGAGCAACGGCTTCCAACCCCTGGTGGACACGAGCAAGCGGAAAGCCTCGCCTTTCACGTTCATTCCCTCGGCGGGATGCTCTTCTCTGGACTCTGCCATGTCGGCCAGACTGATCCGGCTTCAGGGATTATCAAAGCCGAGTGGCAAGCGGCCTCGGGTTGACGACCTGGCTGGAGAAACTTTGTCAGTTCTCTCTATGGAATTATACCCTGATGGCATATCTGGCCTCTTTTCCATCGTGTTGATGTGGCATGTATGCCGTACTTTGGTTTTGGTGTCGTCCCTGCCCCACTGATCATTTGAGAAGACGTGCCCTTAGCTGTTGACAGGCAGGATGGTTTCGCGTTACGGTTCTCCGACCGGACCTCATCTCCGGCTTGGATCCCAATGGGACGGCATATACGGTTGCATCAAGTGCTGCAGCACAGCCGATGTGTCAAACATGCCATCCATTGCCGCCGTCTCCAGTCGATTTGGCACATGACTGTGTGAATGAGTCGGACTCAAGGGGGCTTGCTAATGCTGCAAGGACCTTTCGGGGCATGACAACCCGCGTGCTGCCTACGGACACGGTGGCATTTGATGCCAAGTAAGAGCTTGAAAGGACGCTTCTTCCGGAGGATTCTCTTGAAGAAGTTGCTAATGCTTCTCCTAGGGCGTGGGAGGTTGATAGATGACACATCGATAAGCTTGGATTTGTGTGTTCCGCCGAGGCGGGCTTGCAGAGCGGTATCTTTCGAACGTCCTAATGACGGCCCTGAAGAGGCAACTCTTGCGAATTTGGAGGTGAAGCGAGGCATCCTTGTTGCCGCAAACGGCTACGTTTATCTTCAGGGACAAGGTCACTTGCCGTCGACGCCGAAGCCCCTCACGGAGTGAAGACTGCCATCGTGCCGTGGCGGTGAGTCCACTCGCTTGGGTTGCAACCTCTCGGCCGCTATCTTGGGCGCAGTGGGTATGAGGTGAGGAGAAGCCCTGACTTGCGAGTGCGAATCGGAACAGGAAGCCGCGCTAGAGAAGCAGTTCTGCCCAACAGACGTTGGCTTACGGGGAAGTCAGGGGGGGTTTGGTACATGAGCTCTTTTCCCTCTCGGCCCCTTGCAACGGCCGCCGTCTTCGCATGCGGTGGAGTAACTTTTGTAATGGGAACTTTCTCCTACTGACTATGTTTTGGGAGGGGAGAGGGAGGGGGGAGAGGGGGAAGGGTAAGCGTGGAAGGATTGAGGATGAGGAAGGACCTGTTGGGAGGGGACTTTTGCCTGTTGTGGGCTTATCAGATGCCGGGTGTTCAAACGGCTTGTTGCTCGATATCATGATGGGTGCTTACTTTTGGTTGAACGGCGAGGGTAGGTGGATGATACCGGGTGAATGGAGATTTGGGGGATGCTGAGTTATGAGGAAGGGGTTGTGAAGTTGTGTGATGATGGGGCTGGAGAATGCCGGGATGGTTGTCTCATTGCTGTGGTTGGGTGGGGATGAAGATTTATGAGAAGTGTATGGTTGGAGGCCGCCCTTGAGCAACTCTGTTTGCCGTTTCCTCATATTGATGCCCTCTTTTCACTTTTGAATTTTACTCAGATGAGGAGATATCATGTGAGGTTTTCTGATGTCATATGGTAGAGACGGATGGATCTTCATGGGTGAGGTGGAGATGCTGGTTGGTAGAAGGTAGGATCAATGTCCTGTCAATGTGGGCGACGCATATGATGGATGGTTGAATCGGTAAGATGGCAACTATCAGATGGCTACTCGTAGGGTCTAAGATGATGGTGAATAGACTGGACTGGCGTTTGGGAGAGAAATGCCTGTTCGGGCGGTCGTTTGACAACGACTCTCGGGAAGGCAACCCTGGGGGGGTGGGCTCAACGATATGCTTCAGTGGGATACGAGAAGCCGGAACTTTGCCTTGAGAATCTGCGTACGACTACTAAGAGGTGTATGAGCGGTTTGTGAAGTCAAGTATCGGGCATGAGTGATAGACATGAAAGCCAACCTTGTGAAAAGAGCAGACATCTGCTCAGCTAGGATCGCTTAGGTGACACATTTGTTGTCAAGACTTACAAGATGTCCCTATGAAAGAACAATGCCTAGCATACTCGAGTCCCCTTTGCCTTTGCTATTGCTAGCAGGCAGAATACGATTAAAATTGCCATATCTTGTTGCCTGGGGGCGAAAAGCCCCCTGCCGGACGGGTGAAAGACGGTCTCGGCGGAGGGGAAGTGGATACGGATTCGCCGTTGCTCCGTCCGGGTTCGGGGGGGTTGAAACGGCCCCGCCGGAGATGGGATGAGCGGAGGGAGTGGTGGGAGCGGATATACTTTGCGCTGCGACTGAGGTTTCACACTGTTCAATGTACATGTTTCTTTCAAAGATGGATTTTGTTATTTTGGGTTCTTGGGTTGTTTTGGTTTTGGAAGTGTCTTGGCGTGGTTGTCGTGTGGTTCTTGAGAATTGGCGGTTTGGAGAGGGTGGGTGGTTTACCCGGGAGGAGGACTGGCTTTGGAAGTTTGGGAAGATGTAGTGTTTGGCTGAATGGACGGCATCTTTTCTCTGTGTCAAGTATGTCTATCAAGTACTTTTCTTGTTTAATGCCAATTGACAGTATAGGTAGTTTTGTAGGTAAGTGATATACTGGCTTAGCCTGGGCCGTTGTATAGCATCTCTGGGATATCTGAGCTTGTGTCACTGACGTTCCTTGAAAAAACAGACAGACAACCCCAGACTAGGTCATGATAGGGGGCGTTGTGAGGCTCTCTCTTTTTTTTATTGCTAAAGGTAGCGGTTCTTCACCCAAATATGTCCGAATGTTCAGAGGGAGGGGGGGGGGCGTCATATGGTTCATGCTTACAGTACTGCTGATATGTGTTCCTTTTTAAAGAGTCAACTGAGTGTTTTGGACTTCCTGCTCTTCAATAGTCGAACCATTCAAGTTGAGACTTAAGGGAATGTGATTCCTTATGCGTGACGTTATTATCTGCATTCTTGGTCTATATTGATATGGGAAAGCGCATACAGCAGATCATGGTGCAAACATTGCTTGCAGCTCTCATAGGTACTATAGGACAGGACCGGTATATGAATGAAGAAAAGTCGAAGTGAACTAGACAAGGATCTCTGAAACATACCATTGAAGAATCTATTGAGTCGATGCATGAGCCTGTAAGGATGAGCTTTCGCTGCCTGGCTGGACCTGCTCTTGTGAGTCCATGATTTAGCGATTTCGTTTACCACTTTACGAGACTAGGGTTCTAGTTCTTTACTACAGCTCGGACGAATAAACGTGTCTTTTCTCTCTTCAACAAGCGAAGCGCAATGCAGCATCAAAGCAGCGAACCGTTCACGAGGGAACATGACTTCGAGAGGTCTCGCATCCTTTGATCACTTATATTGATCAGCACCCAGTTTGTCAGACACCTCGCCTGAGCTCATCTTGGCCAATCAGCCTTCCAGCCACACTTGACATTTGAATCTGCAACTTCTATCTTTTGCCAACTCGAGTAAATCATCTCTCATGTTTGATGCTGGTTCCAAGCCACAGACGTCAGGGCGTCGCGCACTAGTTGTTTAATATGTCTTAATCTAGGTAGTGGTATATATATAGCTTCGAACAACTCACCTCAAAAGAAATGCGACGAAGCAAAGCCGTGCAGCGCCCAGAATTAAGCGGAGCTGTCATTCACGCATATTATATACCTAGTGCTTCATAGAAGTACAGCCAACTACTTGTTCGATATGGCGTTAATGATGGCCCGTATGTGCTTCGTATACGCCATCAAAACATCAAGCTCTTCTACTACACACTGGCCAACCCTATCCCCCCTTGCCACTAAGTCATAACTGCACTTTGCATGGATATAATGACGCTTGATCGGCAGTTATCAGTATGTGTCCAAACATCCAGGCCATGGGGAAAAAGGTATGGATTCATTGTCTGGATGTAACAAGCAATTGGATAAGGCTGAGTTTGGAACGACATTACCCGCTGCAGCCCGTTCGTCGTCAACCCTGCTTGGAGAAAGGCGAGTCTCAAGTCACGAGCCAGAAGCATCGTAGGCCAATGCCGTATCGAAACCAGCCACTCTTGCACGTTCCCGATGACGTTGGCCAATCCCCAACACTGTTGGCACTTCTCCCACTCCCGTTCTATTTGCGCTCTAGCTACGTCTTTGGCATCCACTCCGTGGGTGCAGTATGTGGCCGCATTAGTTTACGCATCTGTACATTGGCGGGTAAGAGTATTTAGCATGATGTCAAGGGCGGGTTCATCAACCAAGGTTCACAAGCAGTGGTGTGATTATGCTACGAAGACAAACGGTTCATGATAGAAAGCTGGGGGAGGGGCGCATGGAAGCTAGAGACTCTGGATACACTGTAGAACCACAATACACCACAAACCTTTCCGAACTTCTGGGGCAATTTCAGGTGTTCTGTGACGATAGTAAGAGAGGATCTATGCCACAATCAGAAGAAGGCTGGTGGTACCGGTTGCCCAGACCTAATGCTACAACTTCCTGGTCACTGAAGATGAGTATTGTTCGCAGACTATGGAAGGAAAGAATGGTTCTAGAAGTCACACTTTGTAGAATCCTTGTTATACCTAGTCTGCTGCCGAGACCTTTTGTTTCCCCGCCCCTTGTCTCGCACTCACACAGGGACCCTCTAGAACTGCGTGGCAGGTCCGGGAAGTTGGGGCTAGGTGATGCTGGAGGATGTGCCGTCTCGCCTAATTGAGGTTGCACTTGTCGACGCCGTGGCTACCGGAAACCAACACATACACGAGAGCTCTTGAAGAGCTTCATGTTGTCTTTGAACCATGGAGAGATTTAGCACCAATTTCCATTTCGCGGCTCGGACGGCTTACGTTGTCGGGCTCGAGGGGTGCTCTCTATTTGCAGAGAGCGTCCTGTCGTTTCATCGTGTAACAACGTCAATTTGGTGAAGCTTGGCCGCCGGCGTAGTCGAGGTGTGATCGCTTACACCATTCATTCTATGCATTACTCGTGATGAGCCTGCTTGTCCTCAAAAGTGGCTCTGTTATTACTCAGGCTTGGTCAAGATCTCGATGAGCATCCCATTTGGAAAGAAAGGTAATACTTCCGGGACAGTGGAAGGCTACCGTTGCACCCAGCTCGGGCTTCCACTGGAGCGGTTCTTACAAGTATGCCGGTCCGCTGGCATGCAGTCAACACCGGATAAGTGCGATGCAGATGCACAGGCTATGTTACATGACAAGTGCATGGTAGCGGGTACGCGGTTGTTTAGGTATCTACCTTACTTACGGCATGACCACGGGACAAATTTGCTGTATAGCAGCTGCTGTTTCCCTGAGGTCATGGCGAAAGGCACAGGTACTGTAGCTTTGATGTGGAATAGCCTGCCGGCAGTTGGCCGTTGATTGCAATGTTTATGGAGCATGAATGCATTGATGCGGCGGCCGCATGATACGGGCTCCAGCCATTATGTGAGTCCGCAGTATGGGGATAGTCTTCGCCAATGGTCACCTCTCAACCATACTTTGTTCACCCTCTTAGTTATCACGTAGCTCATCTTCAAGACAATACGAACCCGCAGTGTAAGATGTATTCATAGTAGTAGAAACATTGTGGCTTTACCTAACACACACTTGAAGATTTACCCATGTGCCCCAAGGTCGTACAAAGGCATACGTTTACCGATGTGTAGCACACATAGTGATGCTTTCTACACAAAGACATGTTTTCCGACGCTTCCAGAGCCTTTCTGGGCCTACAAAGCAGTGACCGGGTACGGGCATCTCCGTGCTTGCAGGGTGCCAGGCAACCCGCCCAAACGGGCCGTTCAGGGGGGGACGGACCCGGCAACGGGGCGATGGGTCGGCCGCAAAGCTCCTCCATCCGTTTCAACCAGCCTCTGAAGACTAATCCTGCAGATCAAACTGACAAGCGAACAATCAGTCACTAGCTGCATATGATGCTTCAGAGTGTGGTGCTTTGCCGCTGCAGTAACAGGGATGTAGACGAGGTTAGCTTAGTACAAATCCCGCATAACGGGACACGAGCGAGTCGAGGGGATCAAGCTCAGGTACTACCATCACAGGCTGTATAGGTAATCAAGCTGTAAGAAAGGTCTGTTCCTCCGACAAACGCGAGGGTTGATATAGTCGCGCTTTGGATCAGTGGTGCTTTCCGTTGTAACAAGGTAAGGGTCATGCCAGCCCAATTTGTAGCTTCATGGTGCCTACCGAATGCGCCTTGATATTACATACTACCTACGTGTAGAAACCGGTTCGGCATGCATGCGTCAGTTGTCATGTTCTCAATTTTGGGGAAAAAACATCCCATAATGTCTTAACAAGGGCAAAGACCGACGCTCGACTTGTCCCTGACTTCTCCGTTTGGCAAATACCGCCGATGCAGCTGCAGGTTGGCCGAGAGGGAGGCCAGGAACAAGGGCGAAGAGCGGAGTTGCGCGGCATATTCGTCGGTATTAAGACGTTTTCTGGAGGCTGTGGATAATTTCCGATAAAAGCTGACGTGCAGATAGACACTGTCTGATCAACTGTGCTTTCGAGCGTGAGGCAAGACGATTTGCATACCAGAACTGACACGCCTTGTGGGCTCTATAGCTCCCACGACAAGTTCTAGCTGTGCCCACAGACTCTGGAAATGTCAGCATTGTGTCTGAATCCGTCGCAGAGCACGTTTGCATCACGACGGTCCGCCCGTATGACGAGTCGAGTCCGAGCTGCTCCGCGAACCCGGTCACCAACAGTCTTTGGCAGCGGGGTTGTGCGTTGGCATCTCACCTATGCGGCCGGCTTCCCAAGCCGCCGTGGCGGGATGCATGCAGTTGAAAGCGAAGGGAGCTTTAGACGGGCATGACAGGTCAAGATGTCAAAGATTGATACCCCCCGTCAGGGCTCGAGGTCTGCAACTTGAGGCACGCGAAGCTCCACTAGCAGGACGACAACCATCTGTTGAAGTCGACATGTCGGATGCAAGCAAGGGACCAGATACTGTACATGATGCTTCAAAAATACAAAGCACGCAGACTGCTGCCTCCAAGTTGCTCGGGGCCGCTGAAGCACTCGGGAGGCAACCCACCACACGCAGATAGCATTCTCATGGAAGGGACCTGCCGGGCTTCAGACCCTTCGACGTTCCTATCCGACCGTATCCTCGAACAAGACGAGTTGTCGCTCCGTCGATTTGATACATTCGATAGCAGCAGCCTGCCACAGCTACCTGGCATTTTGTCAGTCCAAGAAGGTGATGACGGGCCAGGTCAGTGGAGGTAAGCTGTTGGTCCTCCATCTACTCGATGATTCATGTCAGCCTCCCATACTGCTTCTCCATTACCGAGCATGCAAGTTGCCCCGTACACCATCCCAGGCATGCATGGGCGTGCTCAAATACGTGCATGTCAGACCAACCACACCCGGGGATTCCGTTCGAATCTCAGGACTAATACTCTCCCCCGTCCTCTCCGCCAGATGATGGAGAGCAGAGCTTCAGCGTCTTCCTGCAAGCTTCGTGCAAATTCGGTAACGACATGCAAACTGACTGGTAAATGCCATGCAGGAACAGGTCCGGTTGGAAACCAATAGGCGTGTTCGCTTGTCCTGAAATGCGACGGAATCCTTCATGCAAGCACATACATACAGCAACGCCAGTGCCTGCATGGCCTCAAGCAGGCCGATGGAGTATGAGTTTCGTATTGCAGACGTTGTGATGTTGCATTTGGCACCAGGGCCTCCTTCTGATCACTCCACTTACACATATATACATGCTTCATTTTAGCCACGACGCAGTACTGCATGGCCTGGGCCTGCCTGCGCCCTCGCTCGCCATTTACACTACGATACTACTCAACCCGTCTAGCACCCAAGCATGGGTGTGGGCATCGAATGAAGCTGATGTCAAAACAAGGATACTTATAACGCCTATCAACTTGTTTACTTCTCCATTGCTGGCAGCATATACAGCACCGTTATCCACAGACACCACAGTTTCCACACCACTTCGTCCCATCGCTGGCCTCGCTTCTGCAACGCGAGCACCGACATGGTGCTGCCAATGCCTGTCGATGCCGCCCATCCCCACAGAGACGCATCCCAGAACAACGGGCACGTTACAGACCAGAACATGACCATGGCTGCCAGCGAGGCTCGCGCCGCGGTCTCGCCGTACGTCAGGGGCATCGTGAGCCGCCCGCGGGCCATGTCGCCCTCAATGTCCGGCAGGTCTTGGGCGTGGACCGTTGTCATGATGACGGCCCCCGTCACCAGAATCCAAGCGAAGCCTCGTGGCAGCAGCTCGCCGCCGGAGAGCGTGGCGAGGGCACCCCAGCTGAAGCACATGAGGCCACCCGCGTTGAGGGCGTTTCGGATCCATATGCCGCTGCTGCTGCCTTCCAGGTCGTTGTACATCCAGATCAAGACCATCAAGGTGATGCTCGCGCTGTAGCCGCCAAAGAGAGCACTCAGCCCAACGGCAGCCATGATGGAGACGATGAGCCAGTCTCGAGCTTGCTCCGGTGTAAGTCGGCGTGAAGGTAGCGGTCTCCATGGCTTGTTGACTGCGTCTTCTATGATTGCCCCTTCTAGCCGTTGGTTGGCAATGTCTTCGACCAAGAGATTGAGCCATAGCCACGCAAGCATCAGAGGCACGCGGGAGACTACACCCCAACCCTTGGTGGCATCGGGCCCCTCTGGGCCTGCCGTTGTCAGCTGTGTTTTTGACAATGCTGCCGTAGCGGCGAATATGCTCTGTGGGACAATGACGGTCTTGAAGTCGCTTTTGGTGAAGAGGAAGAGAGTCTTCAGCTGGTAGAATGGGCTCCGCTTCTATAACAGGGTTGCAAAAGTCAGCCGCTGGCCTACAAGTTCCGAGAAGCAGGCGAAGGACGAATGCCAGCTCTGATTCAAATCCTACTTACGGAGACATTAAGGATTTGTCCAACATCTGCATCAGGGGTTGTGACACCCTTCTCCAACAAGAAGTCTCTACCCATAGCTTGCATCTTGAAGAGAAAAGCAGCTGCGGCTTGCCTGAAAACCAAAGAGCCTATGACGAGAGAAGATGGCGTTATGCCTCCAAGGATGAAGCAGATACAGTGTTGTCAGGATAAGCGGTTCGGGAGTGGCTATATGTAGTAGTATTCGTACCTTGCGCATGTTGGCTTCTACATCCGCCCATTCCCAGCAATGGCAGACCACGGACACCGAGAAGGATATTGCAGTACTTCACGACATGGCCCCGACTCTAACATGACCAGGGCCCAGAGTCTTTGATCCAGACTCGCGGTCCGGTATCCCGGGTCTGTGCCATAGAAGTACATGTAAGTAGGGGTATTGTGCACCCGACATGCGATAACTATGTTGGAGAGGGTTGGCGACGGCCAACGACGACTTCACAATCCAAGCTCTACCCAGGCTGTGAATCACTAGTGCCTCTGAGCTGAGGTGGTATTCTCATGCAGTGCCCGCTCCACAATAGACATGGACGGGGGCTTCTAGATGGGGTCGGATCAAGAGCCGGCTTGGGGTTTTTGATATGCAGTTGTCGCATCGAGCAGCCAACAATAATCGTGACAACCTACATGCATTGTGCGGTGAACCTTTCGACTGTGATACTGAGGCACAGACCTCGTCCTCCTCCTTCGCGTTTTATCTGGTTCATTCGTGATACTGTACGACGTACGGAAAGCAATGGCAGGGATCCCGGTCTTCCTGAATGGTTCACATGCATACTTCAGATCGTTTCTCGTACACCTAATATAAGAAATTAGCCCACCTCTGACCTTCCACCCCGGACTCATGCACTTTTCTCTCTCTCTCTCTCTTTACCACTCAAGTCGATCCCACAGTACTGTACCTACTCAAGACCCTTGACGAGACAAAGGCCGATCTCAGCAGAGGGTCAACTTCCTTCTTACACGAGAAGCAAAGATCACTTACTGCCCATGACAGCGGCTTTGTCGGTATCGTTGCATTGAGGAAAAGAATGTCACCCATGAATGCCTTTCACGCCATCCCTGCTTGCGGCTTCGCAATTGCCTGTCTAGGACTGAGCAAGCTGCTGTACTCTCACTTGAGACATTTCGAGCTTCTTGCCATTCTTTGGTGGGCGCAATTGGTGTTTCTTGGTCTTCTAACATGGGTATGTGAAATGCGCTTTAACTGAACGTCAGTCTGTCTGTCTCAACCGAGATTTCTATCACAGCCTATATTCTCTGTATAAGTCACTGGAGAGGCAAATTTAAGATCCATTACTCGCGCAACGGTACCGTGGAGCAACAGACGCATATGAGACTCCATTTCTCACTTTAATTGAGTGCCGCTGCGCATCACATCGATCATATCATCGGCGTGGGACCCTAGATCTGTATGTGGGCTAATTTTCTATATCCGTAGCTTTGCGGACGCTGTGTTTATAGGTTGGCCTTCCATCCTCTCGCCAAATATCCTGGACCCTTGATCGCCGCTCTCACAGACTGGTACACTGTTTACTGGATTGCTGAAGGGGGCCGCCATCTGGAGCTTGATAAGCAGCACAAGCGTTATGGTGAGCTTTCTGCGTCTCTCGATTTTCGATCCGCCGTGTTCCTCTTTCCGAACCATCGCAGTGAGGCTTGAAGCTGAAGGGAAACAAATTACCTGGTCATCTCAAGTCATCGTTGACTCGGATACTCTCTTCTGGGTCCCTTCTTTCAACGAGGTCATTTGCAACTGACCGGCTGTTCGTGTTGCAGGAAAACATGTTCGCTTTGGACCCAACCGCCTCTCGATCAATTCTGCACAGGCATCTAAAGACCTTCACGATGTCCGCAAAAAGACCAACAAGGCCGACGCATATGCCTCTTTCAAGCGTTTCTTTGGGGCCGAGATGTCTCTGACTACCGTGGATCATAAAGAGCATACATTCAGGAGGGCAGTCAACCAAGCCGCCATTACGCCTGCTGCCGTAAAAGACTTTGAAGACCAGGTAACGCCTCACGTTGAGGACTTTATCAGCATCATTGCTGAGGGGGCAGGCAGCAAGGCACAAGGCGAGAACGGATGGAGTTCTGGCAAGGACATGTCTTACGCCGTCGCTTTCTGCCTTGCCGACATCATGGGCTCTGTTACATTTGGCCGGACATGGAACGCCCAAAGGGATCCCCAGTATCGGCACTTTATCAAGGATTTGCCCAATGGTGTTGCTGGTATTCATTTGGTAAGTTGATTTTGAGACCATAAGCAAAGCCTCTCTTACTCCGGGCTTGTTGCAATGCCTTACTGACTGTCCTGGACAATCCAGGTCGGCCACATGCAATCTCTTTTTTTCGGCAACCTTCATAAGTTGTTGTTCAAGGAGCTCATCACCGGCGTGGGAAATCTGATGAAAGTGAGCAGATCCTTCGCTCTGTGGCGCCTCGAGCAAGAGTCAATGCCAAACAGAGATATTTGGGCAGCTCTTATTGCAGCAAGGGATCCCAAGACGGGCAGGAAATTCACTACTGATGAACTCATCTCGGAGGCCAGTCTCTTCATCATCGGTGGCACAGATGGCATGATCACTTCAACGACCGCAACGCTGTTCTACCTCACGCACAATCCTCGTACTCTCGAGCGTGTGACGCGCGAGATCCGGGAGGCCTACCCTCTGGAGGTCGAGGACATTGGTAAGAAGGCCTTGGACGTCAAGTGTCCCATACGGTTTGCTTCTGCAGAGCTCCAGGCGATTGACTACTTGACTGCTTGCATCGACGAGGCCATGCGCCTTTCGCCTCCGGTGGCAAGCATCTTGCCGCGCGAAGTCGGCCCTGACGGGCTCATGGTTGATGGCGAGTTCTTCCCGCCTGGTGTCAACTTGGGAATACCGCACTATTCCATGCACCACAGCGGAGACAACTTTGCTGAGCCGCTCAAGTACGCGCCTGAGCGCTGGATCCCCGAGGAGCGCAAGAGGGGGGCCAAGGACGGCTCCGTGCCTGTGTCGGGCAAGGAGCCTGCCACCATGAAGGCGGCGGCTGGACACACTGACGGATTCACCCCGTTTGGTGCTGGGCGGAGCAGTTGTATTGGGAAGTACCTGGCCTACCAGGAGATGTCCATTGTCTTGGCGCGTCTTCTTTGGCTATTTGATATTCGTCTGGATCCCAACAGCAACTTGGGCGAGGGGGTGGGGAATGACTTGGAAGGTCGGGGTTGCAGGAACGAGTTTCAGCTGTATGATCGGTTTGTGAGCTCCCAGAAGGGCCCGATGCTGCAGTTTCGGTACCGAGAGGAGTTGATTGCCTGACCTTGTGGCGCAGACTTGGCGAGTTTTCTTTCTTCTCTTTCTTGAAGGCTAGAATTATATCAGTATGTCAGCTGATGCGTATAGTTGATGATGCCGTGATTTGTGCTTCGTGCCGTATTTTGTGTCTTGGTCTGTGTTCCAGTCATTACGTATATGTTTCTTGATGCTATTCTTGAACAGTTTGGTAGGCCAGATGCTATACACAAGGCAAGTTTCCTTGTGTGTTGGTCTCTCTGGATCTCTCGATATTTGAGCCAATCTGCGGGTCCCGAAGTACTACTCGATCCTCATTACACAAGCCATCAGGTCCATGCCAATCACATCTGGACGATCGATGGCCATTGTTGTTGGTCCCCATCCTTCATTGTCAGGGGAAGTGGATATACCAGTTTCCAGGAAATTGGACGTCTGATGGAGTGAGCCCCAATGCTTCCCAAAGATTGGTACTCGCTTGATGATTCGCTGAGCGTGCCTCGTCTATGCGTCAGTGCTTGCATACCGCTGCGTGCGGTGTCCATAAAACTTCCCAGATACTTGGATTTGGGTATGGGGATGCGATGTGTCTTGTTGGCCTGTGGTATTTCGTGTGGGTTTGCGGCTGAAGCCTGATGCGTGGCATGCCTTCCTGAGGGTGTGCTACAAGTTCATAGAACAAATTTCTTTTAGACGATTAATATAACATACTGAGGTTCCGAATATTTACATGCAATGAGATAATAGAAAAAGTATTGACAGTGCTAGGTTCTCCTCGTAAAAAAAAGCCCGTTCATTGACGAGGAACAAATTCCTAGCGTGATACACCAGATACACAAGAGTAACCAATCCGCTGCTTGGATCTGTATCTTCGACTATCGAGACTCAAAACAAAAAGAGCATCCAACGACACGCACTTGGTAGGGGCCGTGCCGCATCAAGGCGCTACGTGATGCAAACCTTCGGCATGTCAAAGCAGGACCCGCCTTCTGGCCCGATGTCGATTACGCTGTTGGGCCTTGTTCTACTGTAGCTCAGATACAGGGACTAGCGGAGGGATTTTATTATGCTGTTAGTTGGTGTCGAGATACGGCACACTTGTGATAAGGCCCTGTCTTCCGCGTCCTTGGGTATGGTACTGAAGAGTGTGGCGCCTGGGAGATTTCGGGAGGGCTGTTCCTAGTAAGGTAGCTCGGGCTAGGTTGTTGGTCTTTGGAGCGATGTATCTCAGCTCAGGCTGCATGAATGAATGCTTCATCTTGAGTGATCAGGATTCGTTGAATAGACTCCTATTGTTGGTACCTTGATTGGATGATGGAGGCTAGTCGCTGAGAGTAATGACTTGTCCCTCTACAGCTTTGTGTGGATGAGTGTACAGACCAGGGCTCTCTATAACACAAAGTGCTCTCTTGATAGATGGTGGATGGTGGAAGCCGCCGTATACGATGTGATTATAGAAATACAACGGAATTTGCTTCTAGGAGCTGCACTCAGGCATCGAGAGCTCCCTGATAAGCAATGAACATTGGATGGATGGAGATGTTCATATTCTTTCTCCCGACAGACTTCCAGAACTGCAGAGCAAACAACTACATATCGGAAACTTTTCCCAGACGGAGGGCTGACTCTTGAGCCACCTGCATGAACAAGTGTCATTCCAAGCCCTCAAGGTAGGAGTACGTAGCAACATCTTTATTAGACTTCATGGACATGTATTACCATGACCTAACAAGTATACCAAGGTGCATTAGTGAGAATGAGGAGGGCCATTGTCAATAAGAGGAACTGTAACACTAGGCTCAGCTTAACGGCATCAGGATCCTCTTGCACTTCGAGGTTGACCCCGTCAAGGAACTCAATAGTTTGGCCCTGTCGTTGGGCATCTGTAGGTCGCAACACAAGATCTGCCTGTGACTGCTGCCTACAACCTTGTCTTTGAAGGGGAGAAAGAAGAGAGACTACCGATTATAAAGCTCCATCGGCTCCAGTTGAACCAGTATGATAGGTAGAGAACGTGGGATATCTGACTTACTGGCTTCAGTGACTCTTCGGTGGGGTTTAACTCGGGTTCCCCGGATGGCGAGACTTGGCAGGTTGGGTATTCGAAGGCGTGCATGTGGGCTCGCTTTGACGAATTGCTTCCCCAGCCTTTATAGTGTCCAAGGAGGAGCTTGCTCTAAAGTATCATCCGCAGTGAGAAGCGAGGACGTGTCAGCAGGATGTAAACATATGTTACCATGTGAGCACTTGGGCCAAGATCTGGCCTTGTTCCACGCTACGCATGAGCCTTGATCATTTAACAGGGCATTTAGTGGACATCCAAGACCAACTCAGCAGAATGTTTGCTATTAGGAAGGCTTCTTGACTTCCCAAAGGAGTGCATGGGGTAGGTTGATGTCCATAGTCCAACCAGTTACTCCCGAAAACATAGCCCTAGAATAGAGTTGATACTGCCGACGGCGGCCGCACGATCTCCCGGGTGAGTGAAAGGCATGCCTCATTATTGTCGTAACAGTATGTAACCGCACGATTATCACAAGTTCATTTTGTGACTGAAGCTTCATAAGGTATGTAGGCCGCCCATAGAATTCTGACTCACACCTTCCAAAGGCACTTCTTGACGTCGACTCACTATTTGGCTCGATTCGCTCCCCTGACACTGTGGCTAGGTATGGCAAAGAACTGAGTCAGTTACCTTGTGTGTTTCTGCTGGCGGGCATGCGTTGTCCTGTTGAAGAACTTGGTAAACCGAGCGGCTAAGTACTAATATATCTAGTAAGAGTAAGCATTGAAAGTCATTTCCAACAATTCCTTACCTACGCATGAGGAGGAGAGGGATGAACCAGACCTGGATTCTCGACCATCAACCGAATTACTGTGAGTAGGCCAAATCTGCATATACCTGATTAGGCAAGTGCCATTTCAAGCAACAAGCCTGTCTTCATGGCGCAGTTGGCTAGCGCGTCAGTCTCATATTCCTCAATATGATCCAAACCATTAGTTTGGGCAATCTGAAGGTCGTGAGTTCGAGCCTCACTGAGGACATTACTTTTGCCATTTCTTTCTTTTTTGCACCTCATTCCATGTTCTCAATATGTCACAAAGGGTTATGGGTCTCAATTCCAAACAGAAGCAGATATAACGCCATTGTCCAGCCTTTTCAGCATCCAGTTGCACCAGCATTGCCCCTCCTCCCCCACTTCATCTTCTTACCTACTACCCATGGGCGAATCTTGTCTGAAGCTGCTCATGCGAAGATGGGCAGCTGAGGAGTCGAACGCCGGCCCGGCCCGAATCTATGCTCTTCCTTGATATACTGTCTTTACTACTCTCGGGGTATCTTTTCAACGTGTCCCACCTCACCGGTGCGGGCGTTCGAGTTGCCATTGGAAAGCTCAGCGTCTGTTGTAAAAGAGCATCAGCTGGTGGCACGTCCCTGACGCAGATCTCGAAGATATTACCTACTGAAGCTCGGTTTAGCACACCACGTTTACTTATTGACCGGGAGTAGGGCCATGCGAGCTTCGGCGCTTCTTGTTTGCAATCTCCGACAGCTCCTGTACAACTCGGTCGTCGAGTAGAGGCACCGGCGTGGCCGTATATGGACGCACCTTTGATGAGGAACCGCCCGAGGGGTTGAGCTTCCTGGCGTAGTACTTTGCCTTGTCCTTCAGGGTAGGCTCGGGGACCTCGACCTGGGTCTTTTGATAGCAGTGCTTGCACATCACGTCTGAGATGTTGTCGGGACCCTGGTGGCGATCGCCACATGTCTGGTGGGCGACGAGGACCTTCTTGCAGGAGACTACGTTGCATTGTATAGTGCCATAGCACACGGGGCATCGGGTAACGATGATGAAACACATTTGTTGTCTAAGATCGACTGGCCACGGCTTTACAGGTAGACTAGCTGATCGATGGCGCGAGGATCCTTTTTCTTCCTTGGGCTCTATTGCAGAAGCGCTGCGGCGGGATATGCGGACTCTGAGCTCTACTGGTTCTCTTGATCCATCGACAAATGAAACGAAGCCACGAACGATGGACAATCAGTTATATTATAGCCTTGTGCCTCCGAGTGAGACGGTTCTGATTGTGAGCAAAAGGTAAAAGTTTCCCAGCTGTTTTGTGCATCATTGCTTCGTGCCTTTTGGTGTTGCTGAGGGCCACGACTTTGTCTGTTGTACCGCATTTGTGATTCAAGGCTCATGGATGCCAACGTGCTCCGATCAGGAGACTTTCTTCTACCACTTCAAAGGGTGCCGATGGGTCCCCATTGCGGGGTTATGGCGGGTGTAGCTCTGGAACCTTGACGTTTGACAACCACGGTTGTGGGAATGAAGAGCGAGTCGACTGTCAGGATGCTGTGGACGTTACACTGGCCAGCTGGAACGGGGCATACACTGTCAAACAAAGAGCTTGCTCTTATTTGAGGTGAAACGGGATCGTGATAAGCACTGATAAGTCTACTGTTCTCAGATGTAGCCTGTGACGGAACCGAATATCATTCGCTGAAGTCTCTGAAGCCTATCAATGAGAAGTTGTTGTGGTGTAACTAGCACACAGACATATGGCTTGTAGCCTGATGAGCAATATCTACCTATATACTGGTCAACTAGTGGCATATCTACTAGGTATCACTAAGATGAATTGTCTAGAGACAGCTTTGATCGAAGTAGTGCTACTCACTTCAAAACTCATTCTTGGCCCTGGATAGACGAGGAGCTCCTTGGTGATGATACCCTCCAACACGCGTATATGCGAAGGCTCTCAGCAGTTAGACGAAGAAACTTTCAGAGCAATTGAATTGAGAAGCTGCCGGATATGCTATTCGTCCGTCATTGTCTACAAGTGGAAAGGCACTAGATTACCTATATACACCTATGTAAATGAGGTATATACTTCCAACTCCAACAGATGCCGTCCCAATGATACAGCTCAATACGACCTAGCAGTGAAGCCTAAGATACAGCTTGTGTCATGTAAGTATCGGGCAGAAGACATCAGATAGATTGCTGCGCCTAGCTCCTGGCAGCCTTGGTGTGACCCATGCTCTTTGTATCCAGGGCTCTCCAAACTGGTCAGTGAGGATGACCTCAAGTGTTTCAGTCATCTAGCTCAACGCATCTGTGGAAATGCCAGGTAGGAGGGTCACAGCATCAGATACAGATTCGAGGGTGCAAATGTAGAGTGTGCAGCCACAAGGAATGCAGCGCACGGGAAGCGAAACTATCTTATGATTTGCCCTATTTCGAGTTGATTCACCATTCAAGGCCTGATGCGGCCGATGATTGTGATCATGTGTGGTTTGTAAATTTCTCAGCAGAGCTCAAGGCTCCTCACTATTATAACCATGTTGCGAGAGTCGGTTGCATCGAGTCTGTGAGTGCTGGCTTTCACATGCAGGATCTCCTGTCCCACAATTTCTGGAGTAGTGGAATCGAGGACAAATTCTATCGCCCATTGCCAATATTCTGGAACTGCGCAAATATACCACAAGAGTTCCCTTACAGACCAGCTTGACAAGCATTGCCACCGATCGACCTACAAGCTGAACTTTCAAACCGTAGCTTGACCACTCCAATCCAGAGCGCAGTCACAGACAGATGCGCGCGAAGGAGCCTTCTAGTATGTATATGTAGGGGGGCTGAGGGTGGATATTCGTCTGAAGACGAATCATCACGCGACATATCATAGCCATGTCCAAGGGCACACGATGAATGAGGCTCATAGAAAAGGGCATCCTGACTCACCTGGGAAGCTTAGGGGCCAAGCCACGCACATCTCACATAACCTAGCCTACCTAAGGCAAGTAATAAGTCGTAGCTTTGGAGAAGGGCGACGTGGCTATACCTTGCCACCCCGAATGAGCATCCATTCACAATGCTTTCGCCTCCGTTGTAAGGAGTATATCCTCCGCCCGCCTGGCGCGGCCCGCGTGAATCGGCCCGCCAATGCAAGGGGAAATAGGTGTAGCCGTCGTTGTCTAGCTTCTCTCACAAGGGCGGAAGACTCTCCTCCGTGGTGGTGATGTAAGATGGATTTTGGTGATGCCTCGATCTGTCATAATCAGCATGTCGCTCTGCCATGTGCCAGATATCACGGACAATGAGAGGCTTGTCTATCGTTCACAAGCAGTAAGCGTCACGTCAGGTCGTCTTCCCGGGGTCCCAAAAGAATGTCCGTCAGATGCCGAGCCTCCAAAGAATGGAAGCAATGCAACCATGCAGCAGCTACTGCCACAGGGCTCTCCCGGTGTGTGGGGGGGCGAAGTCGACTAAGATGAGCCACACACATTTGTCGATCGACAGACTGGCAGCCAGGGGCCGTGAATCCTCCAAACACTAATGCTTACATCTACTCGTATGCATACGGTGAGTGATCTATGACTGCTCCCCCGGGGCTATACACTCTAAAGCATTTGCCAACACTGATACTTCGTCAAAGTACTCTTGCCGGCGTCTTAAAGTCCAGTGATACGGAGGCCGCACGTGTTCTAAGACCTGAGAGGAATGCAAAGTTCTTCTTATTCAAGGCCTCCATGGCCTATCCAGTTGATAATAGAAGTTGAGATGGCATGTCCTTTGTCAGGCCTAAATGCTATCTTTACTGACGTTCTGTGAAGCCTGTAATGGCCGACAACGTAGGAATAATGCAGTGACTCAAAGCGCCCGGGCTCCAAATGCCGGGATTCACAAGACAGCCGAGCAGGATTATGCAATAGTCTGATCGTGTGACCCAGATGATCAGGATGTGTCTGATACAGCAAGATTTAGGCTCCCGAGCGACTCAGGAGATGCAAGGAGATAGATGTTGCTACCGTGAAGCTATTCGTATATGTGCTCTCTGCAAATAACAAGAGAATATATGGAGTTGGTACAGCAGGATATAAGATTCCCGAGACAAATAAGATTAACAATTACTTATGCGGAGCTGGTAGTGGGAGCCTCCTCTCTGGCGTGTCTTAGTTCCCGAGGCACATGGGCATTATTCTGAAGATCTTGAAGTCGTCAAGGCAGAGGATCGATCAATGTGTCCGTGGTCAGTTCTCACCGCTTGATGGAATCTGCAAGCGAGCCCGCTTCAATGTGTTCACCTTTCTGCAGCCACTTTGACTTAGCAACGCCACCATCGGCGAGGTTGAAACTATCAAGACACTTCAGACCGATCAGATGCTGCAAAGTCTCTATTAGCAGGACTGATCGACAAGACAATGCTTTTGGATGGACAATGGCGGGCTCGTGAGCCAAGGGACAGAGTCTGCCCTTGAACAGAGATGCAGAAGAGATCTCGCTAATCTCGTTCAATGTGTGGAATCAATGACAAATGCAACTGGAACCGGGCTCGCGTTATGTAGCAAGGCATAATGCCACAATGTAATGTATAACAGCGTCTGCCAAGTAGTCATATCGCCGTAGTCAGACGATACATTACCTCGGATGATACTCGCAGAAATAGAGGCCTGCACCTTTGTGACGCGATGTTGAGATTCTCATACACAATGGCATGCTTGCCACCCAGCACTCCATGTTATGTTGTAGCTGTTCACCAACTTCGCCTTCTCAGGTACGTCTTACCGTAATGCCCAACTTCTGACTACATGATGAGACGACATAGAGACTCAAATTTATTGGCTCGCGGAGTTTTCGAACGGAAGCTTAGGACATCAGTATCATCCGTCTAGGGCATTGCAATCGTTTACTCTTTAGCTCTTTACGATTGGACCCAGTTTGCCACTCATGCTTGTTGGCTTGGAAACCATTCTATGCTAGAAACCCTCAGTGTCTAAGGTAGGTCTTGTTAGTTGCTGGTTACAAAGAGGTTGTTTAGCTACTCGACTATCGTAAAAGACAGCGGAACTATCTGATGAATTAGAAACAGACAGTACTCAACTCGGAATTGATCGCATCCGTGTTGCTACAAGGCATACTCCCGGGACAGTTACTACCTCGTCAATGCACTCTGTAAAATTCGCTGCGGCTGACCTTTCTCACTTGCAGATGAGGAGTCGTATCCATGCAGCCACCAGTTAGTCCGCGGCTGAATACTGAGACATGCTCGATAGGTGGCGAGTTATGCCTTCCAGCTGGTCTAATTCCAAGAAAAGCCAACTGGGGTCTGAACTCGCAATCTGTAGGTCCCTTGCCATCTTGGTCACGATCCTCATGTCTCATGCGGCCATCCCCATAGTAGAAGCAACGAAGCTATCGCTCATCTACAATCATCCCAGACGCGATCTTGACATTACGTGAGCGTGCGGGATTGGCCCGAGCCTTGTCCCGTATACACTGACAGCTCCTGAGGATAACCCCGTCGTACCTTACAGGCCCTCCGCGAGCTACGGCGATTTTCTGAGACAGAACATCACGTTAAAACCAATCCCATCTTGCCTCGTACTTAATTACACTGCGACGATGCCACGCGCATCCCATAGGTAGGTAGCCAGCGTCCCGTACGCCGTACCTTGACAGCCGTTGCGCACCACCACCACCATCCACGACATGCAAGTCCCGGAAGCGCCATCGACGTTCCCACGTAATATCTCCGCGCGGCAGTTGTCAGACAAGGAGTCCGGCGTCCAGAATAGGCAAAGCTCGTGATACCCATGGCAGCCTTCGAAGCCGTCTGACGGGTGGTGGTGGAGAATATGCGGTCTGTTGCTGTGGAGGAGCTGCCAGCCTGACAGGGGGGAACCCCTTGGCAGTATTACTACCTAGTACAGTGCTTATTTAAGCATACTTTTCGTGCGAGCTCGGAGGAGCGACGGCCGCCAGTGTCTCTTGTTGCGTCGGGTGCTTCTTGTGTGAATGTAGGGAGTCTGCAGCTAGAGAATGTTGCTTCCCTTGCGTTGTTGAGATGAGCTGAGAAGCCACTGTTCCAGATGGTCCATCAAGGTTGACCATGGCTGCTTCGTATTCTCGTGGACCAGTCTAGACAAGCCATGTTTGCGATGCCTCCGAATTGCTGTCACGATTCGTAGAGTCCTCATGCAGGCAGGGGCCGATATTCACGGTGTTTCTTTATGCATCCGGCTGCCACGCCCTACTGAAGTGGTGTGCAGGATGAGTGTAGACTTGTGCTCTCAGCTCACGTACTTTTTGATGTTGTATGCGTGCACAAGTACCTATGATCCATACCTAGCAAAGATTGCGGAAGAACGAGAGTAGCCTTTCCATTATCCTACCTTCTATCAACACCACGCAACTAGTGCGAACCGACTCTACTGTCAACCTCGAAACATACAATTACCAGAGCTTTTCAGACTCGACAGACGGAACATGTAGAGTTTCGAATCCCGTGAGTGGCTGCAATGATGTATTTGTTGTGTTGCCGGTTGTGGTCTTGCGAAAACTGCAGGGTAGCCTTTACTCGATGAAAGTCCGACAGAGGCGCCTTGACTGAGCCAATCAGTTGCTCAACGTCAACCGATGTGTCAATGGAATGTGGATATGTACTTCTGTCGTCCAGTCAGACGAGAGTCGCTTCTTCCCATGTTGGAGCCTTGCCTCCAGAGTCCTCACCGAAGTACGAGTACCTGCTCATTGACTAGGTACCTTAGGTATGTGCTCTACCTAGGCGCCGAACCCTCTCTACTTCTCCGGAGCCTTGCTGTTTGGCGCCCGCCAAGCAACACACCTGCATAGACATCCCTGTCCAGTTTGAGTCGTCTCCAGTTTTCTCTCCCCGGCTTCATCTCCAGCTGGCCCGGGGGGACCCTGTAAGACCCTGTCCCTGAGAGGCAAAGCTGCCATCCTGCTTCCTGGGCTGCTCATCAGTGCTGCTAAAGCTGACTTGTTATTCACCGATACAGGTCGAATGCTGACTACGAACGCCTCTTTCTCGCATACATTGGTCCTGAACATTGTCTAAGACAACCACCCCCCCTTGCCGCGGCACAGCTGACCATCAGCCTAGAGCCAGCCTCCCGTCTGTGGGATCTGTGAGGGATCCTGCAATGGGCTGATCCTGGTTCTGCTTCTGGACTGAACCCCATTGAGTCTCACGCGGAAGAAAGAGTGTGCTACCTCGGCCAGGCCTCAAACACTGCTCTGTAGCTGTAATACGACTGCTGGGTATTATTATTGATGGCCGGGAGGAACCGAGCCAGGGCTGCACAGTGTCGACGGAGGTACCTCCTCGTGGGAGCAGCGTATCCGCTACGGATACCCCAGCATATGCATCAACCTCGTAATAGGTAGCGACTGATAGACTTGCATATTAATAATATTCGGTGTATACTGTCACCAAAGGCGAGACTGTGTCTCTGTATCATAATAGCGGTGGTGAATTGCTGCTTCGCCCAAACCTCGACTCTCCATATCGAGATTCTCGTTCGCCTAACGGGTACGCAAATGTGCTGCTTCTGAAGCACTTCGCCTTCTCTCGATTAAGGATCCCACCGCTTGGATCCAAACACCATTCAGTCGAAAAGACGGCCTACCGCCTCGTATCGACATCTACGCTTTCGATTGCTTCGACACTCGCTACTGTTTCGAAGAAAGAAGTAAGGGAGAGCTTGAAGAGGGATCGACATTCGAGCGAATCGATCATCCGTTAACAGACCATACGATTCTGATTAACGACGAACTCAACAGTCCATTTTCCTTTCATTTCTCGACATCTTGGAATACACATAATTGTTACAATATAGAACGGAAGAACATAAAAAAAGGACGAAGATAATTCTGTACAAATTTGGAGAAAAAAATGGCGCCGAACACTACGTACGAAGATGGGAACAAATCCCTCATCCCAATTGCCATCTGCGGCGTTGGCATCCGGCTTCCTGGTGGCATTCGCAATGCCGAGCAACTCTGGGAGTCCCTCGTCAACGACCGTGTTCAGCCGCGTGTGGATGGCAATGAAGAGGAAGAACTAGACGCTGTTGATGCTTCGTTCTTCTCCTTGACCGAGGCAGAGCTCGAGAGCTGCAGCCCTCTGCAGCGGAAGCTCTTGGAGGTGACTCGTGAGTGTTTTGAGGATGCGTGCGAGATCGACTTCCGGGGCGAGGATGCTCGTGTGGGCTGCTATGCCGGTAGTATTGGAGAGGACGATGTGTCGATGGTGTCACTGAAGCATGATTTGGGAGGCCCGAGGTTCGTTTACTATCCGGACTGCTGTCCTCCCTCCCCCCTTTGAGTATAATTTCTGGGTTGCTAACGAGTTTTTTGGGCTTAGCATGGCGATTAGAGAGTCGACGTCGTCATTTCTCGTGGCTCTGCATGAGGCTTGCTCCGCTGTTCGATCTGGCAGTGCCAAATCTGCAGTTGTTCTGGGAGCTGCCCAGAATGGCGCTGTGGGAGGCGAGGCCGTGTCAGCTGTATATATCAAGACACTGCCTGATGCCATGCGCAGAGGCAACCCAATTCGCGCCATCATTCGAGCTTCTAGCATTATGACGCTCAGTGGCCGAAGTTCTGTGGCTGAGGCCCATGAGGAGCTCATTCGCGAGGCCTACGATGCCGCGGGCCTAGATATCCGATCAGCCCTTGTAGTTGAGGTGGGTGTAACAATGACCTGATTGAAGCATCATGAACGAGAGAATGTCTAATATGCTAACTTGAATGATAACTAGTGGAGCGGAGATGCCGAAGCTGAAGTCTCTGCAATTAACAGCGCCTTTGGCGAGCAGGGTATCTATTTGACCAAGGGTGCGTCGGGCTTGACGAGCTTGGTCAAGGCCGTGGTAACATTGGAGAACCGGACAATCTCTCCGAATATTGTATCTGGTAAGTTTCATGCTGCTCAAGTCCGCCGAAAAGTCAGGCCCAAGTCTCTAACGTAAAGAAACATCAGCATCCTCTACCCCCGGAGCGCTCGTAGCTACGCAGGCCATTCCGTTCCCGCATGATCGCGCAGAGAGAGCCAGCATCATTGCCTCTGACGCTGAGGGACACAGCGCTCATGTTATCGTCGACTCTCACCCCCGGCCTACTCCGCGAGTATCTGAGTCCCGGCCGCAACTTGTTCTGTTCTCTGCGAACAACCCAGCTTCTTTGGCTAAGCAGATCGAGCTGCACCGCCTGTATGCTGAATCTCACCCAGACGATGCTGCCGACATCGCCTATACTCGCGCTCTCCGACGCGAGGCTCTGGACTACAAGGCATTCTCCATCCTTTCGAACTCATCCTTCGTCAACACTTCCAACTACGCCAAGTCTTCCGCGCGGGCTCCGGCCATCACCATGGTGTTCAACGGCCAGGGTGCTCAGTGGGCGGGAATGGGCAAGGAGCTCATCTTGACCGACTCAAGCTTCAGGGAAGACATCAGGAAGATGGATCTGGTTCTGAAGGGACTGAACATACCCGCAACCTGGTCGATTGAAGAGGAGCTTCTCCGTGATGCTGCCGACCCCGACAACAGGATCAACACCTCAAAGTTCTCCTACCCTCTCAGCACGGCGCTTCAGATTGCCCTGGTCAACTGTTTCAAACGCCTTGGTGTTACGCCCAAGGCCGTCGTTGGTCACTCCAGTGGTGAGATTGCTGCTGCCTATGCTGCGGGCTTTCTCTCTTTCGAAGACGCCATCACAGTCGCTTACTACTACGGCCATATTACTACCAGGGACCAGAAGGACGGTGCCATGGGCGTGGTAAGCTTAGGTGCAGAGGAAACGGAGGGGTTTCTCGAGCAGGGCGTGGTCATTGCTTGTGAGAACTCACCCACTAGCACCACCATTTCCGGCGACCGTGAGGCGGTTGAGCGAGTCTTGAAGTTTGTCAAGGCAGCAAAGCCTGAGGTGACTGCTCGTCTGCTGAAGGTTGATACTGCGTATCACTCTGAACACATGACTCAGCTTGCCGATGAGCTGCTTGACCTTTTGACGGCGGAGAAGATTGCTTCGCATGCAACCAGGAAGAGCGAGGCCATCTTTATTTCTACCGTCAGCGAGAAGGTTCTGAAGGAGAAGAGCGAGTTTGGAGCAGCGTACTGGGTCTCCAACCTGGTGTCACCTGTCCGCTTCAGCTCGTCCGTCTCCAACCTCCTCGGCATGTCATCTGAGGAAACTCTGTTCCTGGAAGTTGGACCTCATTCTGCCCTCTCCGTGCCTCTGTCCCAGATCTGTGCCGCTGCAGATGTCCGATGCAATTATGTCTCGTCCCAAACTCGTGGGGCTGATAGTGCAGTGAGCTTTCTCTCTGCTGTTGGAAGGCTGTGGCAGGAGTCGGCTGTGCCGAATCTCGCCCCTTTGTTCTCCCACGGCAGGGCAATTTCTGGGTTACCTCAGTATCCCTGGAGTTACGGAACCTCTGATGAGGACTCCGATGCTACTGCTCTATCTGCCCGTGAGAAGCGGGCTCGTGTCTTTGCAGAGGACAGCTCTCTGGAGAGCGAGCTCGCCGACGAAGAGGCTCCTACCACTGAGGTGGAGATTGTTCTTCGAGCTGTCTGGGTTGAGATCCTCCGGGATGTGAACCGAATCCGTAAGCAGGACATTGGAAAGAAGCACAACTTCTTCCTGCTTGGCGGCGACTCTCTCACAACCATCGAGCTTGTTACTGCTGCTTATCAATACGGCATTCGTCTGAGTCCGGCAGCCGTATCGGACAACGCTGAGCTTGCCCAGATGGCAGCTGTGGCAACCATCGAACACGACAGCGCAATGATGGCTGAGACAAAGCCCTTCAGCTTGATTAGCAGTGAAAAGGTTGATGATATCAAGCACCAGATCCGGAAGGAGTGCAAGCTTGCCCCTACCGAGACTATTGAGGATATCTATCCTTGCACGACTCTCCAGGAAGGTTTCATGGCCCTGGGTATGAAGCAGCCTGGCTCTTACATCCACAGAGTCGTGTACAAGCTGATGCCAGAAATTGATGTTGATCAATTCAAGGCTTCCTGGGAGGCCACCATCAGCCAATGCGGAAGCTTGCGTTCGCGAGTAGCCCTTCTCGGCGGTCGAGCTCTCCAAGCTGTGATGACGGAAGATATTGCTTGGGAGCAGCCTGCTCCAGGCCTGGACATCAACGCTTATCTCAACCGAACGCGAAGCATCAGCATGAGCTACGGCGAGCGCCTGAGCAGACATGCCCTGGTACGAGACAGCAATGGCGGCGTCTACTTTGTGTGGCTCATTCACCACGCCGTGTTTGACGGTCTCACCATGCGAATCGTCCTGGACGCCCTCTACAACGCTTATCATGGCAATGACGCCAAAGCCTTGCGTCCGTACTCCAACTTTATCCGCTATGTCGAATCCATTGATTCCGCCGCGTCTACCGAGTACTGGCAAAAGCAGCTTGATGGTGCTCAGCGCGCTCACTTCCCGCCCGCGAGACTGTCTGCCACATCTGAAGACCGAGTCATGAAGAGGACTATGCCTTTCCATAACGCGAAGACCTCTTCCGTGACCACCGCTACGATTCTTCGTGCGGCTTGGGCTCTCCTTCTTGCGCGCTACTGCGACTCTGATGATGTGTGCTTTGGTACTACACTGTCGGGTCGTCAGGCTGCGGTGCCCGGATTGAACGAGATTCCAGGACCCATGATTGCGACTGTGCCTATCCGAGTCAAGATTGATCGTGGCATGACTGTGTCCTCTTTCCTCGAGAAGATTCAGACACAAGCGGCAGACATGGTGGCCCATGAGCAGTACGGTCTTCAGAACATCTCGAAACTGTCCCAGGACGCCGAGGAGGCATGCGACTTTTCCAACCTCATCGTCATTCAGCCAAACAACCATCTGACGTCCATGGCTGATACTGCTTCTGATGCCATCTTGCAGCAGGGATCCCGCGAAAAGGCTCTCTCGGAAGAGGCTATGCGCAATTACTTCAACTATCCCCTCGTTTTGCAGCCTCGCATTGGCGAGGACAGCATCGAGCTGGACTTGACGTATTACGCTGATGCCATCACTGAGGGCCAGCTTGAGGCTCTGTGTGTTCACTACGAGCACATTGTTCAGCAATTGCTTGCTCCGACGGACATGCCCCTCAGTGACCTTTCGGTATCTGGCTCGTGGGACCTGGAAGAGGCGATCAAGGCCAACGACGAAACACCAGAGATTGTCGACATGTGTCTTCATCAGCTTATTGAGAGACAGTCGAAGGCAAACCCCGATGCCCCTGCTATTCATGCCTGGGATATGGAGCTGTCTTACTCGCAACTCGATCGTGCTGCCAACCGCCTCGCTCATCATCTCGTCAAGTCCTGTGGCGTCAAGGATCAGGACTTCGTCCACGTCTGCTTTGAGAAATCGGCCTGGTTTTTCGTGTCTGTTATTGCTGTCAATAAGGCTGGTGCTACCTGGGTTCCCTTGGATCCCTCGCACCCGCTGCAGAGGCAGCAACAGGTTGTCTCGCAGACAAAGGCGACGCTGGCCTTGGCTTCCCCTAGCAATGTCGAGATGTGTTCTGAGTTGGTCAATACCGTCGTTGAGGTGTCTTCAGCCCTGGATGAGAAGCTATCTAAGACCGAAGAGAGCTCTTACGGACCAGTACGCAATGTGTCACCAGATAATGCAGCCTATGTTCTGTTTACTTCTGGAAGTACTGGAACGCCAAAGGGTCTGGTCATGCAGCACAGGGCTGTCTGCACCTCGCAGACCGCTATTACCAAGCGCCTGGAAATGACCTCTAGCGTAAGGATGCTTCAATTTGCATCCTTTGTCTTCGATCTCTCTATCGGTGAGATTGTTGGTCCCTGGGTGGTTGGCGGCTGTCTCTGCGTTCCGTCTGAGGAAACGAGGATGAACAACCTGGTGGACTTCATCAACACGATGCAAGTCAACTGGGCCTATCTGACGCCCTCGTTTACGCGCACTTTGAACCCTGACGACGTTCCAGGCTTGGATTTGCTGTTGTTTGCTGGCGAGGCTGTTGGCCGAGATGTGTTTGAAGCTTGGTTTGGCAAGGTGCGGCTGATCAATGGTTGGGGCCCTGCCGAAACTTGTGTCTTCTCAACCCTCCACGAGTGGAAGAGCTTCGAGGAATCTCCGTTGACGGTCGGTAAGCCGGTTGGCGGATACTGCTGGATTGTTGATCCGCATGATCCGCAGCGATTAGCCCCTGTCGGAACCCTTGGAGAAGTTGTCATCCAGGGGCCGACGGTTCTTCGCGAGTATCTGGCTGATACTACCAAGACTGAGGCCTCGCTGGTGCGTAGCCTCCCCGAGTGGGTGCCAAACCGTACAGCTGCGCACTGGGATCGATTTTACAAGTCGGGTGACCTGTGTCGGTACAATGCGGACGGCACCATTGAGTTTGGATCTCGTAAGGATAGCCAGGTTAAGATTCGAGGCCTTCGTGTCGAGCTTGGAGAAATCGAGCATCATATCCGCGAGTCTCTGGAAGGCGTCAAGCAGGTCGCTGTTGATGTGGCAAAGGGAGATGGTGGCGCGATCATCGTGTCCTACTTCTCCTTTACCGACGAAACCCGCACTGCTGGCAAGAACTCCGAGACGAGCGTCAGAGATGTGTTCGTCCCGATGACTCCTGAGCTCCAGAGTCAACTGACAGCCTTGGTTGGCCAGCTGAGCGTTACACTTCCTCGATACATGATCCCGACGCTATTTATCCCCTGCCACTACATGCCCTTTATCACTTCGACAAAGTTGGATATGAAGCTCCTGCGACTGGCAATGTCCAATCTTGGTAAGGACGACATTGCGAGGTATTCCCTTGTGGATAGCAAGAAGCGTGCTCCGGAAACGGAGATGGAGACTCGTATCCAGGCGATCTGGGCGGATCTCCTGAAGCTGTCGCCCGAGTTCATCGGTCGAGATGATAGCTTTTTGAGAATGGGCGGTGACTCTATTGCTGCCATCTATTTTGTGTCTGCGGCTCGCGATGCCGGTATTTCCATCGCTGTGAAGGACGTTTTCGACGACCCCCGATTGTTCCAGGTGGCCTCCAAGGCTACCCTCCTCTCCAACGCGGGCCGTTCTTCTCAGACTGAGCCCTTTACCCTGCTTCCAGAATCGTTGAGCAAACTCATGCAAAGCGATGCTATTCGATCTCGCTACGGCCTGGGACAGCGCCAGACGATCGAGGACGCCTATCCTTGCACCCCCCTCCAGGAAGGTCTCATGGCCCTGACTGCCAAGCAACGCGGCTCATACGTCTCGCAATGGTTCTACCGAATGCCTAGACATATCGATACCGCCAAGTTCAAGGCTGCTTGGAACGAGGCCGTTGAGCGAAATGCCACTCTGAGGACTCGTATCATGCTGGAGGAAGGTTCTGCAGTGCAAGCTGTCATTTCGAATGACGGCGATTGGGAAGACACTGAGGGACTCAACCTTGAGTCCTTCAAAGACGTAATCTCTCAGCTGGACATTGGCTATGGAACTCGTCTGACCAGATTTGCTCTTGTTGAGGACCATGATGACACTTACTTTGTCTGGATCATCCACCATGCTATCAACGACGGCTGGAGCATGCGCATCGTCCTCGATAGCGTTTACAACAGCTACTACGGTCAGAAGGTCGCCTCCCTGACGCCTTACTCCAACTTCATCAACTACCTGAGTAATATAGATGGCGAGGCAGCGGCAAACTTCTGGCGATCGAACCTGGCTGGTGCTCAACGGCCTATCTATCCTGCTGCTGGCAGCTACTCAACTGCTGACAGCTCTGGAGACTCAACCCGTGTTGTCGATCGCTTGGTGTCCTTTTCCAGCCATGAAGACGCCTCCATTACCATGGCCACTATTATTCGAGCGGCCTGGGCAATTGTGCTTGGCAAGCATTGTGACGCCAGCGATGTCTGCTATGGCGCGACGGTTTCTGGTCGCCAGGCTGATATGGACGGCCTCTTGTCAACTCCCGGTGCTGTCATTGCCACCGTCCCAATCCGAGTCCCTTTGGAAGCTGATCAGCCTGTGAGCCAGATGCTGCAGGACTTGCAGGGTCACGGTCTGGATATGGTTCCCTATGAGCAGTATGGTCTGCCCAACATCGCCAAACTGAGCCCGGAGGCCCGCGAGGCTTGTGACTTTACCTCCCTGCTGGTAATTCAGCCCAAGGAACAGGAGAGCTCCATCTTCAACTCCAAAAATGGTCTGCTGCAGTCGGATGCTGAAGAAGATCACCTGTTGATTGAGTCTATGGACAAGTACTTCAACTATCCATTGGTCATGCTCAGCTACATGACAGAAGACAGCGTGAATCAGAGGTTTATATATAAGCCTGACATGCTGTCCGAGGCTGAAGTCGAGGCCCTCTCTTATCAGTTTGAATACGTCGTCCAGCAGCTTCTGAGTCCTGACCAAAAGCTTATCAGCGACATCTCTCTTGTTGGAGAGCGTGAGATTCAGCATGCCGCTGACGTATCTCGATATCGCCCCGCCACCGAGTCTTGCACTCACTGGGAGATTTACAAGCAGATTGAAGCCCAGCCAGATGCCCCTGCCTTTGACTCCTGGGACGCCAAGCTCACATACCGTGAAGTCGGTGTTTTGGCTACTCGCTTGGCCGCTAAGTTGCAGAGACTTGGTGTTGGATCGGACGTTATGGTGCCCATTTCGTTCCCCAAGAGCACCCCGGCCATGATCACCATGGTTGCTATCCAGATGGCTGGTGGTGCTCTTGTGCCGCTTGACCCTGCAGCTCCATTGGCCCGTCTGCAAAGTATCGTTTCTGATACGCAGGCGAAGCTCATCGTCACCCATCCTTCTCTCGAGGAGAAACTTCAAGAGCTTGGCGTGGACCTCCTGATTGTGGACCTGTCCATGTTGGATAAGTTGCCCGATCCCAGCACCAAGTTCATCTCGTCAGATGCCACGCCAGAGAGTCTTTACGCTGTCTTGTTTACGTCTGGCTCTACCGGCAAGCCCAAGGGCATTCGCATTCCGCATAGCAGTCTCTGCTCTGTAAGCGATGCCCATGCTGCGGAAACCGGCGTTGGGCCTGGCAGCAGAGTGTTCCAGTTTTCGGCTTACACGTTCGATATCGGCATTCTCGATGTCTTGGTCACTCTCATGCGCGGTGGCTGCGTCTGTGTGCCTTCGGACCACGATCGCCTCAACAACCTCGCGGGCGTCATCAGTGCTCTCCAGGCCAACTGGGTTTTCTTGACGCCTACTGTCGCCGACATGCTCAACCCAGCAGACGTCCCTTGTTTGACAACCATCAACCTGGGAGGCGAAGCCGTCAACAAGAAGTCATCCGAGAGGTGGCAGGGCTACACTACTCTGAACGGCCTTTACGGTCCTGCTGAGGCCTCGATTTGCGCTCGCAACGCGGATGTGCACAACGGTGCATCTACTAACTTGGGCTTTCCTCTGTCCAGTGCTTTCTGGGCTGTCGAGCCAAACGACCCAAGCCGTCTTGTGCCCATCGGCTGTATCGGCGAGTTGCTCATCCAGAGTCCTATCTTGGCTTACGGATACCTCAATGCCGATGCAAAGAATAATGCAAATTGGCTGGAGGATATGACATACGACTGGCTTCCAGCCAATGGGCCAAAGCGAGCCTATCGAACTGGTGATTTGGTTTGCCGCAACCCTGATGGCACGTTCGAGTACATGGGCCGAAGGGACAACCAGGTCAAGATCCGTGGCCAGCGTGTCGAGCTGGGTGAGATCGAATATACTGTCCTGACCAACCTTCCCGGCGCGAAGCAGATCCTGGTGGATGTCATTAACAATGACGAAGCCGGTCTCAGCCTCATCACCTATTTATGCTTCAACGACGACACCAAGGGCAGCGACAAGAACCTGGAGGATATCTTCCTGACCACCACTCCCGAGATGAAGCAGAAGTTCTCTGACATGCTTGGCCAACTGCACATCACCCTTCCTCACTACATGATTCCGACCATCTTCGTTCCGTGCAAGTACATGCCTATCAACACTTCAGCTAAGCTGGACCGCAAGGCTCTCCGCGCTTGTGCGGCTGTCCTGAGCAAAGACGAGCTGGCGGCTTACACGCTCTCTGATGATGAGGACAAGCAACCACCCGAGACCCCGATGGAAGCAAGGCTGCAGCAGATCTGGGCGGACACTCTCAAGATTTCGCCTGGCTCTATTGGCCGCGGCTCCAACTTTTTGCGCTTGGGTGGTGATTCCATTGCAGCCATTTACAGCGTGATGGCTGCGAATGAGGCTGGAATCATCTTGACAGTGAAGGACATCTTTGACGACCCGCGATTGTCAAAGGTTGCTCTCAAGGCTGTTGAGGTCAGTGGAGATGTAGCCCAGCAAAACGCCGTCATTGAGCCTTTCAGCCTTCTTGACGCACACAGACGCAACTGGGCCATGAGCGACGAGGTTCATGGCTTGTGCAAGCTGCTTCCGCACCAGACTGTTGAAGATGCTTTCCCTACTACCAGCTTCCAAGAGGGCCTCATGGCTATGGCTGTGAAGCAGCCGGGATCTTACATTGCAAAACACGTTTACAAGATCCCCAAGCATGTTGATCTCCAGCTCTTCAAGGAGGCTTGGGAGCAGACTGTGAAGCTGTGCGGCATTCTGCGTACCAGGATCGTGCTCAACCAGGGGTCGTCTATTCAGGTTGTTATCAAAGACGATGTTGCCTGGGATGTGACTTACGGCCAGGACGTAGTCTCCTATATCGACTCAACAAGGAACATTGAGATGACCTATGGCTCACGCCTGTGTCGCTATGCCCTTATCGAGGAGCGCAGCGGCGACAGATACTTTGTCTGGACCATTCACCACACTGCCTTTGACGGTTGGACGATGCAAATCATTCTTGAGACTCTGCAAAGTGTCTATCGTCAACAGAACCCCTCTCCACCTCGGGCATACTCCCACTTCATCCGGTACACGTCCGAGATTGACCAAGCCGAAGCCAAGGACTTTTGGTCTTCTCAACTCCAGGATGCTCGTCGTGCTGCTTTCCCAGCTGCCGGCTCGTCTTCCGCCCCGTCGACCACTCGCGTCATGAAGAAGAGGATCTCAATTCCCAGCCTGGAGGAGACATCCATCACAAAGCCATCAATTCTGCGCGCTGCTTGGGCTATTGTTCTTGGCCGGTATAGCGATGCCGATGATATCTGCTTCGGGACAACAATTTCCGGTCGTCAAGCTCCTCTGGCAGGCATGACTGAGATTGCCGGCCCTGCCGTAGCCACGGTGCCCGTCAGGGTCCGTCTCGATGGTTCAAAGCCTGTGGCCCAGTTCCTCCATGACATCCAGAGCCAGGCCTCTGAGATGGTAGCCTACGAGCAGTTTGGTTTGCAGAATATTGCCAAGGTCAGCGAAAGTGCTCGGGAGGCTTGTGACTTCTCAAGCTTGCTTGTCATCCAGCCCGGCCACTTCCTGCAGTATGGCGATGAAAGCACTGATGCAATTCTCATTGGCGACGACAAGAGCATTGAGGAGGAGGTCATGCAGAACTACTTCACGTATCCCCTCATCGTGGAAGGTGTCTTGTACGAAGACCATGTTGAGCTTCTTGTGATTTACAATGCCAACGTCTTGGCCGAGTCGCAAATCACTGCCTTGACGTATCACTTCGAGCATGTCACCCAGCAGCTTGCTAGCCAGGAGGGTCTTGTGATCGGGGATGTCTCTGTTTCCGGTTCTTGGGATCTGGAGCAGAGTCTCCAAGCAAACAACGAGGTTCCTGAAATTGTCGACTCTTGTATCCACGAGTTGGTCGAAAAACAGGCCCTCGAACGTCCCGGCGCCCCTGCTGTTGTGGGTTGGGACCGGGTTTTCACCTATGCTGAACTCAACGAGGCCGCTAACCGGTTGGCCCATCATCTCACGCAGACCTTTGCCATCAAAGCCGATGAGCTGATTCATGTTTGCTTTGAAAAGTCGGCATGGCATTTTGTCGCGATCCTGGCTATTAATAAAGCTGGTGCCGGATGGGTTCCCCTTGATCCGTCACATCCTGAGCAGCGGTTGCGCCAGATTGCCAGCCAGACCCGGGCAAGAATCATACTAACATCACCGGCCAATTTGGATATTTGTGCCCGTCTTGGCTTGTCTGTCATTGAGATCAGCCCGTTCTTTGATCAGAAGCTTATCAAGAGCGGCATGAATAGCAGCGCTGGGCCAGACGTCAAGGTGACGCCTCGTAACATTGCTTACGTCCTCTTTACCTCCGGTTCTACTGGTACTCCTAAGGGACTGGTCATGGAACATGGCTCTGTATGCACGTCACAGACCGCTATCAGCCGGAGACTCGGATTGACTGCCGATGTTCGTATGCTGCAGTTTGCAGCCTTTGTTTTCGATCTTTCTATCGGTGAAATCGTTGCGCCACTGATTTCAGGTGCTTCTTTGCACATCCCTGACGAAAACACTCGATTGAATGACCTGCCCAACTTCATCCAGAAGAAACAAATCAATTGGGCCTTCCTTACCCCCGCGTTCGCCCGCACTCTGAAGCCAGAAGACGTCCCTGCTCTAGACCTCTTATTGCTAGCAGGAGAAGCCGTTAGTCGCGATGTGTTTGAAAGCTGGTTCGGAAAGGTCAGACTTATCAATGGCTGGGGCCCAGCTGAGACGTGCGTTTTCTCGACTCTTCATGAGTGGAGGTCTATCAACGAGAGTCCCCTAACTGTCGGCCGGCCGGTCGGCGGTTTCTGCTGGATTGTCGATCCGGAACACCCTGACAAGCTGGCTCCCACGGGCACCGTCGGCGAGGTCGTTATCCAAGGCCCGACCCTGCTTCGGGAATACCTTGCAGACGCTGAGAGGACCAAGCTGTCGACCGTCTATGACTTGCCCGCTTGGGCACCCCGCCGCGAGTTACAGCATTGGAGCCGATTCTACAAGTCCGGTGACTTGTGTTACTACAACCCGGATGGTACCATCGAATTCTCAACTCGTAAGGATACGCAGATCAAGATTCGCGGCCTTCGTGTTGAATTGGGCGAAATCGAGCACCACCTGCAGCTTGCCCTTGATGACATTCGTCAGGTCGCCGTCGACGTGTTTAAGGGTGAAAGTGGCTCAAATCTCGTGGCCTACTTCTGCTTCAACGAGGAGAGCAAGACGGCTGATGCTCGTGTTGCGGGTGACGATAAGGGTCCTTTCATGCCCATCGATGAAGACCTTCAAGCCCGCCTTATTGCAGCCTCGGGTGAATTGAGGGTTGTTCTTCCGTCCTACATGGTGCCAACCTTCTTCATTCCCTGTAGCTATATGCCAACCAGCACATCGACCAAGCTTGACCGCAAGGAGCTGAAGCGGTATACCGCTGCCTTATCCGTCGAAGAGCTATCGAAATACTCCCTTGTCGATGGCAAAAAGAGGGCACCCGAGACTCCGATGGAAAGCCAGTTACAGCAGATATGGGCTGAAATTTTGAACATTCCTATGGAGTCGGTTGGACGCGATGACAGCTTCCTTGGCCTCGGCGGTGACTCTATCACGGCCATCCACTTGGTTAACGTCATGCGGGAAGAGGGTATCTCGTTGACCGTCAAGGACATCTTTGATGACCCTCGCCTGCTGTCTGTCGCCAGCAAGGCTATAACCACCGAGGAGGTACTTGAACTCGATGAGATTGAGCCATTCAGCCTCCTGGAAAAGGAGATCCGTGATGCTGTTCTATCAGAGGATCTTCGACAAGAACTCAAGCTCGCCAAGTGCCAGCTTGTCGAGGATGCTTATCCATGCAGCAAGCTCCAGGAAGGCCTTATGGTCCTTTCTGTGAAGCAGCCCGGATCATACGTCGCCAAGTACACCTATCGTCTTCCTGCCCATGTCGACCTTCAACGCTTCAAGGAGGCGTGGGAGTACACCTCGTCTGCTGTTGAAGCACTCCGAACTCGTCTTGTCATGATTGACGGTTCTTGTGTCCAGGTCGTCATCAACGAGGAGATCCCCTGGGAGACTACAAAGACGGATGATATTCGATCGGCCATAGCATCGGCTCAGTCTCTCCGCATGACATACGGCTCATCTCTGTCGCGCTACACAATCCTCGAGGACCAAGACGGCAGCAACTATTTCATGTGGGCTGTCCACCACTCTGTCCATGATGGTTGGTCGATGAGGATAGTCCTGGAGACGTTGCGGCGAGAGTATGAGGGCCGGGCATCGGCCCCGGTTATGCCCTACAACGGATTCATTCGCTATACCCTTGGTCTCGACCTGGAGGCCGCTGCTGAGTATTGGAGCAGCCAGCTGGATAACGCCAAGCGGGCCAGTTTCCCTGCTGCTGCCACTACCTCTAGCGAAACGAAGCACATCACGCGAATGATGACAAAGTCTATTCCATTCCCTGCTTCCATGAACCCAGCCATCACAAAGGCCACAGTTTTGCGAGCTGCTTGGGCCGTCATCCTAGCTCGTTACTGCGATACAGACGATGTCACGTTTGGGTCTACCATTTCTGGTAGGCAGGCGGCAGTTCCAGGCCTGACCGAGATGGCTGGTCCAGCTGTTGCCACTGTTCCCGTCCGTATCCGTCTCGATAAGCAGCAGCGCGTGTCCAAATTCCTTCAAGGTGTACAGAGTCAAGCCTCTGAGATGATCCCCTTCGAACAATTTGGCCTGCAGAGCATCTCCAGGCTTGGTGCTGATGCGAGGGATGCGTGCGACTTTACTTCCCTGATGCTAGTTCAACCCATGCAGCATCTTGCTGGCGAGGATCTCGACAGTGTCATGGTGCCTGCTCTTGAACAAGAGACACAAGAGGATCAATTGCAGAATTACTTCTCATACCCTCTTGTTCTGCAGGGCCATATCCATGACGATCGAGTTGAGCTCGTCTTGATCTACGACTCTGTCGTTCTTCCAGAACCACAGCTTGTTGCCTTGTCACATCAGTTCAATGGCGTTGTCCAGCAGCTTCTCAGCGGCAAGGATTGCAAGCTTGGCGAAATCTCAGTGGCGAGCCCCTGGGATCTCGACCTTGCACAGGCTTCCAACGGCGATGGCCCTGAAATCGTTGATGATTGTGCTCATCTCATAATCGAGCGGCAAACGAAGCAGACTCCCCATGCCCATGCTGTACATGCTTGGGATGGCTCACTCACCTACAGTGAGCTTGATCTTGCTGCCAACAGGCTCGCCAATCTCTTGATCCAACGTCACGGGGTCAAGGTCGGCGATGTCGTTCATGTGTGCTTTGAAAAGTCTCTTTGGTATGTGGTTTCGGTCCTGGCCATCAACAAGGCTGGAGCTGCTTGGGTGCCAATGGACCCGGCACACCCATTCCAACGGCTTCAACAGGTTGCCAGTCAAACTGGTGCAAAGCTCGCGCTCTCATCTGCTATCCACAGCCCCCTGTGCTCCAAGCTTCTGGACACGGTTGTTGAAGTGTCCTCAAACCTGGATGAGCAGTTGAAGAGTGACGAGACCATCAGTCATGTCAAGCCAACCACTAAGGTGACCCCCAACGACGCTGTCTACCTGCTCTTTACTTCCGGTAGTACTGGCGTTCCTAAGGGTATCATTATGGAACATGCCTCTCTTTGCACCAGCCAGCGTGATATCGCAAAGAGACTCGGCCTGACTAGCAGCGTCAGAATGCTTCAATTCTCGTCCTTTGTCTTTGACGTTTCCGTGGGAGAAATCATGCTTTCCCTTATGCATGGTGGTTGCATTTGCATACCATCTGACCACGATCGTCTCAACAACTTGGATGGATTCATCCGAGACGCCGAGGTGACCTGGGCATTCCTGACACCATCGTTTGCACGCACACTCCGCCCTCAAGACGTTCCATCCCTTGAGCTCATTGTCCTTGCCGGAGAGCCCGTCAGCCAGGACGTCTTTGACCTCTGGTTCGGTAAGGCAAGGCTTGTCAATGGTTGGGGACCTGCTGAGACTTGCGTTCTGAGTGCTATCCACGAATGGAAATCCGCAGACGAATCGCCGTTGACCATCGGACGTTCGGTTGGAAGCTTTGCCTGGATTGTCGACGCAGAGAATTCGAACCGTCTAGCCCCGGTTGGATGTATCGGAGAAATCGTCATGCAGGGGCCTACTCTCCTCCGTGAGTACTTGGCTGACCCGGCCAAGACGGCCTCATCGACCATGACCTCTTTGCCGAACTGGGCACCCCGCGCCAATGACAAGAAATGGGGTCGTTTCTATAAGACTGGCGATCTGGGTTTCTACAACCCTGATGGAACGATCCACTACTCTGGCCGCAAGGATACACAGGTCAAGATCCGTGGTCTTCGCGTTGAGCTTGGTGAAGTTGAGCATCACATTCGGAATGCACTTGAATCCATCCGACAGGTTGCCGTTGATGTGTTCCGAACAGAAACCGGAACGAACCTCGTCTCATACATCTGCTTTAGCAGCGAGACGAAAACTCCCGGACCAAACACCGACCCCAATGGTGATGACGTTTTCCTCTACATGACTCGGAACGTCCAGAGCGATTTGAACATCGCCATCAACAAGCTCAACGCCCTGCTGCCTAGCTACATGATCCCAACTTACTGGATTCCTTGTGACTACATGCCGCTGATTTCCTCCGGCAAGTTGGACAGGGTCAAGCTCCGCAAGCAGATGGCTGCGTTGACTCAGGAGGAGCTGGAGGCCTATTCACTGACTGATGCCGACAAGCGCGCTCCGGACACAGCCATGGAAGTGCGACTGCAAAGCATGTGGGCTGAGATCTTGAACATTCCCGCTCAGACCATTGGCAAGGACGACAACTTCCTCCGTATTGGTGGTGACTCAATCGCTGCTATCAGATTGGTCTCGATGGCTCGCGAGCGCGGCATCACCCTCACGGTCAATGGCATTTTTGAAGATCCGCGCCTGTCATCTATGGCTGCCACTGCCGGGGCGGCTGATGGGGATGATGAGCTTCTGACTCCTATTCCTGCTTTCTCCCTCCTGGATGACAGCACTCGAGACCCGATCCAGGCTCCCAGCATCTACCAAGACTTGGGCCTGAATGTCACACAGCGGATCGAGGACGCATATCCAACCACCAAGCTCCAAGAAGGCCTCATGGCCCTCTCCGCCAAGCAGCCCGGATCGTACATTGCCAAGTTCCTCTATCGTATTCCCAAGCACATTGAAGTCGCTCGCTTCAAGGATGCCTGGAGACGCACGGTTGATGCTTGTCCCAACCTTCGCACCCGGATCCTCCTCACCGAAGGAGGCCACAGCACGCAGCTTGTGATTAGCCACGATTTCGAGTGGGATCTCGTCGAGAATGAAGACCTTCACTCCTATCTCCAGCTGACTCAGGACTTTGAGATGGGTTACGGTTCGCAGCTTTCTCGGTACGCGCTGATCAAGCACACGGATGGCGAGACGTACTTCATGTGGAGCGTGCATCACGCTGTTTTCGATGGTCTGTCTACTCAGAACGTATTGAACATTCTTGAGAAGGCCTATCAAGGCAAAGACGTCCTAGAAACGCCTCCGTATGCCCGCTTCATCAAGTATACCCTTGGACTGGATGCAGAGGCTGCAGCAACATACTGGAGAGAACAATTACAGAGCTCTCGCAAGGCCACTTTCCCTGCGTCAAGTGAAGTATCCAACAAGCCTGGCGCCACTCGTGTCCTTGAACGATCCATCGAGCTGCCCAAGATGGCCTCATCGGGCATTACTCTCGCCACCGTTGTTCGGTCTGCTTGGGCCATGGTCCTCGCACGCTACAGCGATTCGGAAGATGTCACCTTTGGTACAAGCATCTCAGGCCGTCAGGCCCCAGTACCCGAGTTGATGGACATGGTTGGACCCATCATCGCAACCGTCCCTGTGAGGGTCCGCGTAGACCAAGCGCAGCTGGCTACTGACTTCCTTCAAGCTGTCCAGAGGCAGACACTCGAAATGGTTCCCTACGAGCAGTTCGGTCTACAGAGTATAGCCAAGGTCAGCGAAGACGCCAAGGAGGCTTGTGACTTTACTTCGCTCTTGGTGATTCAGCCTATGCAACACGTGTCCGACTCTGAATCCGCCGATTCTGTCCTTGTACACGCAGATGGAGCGCTAAAGGAGGAGGCCGAATCGATGGAGAACTATTTCTCGTACCCCCTCATTGTCCAGGCTCATCTGTATGAGGACCGCATCAACATTGTTCTCATCTACGACTCGACTATCCTGGCCAAGACACAGCTAGAAGCCCTCTCTCAACAGCTTGGACATGTTATGTGCCAGCTTGCGGCAGCCACTGACGAGAAATCGTTGGGATCGGTATCCATTACTTCTGACTGGGATCTGGAGCGCGCTGTTTCATTTAACAGTGACGTTCCTGAAATCGTTGATGCTTGTGTGCATGACCTTGTTGCACGTCAGGCTGAGCTTCGACCAGATTCTGTCGCTATATCTGCGTGGGATGCCGAGCTCACATATAGCCAGCTTAACCTCGCTGCCAATAGACTGGCGAACCACATCATCACAGCCTATGGGATCAAGCCTAATGACTTCATTCACGTGTGTTTTGAGAAGTCAGCTTGGCACTTTGTTGCCATTTTGGCTATCAATAAGGCTGGAGCCGCTTGGGTGCCTCTTGACTCTTCTCATCCAGAGCAGCGTCTTCGTCAAGTGGTTAGCCAGACGAATGCCAGGCTGGTTTTGACGTCTCCTAGCAACTCCACGCTTTGTTCCGGACTACTTGCAGACGTCCTTGAAGTCACACCAGCATTGGACCAAAAGCTAGCTGCAACAGTTGGCTCCCAGGCTCCCAAGGTCGCTGTGACGCCTGAACATGCTGTGTATGCTCTGTTCACCTCCGGATCTACCGGTACCCCTAAGGGCCTCGTTATGCAGCACCGAGCTGTTTGCACCTCGCAGACGGCCATTGCCAAACGGTTAGGTCTGTCATCGGACATTCGACAACTTCAATTCGCTGCGTTCGTTTTCGATCTATCCATTGGTGAGATTATCGCGCCATTAATCAGCGGAGCTTGCGTTTGTGTTCCTTCTGAAGACGTCCGGATGAACAGCATTACCGAGTACATTCGTGACCAGCGCATCAACTGGGCATTCTTGACCCCTTCGTACGTTCGTACCTTACGGCCAAAGGATGTACCTGGCCTGGAACTACTTCTTCTTGCCGGTGAAGCTGTACCTAAGGAGATCCTTAACACATGGTTCGGGAAATTGCGCCTTGTCAACGGCTGGGGGCCAGCCGAGACCTGTGTCTTCAGTACCCTGCACGAATGGAAGTCAGTCGACGAAAGTCCTCTTACCGTTGGCAAGCCAGTTGGAGGCTTCTGCTGGGTTGTCGACCCGGAGAACCCCCATAAGCTAGCCCCTGTTGGCACTTTGGGCGAGGTTGTCATCCAAGGTCCGACCTTACTTCGCGAGTATCTGGCTGATCCAGAACGTACCGCGGCTTCCTCAGCCACAGCCCCTGACTGGGCACCGCAGCCTGACTCCAAGCATTGGGGGCGCCTTTACAAATCTGGTGATCTCTGCTCCTACAACCCTGATGGAACTCTTGAGTTCTCGTCCAGAAAGGACACACAGATCAAGATTCGAGGCCTTCGTGTGGAGTTGGGTGAGGTGGAACACCACATCCAAACGGCGATGCGCGGCCTGCGCCAGATTGCTGTTGACGTTTACAAGGGCGAGAGCGGAACGAATCTTGTGGCTTATCTGTGCTTTACCGACGAGACCCGAGCCTCTTCTGCTGACCACAGCCCATTCATGTCCGTCGACAAGAAGCTTCAGAACCAACTGAATGCTTTGGTCGGCGAATTGGGAGTTACGCTGCCGCGGTATATGATCCCCACGCTTTACATACCCTGTAGCTTCATGCCGTCAATCACGTCGACCAAGCTGGACCGCAATGAATTGCGCCGTCGTACCGCCAGCCTCACCCGCGATGAACTGTCTCAATATTCCCTGCTGGGAGGCAACAAGAGGGCTCCGGAAACCGACGTGGAGCGCGCGCTTCAACGGATCTGGTCCGGCATCTTGGGCCTCTCGCCGGACGCAATTGGCCGAGACGACAGCTTCCTCGGTCTGGGAGGTGACTCGATTACTGCGATACAGCTTGTTGGGGTTTGTCGTGATCAAGGCATTTCTCTGTCGGTCAAGGATATCTTCAACGACCCTCGGCTTATCGCTGTGGCCAAGGCTGCTCAGTCGCTGAGCTCTGTTGACGATGTCGCTATTGAGCCTTTCGGCCTGTTGGATGATGAACTGCGTCGTCTCGCTACGAGTGAAACCGCCAGGGCTCAGTGCCATCTTGCAACAGAAGCCGTCATCGAGGACGCCTATCCTTGCACAAAGTTCCAAGAAGGCCTTATGGCTCTCTCCATCAAGTCTCCTGGATCATATGTTGCCAAGTATGCCTATCGGCTGGCGGATGATGTTGACATTGAGCAGTTCAAGTCAAGCTGGAAGAAGACCGTTTCTCTCTGCCCTACCCTGCGCACACGCATCGTGCTTCTTGGTGACCGCTGCGTGCAGTTGGTTGTCAAGGAGGATGCAGAGTTTGTATCATCTACCGCTTCAAGCTTCGAGTCAGCCATGCTTGAAGCTCGTAATGTGCAAATGACATACGGCACGCCGCTGTCACAGTATACTCTGTTCCAAGGAGAAGATGGCTTCTACTTCATCTGGGTTGTTCATCATACGGTTCACGACGGATGGACCATGCGTCTTGTGCTTGAAACGCTGCAGAACCTCCACCAGGGCTCGACCACCAGCTCGCTGAAGCCGTATTCAAACTTCATCAAGTATGCGATGGATGTTGTGCAAGACCCGGCTGTCGAGAAATACTGGTCGCAGCAGCTGGATGGAGCAGTCCAGGCGTCCTATCCCCCTCGCCCAAGGTCTGACAAGCAGCACAAGGCAGTTACCCGCATGATGACCAAGACTATCCAAGTGCCAAACAACACTCAGTCTTCAGTTACCATGGCGACTCTCCTGCGTGCCACCTGGGCTATCATCCTTGCTCGTTACTCCAACACTGACGATATCTGCTTTGCCACGACGGTGTCTGGCCGTCAAGCCTCTGTTTCGGACATCTTGCAGATACCCGGGCCTATCGTTGCGACTATCCCAGTGCGCGTACGACTCAATGGCCAGCAGACTGTGCTGGAATATTTGGAGAGTGTGCAGCATCAAGCTACACAGATGATTCCCCACGAGCAATACGGGTTGCAAAACATTTCCAGGATCTCAGAAAACATCAGCGATGCCATTGACTTCTCAAGTCTACTGGTCATCCAGCCTCGATCGCACCTGGACTCTGGCAATGGTGACGGAAGCAATGAGAACATTCTTATTCCTACCGTTGAGGACGATGAAGCTGTAGCAGACCTTCTGCAAGATTACTTCACGTATCCTCTGGTTATTCAGGGCAACCTGTTAGATGACCATATCGACCTGCTCCTGACCTACGATAGCACTGTCCTGTCCGAGGTCGAGCTCAGCCGATTGGCTGTGCAATTCGAACACGTTGCTCAGCAGCTCCTGGATTCCGATCATGTCAAGCTGGGAGATCTCTCGTTGGTGCCCCCGCAAGACGTTCAACAGGCCATTGCGTGGAACACAGAAGACCCCGAGATCGTTGAAGATTGCATCCACAAATTGGTCGAACGACAAGCCATTTCTACTCCGGATGCCATCGCCATCGACTCTTGGGATGGGAAGCTGACGTACGCCCAGTTAGACGAGGCTGCGACACGTTTATCTCATCACCTCATCAAGACATATGATGTCGCCCCTGATGATCTTGTCCTTCTCTTGTTCGGGAAATCGTTGTGGTACATCATCTCGACAATTGCCGTCAACAAGGCTGGAGCAGCCTGGGTTCCCCTTGACCCAGCTCACCCCATGCAGCGTCTGCAGCAAGTTACCAGACAGACGAAAGCTCAGGTGATTCTCGCGTCATCTCTGCAATGCGAGCTGGCTCAAGAACTGCTGAACACTGTTGTTGAAGTCAGCCAAGCCCTGGACGATGCCCTCACCACGGCAGGCTCCACGCTCCGCACTCCAGATGCCATGGTTTCCTCCAGAGACAAGGCCTATGTCCTGTTCACTTCCGGCAGCACCGGAGTGCCAAAAGGTATCGTGATCAGCCACGGATCTGTCTGCACGAGTCAAACTGCTATTTCTAGCCGTCTGGGCCTGCACAGCGGTGTTCGGATGCTCCAGTTCTCTGCCTTCGTCTTCGATGTCTCTGTTGGCGAGATATATGGCTCGTTAATCCGCGGCGCTTGCGTTGTTATACCATCCGACGAGATTCGCATGAATGACCTGACCAGATTCATGCGGGAGAAAGAGGTCACTTGGGCATGTTTCACCCCTTCATTCATCGAGACTCTTCATCCAGCTGATCTGGAAAATCTGGAGCTGGTCATCCTAGAGGGTGAACCTTCTAAGAGACATATACTAGAGGAATGGTTCGGCAAGGTCAAGCTGATCAATGGCTGGGGCCCTGCGGAAACCTGTGTATTCAGCAGTATGCACGAGTGGAAGTCAGCCACCGAAAGCCCTGTTACTATCGGCAAGCCTGTGGGCTGCTTTGCGTGGATTGCTGATCCCGACAATCATCATCGCCTTGCTCCAATCGGTACTGTTGGCGAGATTGTGCTCCAGGGTCCGACACTGTTGTGCGAATACCTCGATGACCCTATGCAGACGCAGGCCAGTATCCTCAAGTCAATCCCAAGCTGGGCTCCACGCCGCGAATCGCAGCACTGGAACCGGTTCTACTTAACCGGCGATCTAGGCTGCTATAACCCTGACGGAACCCTCGCGTATCACGGCCGGAAGGATACTCAAGTCAAGATTCGAGGCCTTCGCGTGGAATTGGATGAGGTCGAGCACCATATCCGCAGCCTGCTAAGTGATGTTGTTCATGTCACTGTGGACGTTCACAAGTCCGAGGCAGGTTCGAGTCTGGTTGCCTATCTTGCTTACACTGAGGAGAGTGTGGACGACGAGGATGCACTGTTCCTGCCCTTGACGAACGAGCTGCAAAAGGATCTGGATGCCATGTCCAGTCAGCTTAGTGTCTTGTTGCCTCGGTATATGGTACCAACTCTCTATATCCCGTGCTCGCACATGCCTTTCCTGTCATCTGGGAAGACGGATAGGGCTCAGTTACGCAGACTTACTTCCGAACTAAGCCAAGAGCAGCTCGAGGCCTATGCGCTGGACGATACCAAGAAGGAGGCTGCCGAAACAGAGGCTGAGTTGCGTCTTCGAGATGTCTGGGCCAAGATTCTGGGCCTTTCTGCTCAATCAATTGGTCGTCACGATAGCTTCTTGCGTATTGGAGGCGATTCAATTGCAGCCATCCAGCTGGTCACCGCTGCCAGAGAGGCCGGCATCATCTTCTCAGTGAAGGATGTCTTTGATGACTCCCGACTTTGGAAGCTGGCTGAATTTGCCTCATCCAAGACGGAATCGGAAAAGGTTGTGGAGGCCATTGCACCATTCAGCCTGCTTCGCACTTCCCTCAACGAGACAGCTGTAACTGCTATTCTGCAGCAGCAATATGGTTTGACCGACAGTGTCGTCGTTGAGGATGCCTATCCCTCTACGAAGCTTCAGGAGGGTCTTATGGCCATCTCTGCTAAGCAGCCTGGAACATATGTTGCAAAGCAGGTCTACGGCCTGCCTGAGCACGTTGACCTTGATACCTTCAAGGCAGCCTGGGAGCGAACAGTTGAGCTTTGTGTCAATTTGAGGACGCGTCTCGTCATCGCCGGTGATGCAAGTGTGCAGGTGGTTATTCGGAACGAAGAAATCGAGTGGGAGACTTGCAATACAACCGTGCAAGCCTACCTCTCCCAGCAGTTCAACATGGGATACGGTTCCCGACTGTTCCGTAACGGAATCGTTCATGAGCCCTCGGGGCAGAACTTCTTTGTCCTGAGCATTCACCATGCCATCTTTGATGGTTGGACGCTCCCGATGCTTATGGAGACACTGGACTCTGCGTATCGCGGCGTCGAAGCTTCCGCCCTCCGCCCATACGCTGAGTTTGTCAAGTATATCCTGGACATTGATGAGGCAGCTGCTGGTGACTACTGGCGAGGCCAACTCCAAGATGCCAAGCGTGCCTCGTTCCCGCCGTCGGCCCCGGTTCAATCATCTCAGACGATTACCAGGATCCTTGAGAAGCCCCTCAACTTCTCTCACTCAATCAAATCCGGCATCACCAAGGCATCAGTCCTCAGGGCTGCCTGGGCCCTGGTGTTATCCAGGTATTCTGATAGCGATGATGTGACATTTGGTGTCAACGTTTCCGGACGTAATGCCGCAGTTGCAGGCATTGAATCGATGCCCGGCCTTGTTGTCGCCACGGTCCCGGTCCGCGTGAGACTGGACCCCGAACAAACGGTTTCCCAATTTGTGGAAAGCATTCAGTCTCAATCGACTGATATGATCCCTTACGAGCAGTTCGGTCTACAAGACATCTCCAAGCTTAGCCCCGAGGCGAAGGACGCTTGCGATTTCTCATCCCTCATGGTCATCCAGCCCATGTCTAGCATCGCCAACAACAAGTCTGTTCTTGAGCCTCCCCCAGAGGACAAGGCTGCTGCTGAAGAGAGCTTGCAGAACTACTTCACTTACCCTCTGGTTATCCAAGCTCACCTGCATGATGATGGTGCGGTCAATCTGCTGCTGATTTACGATGCGAATGTGCTCTCCGAGGATCAACTTCAAGCACTATCCATCCAGTTTGATCATGTGGTGCAACAATTACTTGGCCAAGATTCCGGGGCTAAGCTAAGGGATGTCACCATTGCCGGACCATGGGATTTGCAGCAGGCTATGAGTTACAACGTCAAGGAGCCCGGGATCGTCAACGCCTGTGTACACGAGCTTATTGCTCAACAAGCGGCCCGAGATCCCCATCACGAGGCTATCTACTCAAGCGAAGGCACAGTTACATATGCCACCTTGGATCGTCTCTCCAGCCTCTTGGCCCACCACCTACATGCTCATGGAGTACGGCCTGAGTCGGTGGTTCCATTCTGCTTCGACAAGTCTGCGTGGGCCATCATCGCGATGCTCGCTATTCTGAAGGCTGGTGGTGTTTTCCTCCCCCTTGACCCCTCACACCCGCGCAACCGTCGTGAGGCTCTGATCGAGGAAGTCGGAGCAGAGGTCATGATTGTCTCTCCCTCGTCGTCTGTCACCTGCGAGGGTCTAACTCCCACCATGGTAGAGCTGACGACTCCGCTACTTGAGCAGCTTTCATCGACCTATGATGCCTTCCAGCAGATTCATCCCAAGCCAAAGCCTAGCAATGCAGCCTACGTCCTTTTTACATCAGGCTCTACCGGCAAGCCGAAAGGTGTCTTGATGGAGCACTCGGGCTTTGCCACCAGCACCCTGGGACACGGCCGGGTGTATAACCTTGGCCCGACTTCTCGTGTCTTCCAGTTTTCCAACTATGTCTTTGATGGAAGCTTGGGTGAGATCTTCACCACGCTCTCGTTTGGCGGCACTGTTTGTGTGCCCTCTGAGACTGAAAGACTCCAAGAAGCGCCTACCTTTATGCGCAAGTCCCGTGTTAATACTGCCATGTTGACGCCTTCTTTTGTTCGGACCTTTACGCCCGACCAAGTCCCGTCGCTCCAATTGCTTGTCCTCGGTGGTGAAGCCTCGTCAAAAGATCTCATCGAGACTTGGTGCGACCGCCTGCGTCTTGTCAACGGCTATGGACCAGCTGAAGCTTGCAATTACGCGACAACGCATGACTTCAAGCCGACTGACTCTCCTCGCACGATTGGCCGCGGCTTCAACAGCGCATGTTGGATTGTTGAGCCAACCGACTACAATAGGCTGACCCCTATTGGATGTGTCGGAGAGTTGATTATCCAAGGAAATGCTCTTGCTCGCGGCTACATCAACGACCCCAAGCGCACTGCAGACTCGTTTGTCACTGCTGTCGACTGTCTGCCCAGAGACATGATTTCCGGCCCTCACAGGTTCTACCTGACCGGCGATCTTGTTCGGTACAACTCCACCGGCGAAATGGAGTATCTTGGTAGGAAGGATACCCAGGTCAAGCTCCGCGGCCAACGTCTTGAGCTTGGCGAAATCGAGTACCAAGTCAAGCAGTCATTGCCTGAGATTGAGCACGTTGCTGTCGATGTGGTTCATCGCGAGACCGGCGATGCCCTTATTGCGTTCGTCTCGTTCAAGGACACGGCTTCTTCTGCTTCAAGTGACATACTCTCCCTTGATGACGAGATGCACTCTACCTTGGCCACAGTCATGGAGCACCTGAAGAGCTCTCTTCCTGGCTACATGGTGCCCAGCACTATCCTTCCCTTGAAGAAGATGCCATTCATTACCTCGATGAAAGTTGATCGGAAGAGGCTTATTGCTGTTGCAGCTGAATTATCGTTGGAAGAACTTACCTCATTCTCCCTTGTCAAGCGTGACTTTGCTCCGCCCACCACAGCCATGGAGAAGAAGTTGGCCGACCTCTGGGCTCAAGTCCTTAAGATTGATGTCGGCAGCATTGGCAAGAATGATAGTTTCCTTCAGATTGGTGGTGATTCCATCACCTCGATCCATCTGGTCACGCTTGCGCAAAAGTCTGGCATCAATCTGACGGTAGCCGGCATCTTTGACGACTCTAAGTTATCATCAATGGCACACTCAGCTGGCGAAGGCGATATTGAGCCAGTTTACGAGGTGGTGCCATTCGATATGGTTGCCACACACAATCTGAGCTCTCTGATGGAAGAAGTGCGCACCAAGTGTGGGCTGCCCGGTTCTGCGGTGATCGAGGATATCTACCCTGCAACAAGCTTCCAGGAAGGCCTCATGGCACTGGCCGTGAAGCAGCCTGGCTCCTACATTGCCAAGCAGGTCTATCAGCTGCCAAGGGGTGTTGACGTTGCTCGCTTCAAGGCCGCCTGGGAGACAACTGCGCGCATGTGCAGCAACCTCCGTACTCGGATCGTTCTTGCTGGTGATGCCTCTGTCCAGGTCATCTTGAAGGATATTGGCTCTTGGGAAGTCACTTCAAACATGACACTCAAGTCGTATCTTCAGGCGACTCAGAAGATTAACATGGACTATGGCTCTGCGCTGAGCCGCCACGCGCTCATTGAGCAGGCTGATGGCAAGAACTACTTTGTATGGTCAATCCACCACACTGTATTTGATGGCTGGACGACTCGCCTGGTACTCAACACCTTGCTCTCTGCATACATGGGTGAACAGATTGTCCCGCTTGAGCCGTATGCCCGCTTCATCAACTACGCCATCAATCTCAATATCGATGCCGCCAAGTCCTACTGGACCGAGCAGCTGTTGGATGCCAAGCGGGCATTATTCCCTGCTGTCTCCAACGAGGTTTCCCGCAACAAGACGTCAAACACTCGTGTGCTCGAGAAGGCCTTGGATCTGCCGCAAGTGAAGCAGACCTCGATAACCATGGCCTCGATCTTGCGCGCCACATGGTCCATCGTCCTTGCCCAATACTGCGATACAGACGACGTGACGTTCGGCACAACGGTATCCGGACGACAAGCCCCTGTATCGGGTATCACTGAAATGGCCGGGCCAGTTGTTGCTACTGTCCCTGTACGCGTTCGACTCGACAGAAACGCTTCGGTTCCAGAGTTTCTCAAGGGCATCCAGACTCAGGCTTCCCAGATGATTCCATTTGAACAGTTTGGTCTGCAGAATATTGCCAAGTTGAATGTTGAGGCCAAGGAAGCTTGCGACTTCAGATCACTCTTGGTCATCCAACCAATGAAGAAGCTGCTTGACACTGGCGATCGCGAAGCCATCATGGAGCCTGTTTCAGCGACTACCCGGGATGAGGAAGACTTTATGCAAAACTACTTCTCTTATCCCCTCGTCATCCAAGGCCATGTGTATGAGGAATCGGTCAATCTGGTCCTGATCTATGATGCGGACATTCTGCCTGAGCAACAGCTGCTTGCTTTGGCTCATCAATTCGAGCATGTCGCACAGCAACTTGTTGCTAAAGGCAACCGTACTACCAAGCTTGGAGACGTATCTGTGTCTGGTGCTTGGGACCTGGATTTCGCTCTGCGTCAGAACAGCGAGGTGCCCGAGCTCATCGACTCTTGCTTCCACACCCTTGTTGAACAGCAAGCTGTCGTACGGCCTGAGGCTCCTGCAATCAACGGATGGGATGCCAAGTTCACGTATGCCCAGCTCAACGAGGCTGCTAACAGATTGGCGAACCACCTTGTTGCAGAGTACGAGATCAACAACGACGAGCTTATCCACGTCTGCTTTGAAAAATCTGCTTGGTTCTTCGTTGCAATTCTAGCCATCAACAAGGCCGGCGCAGCTTGGGTTCCCCTAGACCCCTCCCACCCATCTCAACGCCATCAACAGGTTGTCAACCAGACAAAGGCCCGCCTTGCCCTCGTTTCGACCTCCCACATTTCGACTTGTGTCGACCTTGTGGACGACATTCTAGAAGTATCATCCACAACCGATGAGCTTCTTCGCAAGTCGCAGTCTTCTCGCCATGGTCCTACTCGCAAGGTCTCGCCGTCCAACGCTGCGTATGTACTCTTTACCTCGGGCTCAACCGGCACACCAAAGGGCCTTGTCATGGAGCACGGAAGCGTTTGCACATCACAAACAGCCATTGTGAAGCGCCTGAACATGACGCCCAGTGTCAGGATTCTGCAATTCGCTGCCTTTGTGTTCGATCTGTCGATAGGCGAAATTGTCGCACCACTGATTACCGGTGCATGCATCTGCGTGCCTTCAGAGCACGCCAGGATGAATGCGCTGCCTGAATTCGTTCGGCAGAACAACGTCAACTGGGCCTATCTCACGCCATCATACATTCAAACCCTTAGCCCGAAGGACGTGCCCGGCCTTGAATTGGTGTTGCTTGCCGGCGAAGCTGTGAGCAGGGACATCTTGGATGCTTGGTTTGGCAAGGTTCGTCTGGTTAATGGCTGGGGTCCAGCTGAGACGTGTGTGTTTTCCACTCTTCATGAGTGGCGGTCCAAGGATGAAGAGTCTCCTCTCACGATTGGCCGCCCCGTGGGAGGCTTCACTTGGATTGTCGATCCCGAAAACCCCCAGAAGCTCGCACCCATCGGAGTTCCAGGTGAAGTTGTAATCCAGGGACCAACAATCCTCAGGGAGTATCTGGATGATCCTGTCCGCACCTCAGACAGCACCGTTTACAGTCTCCCTCCTTGGGCTCCTAATCGAGGAACCAAGTGGAACAGGTTCTACAAGTCTGGTGATCTTTGCTCGTACAATGCCGACGGAACGATCGAGTTCATCAGTCGCAAAGACACTCAAATCAAGATCCGAGGCCTTCGAGTCGAACTAGGCGAAGTCGAACACCACGTCAAGTCTGCTTTGGACGTCCGACATGTTGCTGTCGATGTGCTTCGATCCAGCAATGGTTCGAACCTGGTGGCCTACTTCTGCTTCAGTGATCAGACGAGAATGAATGGTACTCGTGGAACTTCTGATGGAAGCGGATTGTTTGCTGAGATGGACGACGAACTGCAAACTCGTCTTACTGCCGTGATCGGCCAGTTGAATATTTCGTTGCCGCGGTATATGGTGCCGACTTTCTTCATCCCTTGCCAGTACATGCCTACCATTACCTCCACGAAGCTGGATAGGAACTACCTGAAACGGCAAACCGCGGCGCTCAGCCAGGAAGAGCTTACCATGTATTCTCTTCTACAAGGAGGGAAGAAGCGTGCACCAGAAAAAGACATGGAGAAGCAACTCCAGTCTATCTGGTCTCAGATACTTTCCATTCCATCTGAGAGCATTGGCCTTGACGATAGCTTCCTTGGCCTAGGCGGCGACTCAATCAGCGCTATCCGCCTCGTGGCTTTATGCCGTGAGGAGGCCGTCTCGCTTACAGCGCAGGATATCTTCGACGACCCACGCCTGTTTGCTGTTGCGGCACGCGCCCAGAAGATGAACGTAGTTGTGGAAGAATCTCTTGACATCGCTCCCTTCTCTCTCCTCAGCGAGAAGTCCCAGGAACTGGTCAAGGCCGATGATGTGCGCGCTCAGTGCAACCTGTCCTGGGAAACCGTTGTCGATGCGTACCCCTGCACTCCTCTGCAAGAAGGTCTCATGGCCCTCTCTGTCAAGCAGCCGGGATCGTATATGGCAAGATACGTCTATCGCATGCCTCGAACCGTGAACATTGCGCGGTTCAAGTGGTCCTGGGAGCGAACCGTTTCTCTCTGCGACAATCTTCGCACCCGCATAGTTCTCGTCGGCGGCAGAGCTACGCAGATTGTGGTCGATGGGCCTATTGATTGGGATGTCAGCCACGACTTGGAGGCGCATCTCTCGGCCATGAAGTCCATCAAGATGACCTACGGCTCTGCCCTTTCGCAGATCGCCCTGGTCAAACAGGACAATGGCGACATGTTCTTCACATGGGCCGTCCATCACTCTGTCTTCGACGGCTGGACAGTTCCCATCCTGTTCAATACCCTGCAAGCTGTCTACCAGGGCGTCAAGCCCATCCCACCCGCTCCATACGCTCGATTCATCAAATTCACCATGGGTATCGACAACGACAACACTGTCCAGTACTGGAAGGATCAGTTGCACAATGCAAAGAAAGCCACATTCCCTCCAGCTGCAGCCCAGTCGGGCTCAGTACAAGTGCTGGAAACATCGATCAACTACACACAGGCGCCTGGCTCGTCTATCACCAGAGCCACCATCTTGCGTGCGGCATGGGCCCTCGTCCTAGCCCGGTACTCTGAGAGCAACGACATCACCTTCGGCACCACGATCTCTGGTCGACAGGCGCCTGTGGATGAGATCACCAACATGGCTGGCCCAGCTGTGGCCACGGTCCCTGTGCGAGTTCGTCTTGAGAAACAGCAGACTGTATCTGCCTTCTTACAGGGAGTTCAAAGCCAGGCCATGAAGATGATTTCCTATGAGCAGTACGGTCTGCAAAACATCTCAAAGGTTAGCCTGGATGCCAAGGAGGTTTGTGACTTTACGTCCTTGTTGGTCATCCAACCCGTTGAGGACTTGGCGTACCTTGATGATGATGCTCTCCTAGTCAATGCCGGACCGGAACTCACTGGCGAGACAGAGATGATGCAGAACTATTTCTCGTACCCCCTCATTATCCAAGGCCATCTATATGAGAATAGCATCAAGCTGATGCTTGTGTATGACACTCAAGTCATTTCGACGGGCAAGATGGACGCATTGTCCCACCACTTCAACGCTGCCGTTCAACAGCTCACTCGCAATGGCAACGCCCTCCTAGACAATGTATCACTTGCGAGTGAGTGGGATATGGAGAAGGCAATCGCCTTGAATAGTGGCTCACCTGATGCTATTGAACGCTGTTTCCACGACATGGTTGATGAAGTCGCTTTAGTACGAGGTGACGCTCCGGCCCTTTCTGGCTGGGATAAATCCTTTACGTACAAGGAAATGACTGAGGCGACGAACCGTCTTGCTCACTATCTCGTCAATGATTATGGCGTCAAAGTGGGAGATATCATTCATGTGTGCTTCGAGAAGTCGGCTTGGTTCATTATCGCGACTCTGGCCATCAACAAAGCCGGTGCAGCCTGGTCAACTCTCGACACGTCTCACCCCATCGAGCGGTACCAGAAGATTGTCAGTCAGACAGGATCAAAGCTGGCGCTGGCTTCCGCTGCCAACTCGTATCGATGTGTTGGCGTGTTGCCTCACGTTATCGAGCTTACTCCTGAGCTTGATGCTAGGCTTGCCAAGAACACTTCTTGGAGCGCTTGCGGACCAGCTGTTGCAGTTATTCCCAGCGATATGGCTTATATCCTGTTCACCTCTGGATCTACTGGTGTGCCCAAGGGTGTGGTCATTGAGCACGCCACGCTTTGCACCAGTCAAACGTCTCTGTCACAGACTCTTGGTTTCCACGAGGAATACAAGGTTCTTCAATTCTCGTCTTATTCGTTCGATGCCGCGGTGTTTGAGATTGATTCAACTCTCCTGACTGGCGCTTGCCTGTACGTGCCCTCGTGGGACGAACAGATGAATGAGTTGGTGGGCTATATCCGAAAGCACACAATTACCTGCACGCTCCTGACTCCAACTCTGGCTCGAACCCTCCGCCCCGAGGATGTTCCGTCTCTGAATATGTTGATATTGGGTGGTGAAGCTCCCACTCGAGATATCCTCGATATCTGGTTTGGCAAATTGAAGCTCGTCAACGGCTGGGGTCCGACCGAGGCATGTGTTATCGCGTGCCTCCATTCGTGGACTTCGGTAGACGAGTCTCCCAGCGTCATCGGTCGACCAATTGGTGGCTCTATATGGGTTGTTGATCCGGATGATGCCACTCGCATGGCCCCCGTGGGAACGGTCGGAGAGATTGCAGTTCAAGGCCGGAACTTGTTCCGTGGATATCTCTCTGATCCCGTCAAAACGGCTGCTGCTACAGTGACAGGCCTTCCGGAGTGGGTTCCAAAGCGTGATTCCTCTGCTCACTGGGATCGCTTCTATCTCACCGGTGATTTGGGCTTCATCAACGAAGCCGGTAACGTCGAGTACTGCACTCGCAAAGACACCCAGGTCAAGATTCGAGGACAGCGACTCGAGCTTGGGGAGATTGAGCATCATATCCAAGCCAACCTCGAAGGTGTTCGACAGGTCGCCGTGGACGTCATCAAGTCCGATGCTGGTTCTACGCTCGTTGCTTTTGTTAGCTTCTCTGATGCCACGGAACCAATAGACTCTGACACATCGGCTTTCCTGCCACTTTCCGGAGATCTCCAAGCAACAATCACCAGCCTGGTGGGAACTCTGGGCACTCTGATGCCTCGATACATGGTGCCAAGTGCCTTTATCCCATGCGCTTACATGCCCCTCGCAACGTCCACCAAGTTGGACCGCAAGAAATTGAAAGAGCTTGCTGCCTCCCTGAGCCAGGATGAACTGTCTATCTACTCGCTCGCCAATGAACAAAAGGCCGCTCCTCAGACTGCTATGGAGAGCCGTATCCAGGCGATATGGTCCCAGGTCTTAAACGTCAGCATCGATTCTATCGGACGCGACGATTCGTTCCTCCAGATTGGTGGTGATTCTATCCTCGCTATTCAGCTCGTTTCCGTTGCTCGGGATGCCAACGTTAAGATTACCGTTGGCGACGTGTTTGATGATCCCCGGTTGCTCGCTGTTGCCGCAAAGGCCACTGAACTTGACGATAACGGCGAGGTCATTGCTAACATCGAGCCTTTTGGCCTTTTGGATGAACCCTTGAAGGACCTGGTTCTGAGCCAGCGCATCCAAGAGCAGTACAGCCTTCCAACTGATCGCGAGATTGAAGATGCCTATCCGTGCACGAAGCTCCAGGAGGGTCTCATGGCTCTCGCCGTCAAACAGCCCGGTTCTTACATTGCCAAGTTCCTCTACCGCCTCTCCAGCAACGTTGACGTCTCGCATTTCAAGGCTTCTTGGGAAGAGACCGTTCGTCTCCTACCCAATTTGCGCACCAGGATCTTCACTGCCGGCAACATGTCTATTCAGGCCATCCTCAAGGACGACATCTCCTGGCAACCAACAGAAGGCGACTCTCTGCGATCATACATGGGCTCAGCTCAGAACTTTGAGATGACCTATGGTTCGCCGCTGGCTCGATATGCCCTCATCGAGGACAATGGAGATACTTATTTCGTCCTGTCGATGCACCACGCTGTCTTTGACGGTTGGGGCATCAGGGTGTTGATGAGCGTTTTCCATTCTGTGTTCCGCAAGCAAGCCCCCGTTATCGAGCCGTATGTACGTTTCGTGCAGTACACCATGGATGTCAACAACGATGAAGCTTCAGACTACTGGCGGTCTCAGTTCCAGGGTGCGAGACAAACCATCTTCCCGCCCAATGCATCTGCATCAGAGAGCAGGAAGAACAGCACTCAGACGGTCGAAAAGATGATTGAGCTGCCTAGCATGAACAAGTCGTCTATCACAAAGGCCACCATGCTCCGAGCTGCCTGGGCTATTGTCCTTTCCAGGTATTGCGACAGTGACGATGTTACTTTCGGCATCACCATCTCGGGCCGGCAGGCGCCTGTACATGGCCTAATCAACATGACGGGTCCTGCTATCGCAACTGTTCCCGTGCGTGTTGCTATGGATCGCAAGACGGTTGTCAAGGATTACCTGCAGGCCATCCAGAGCCAGGCAAATGGCATGGTTCCCTTTGAACAATTCGGCCTGCAAAATATCTCTCGCCTTAGTGCTGAGGCTAAGGATGCCTGCGACTTTGGCAGTCTCCTTGTCATCCAACCCATCCAATCACTGGCCTACGTCGATGAGAGTGCAGACACTGTCTTTATCCCGCTTGACGTGGATAAGGAGGTTACCGATACCGTCCAGAATTACTTCAGCTACCCCTTGGTCATCCAAGGCCACATGCATGAAGACTTCATCAACCTTGTGCTCATCTATGACACAGGTGTGTTAGCAGAGAGCCAGATGGTTGCCTTGTCTCACCAATTCGAGAATGTCCTGAAGCAACTCGCGTCCAAGCCCGATCTGGAGCTGGGCTCTGTATCAATGGCTGGTGACTGGGATCTTGAATTCTCCAAGAGACAGAACAGCGAGGTTCCCGAGATCCTTGATGTTTGTGTTCATCAGCTTATTGAGAAGCAAGCCGCTGCCCAGCCAGATGCCCCTGCCGTCCTGAGCTGGGACCATAGCTTTACGTACAAGCAGCTCAACGAAGCATCCAACAGGCTGGCACATCTCCTTGTCAACAAATACCACGTCAAGCCCAACGACCTGGTTCACGTTTGCTTTGACAAGTGTGCTTGGCATTTCGTCGCAATAACTGCCATCAACAAGGTTGGCGCAGCTTGGGTGCCACTTGATCCCTCGCATCCTGAAATGCGACTTCGTCAAATCGTTTCCCAGACTCGGGCCACTCTGACTCTTGTGTCTTCATCTAATGCATCTCTATGCTCTTCTCTTACTGAGAGGGTCATAGAAGTCAATGCAAGCCTTGATAACGAGCTTCTGGCAGTGGAAAGCGGTGAATATGGCCCTTCTGTGGACGTCTCCTCGCACAGCGCCGCCTACGTGTTGTTCACGTCCGGTAGCACGGGCGTTCCAAAGGGTTTCGTTATGGAGCACGGCTCTGTATGTACGTCGCAGATTGCTATCGCCAGGAGACTTGGACTAGGACCAAACGTTCGGATGCTGCAGTTCGCTGCATTTGTCTTTGACTTGTCCATCGGCGAGATCGTTGGTCCGCTCATCTCAGGTGCCTGCATCTGTGTTCCTTCAGAAGACACTCGTATAAATGGCATCGTTGCCTTCATTAACGAGACGAAGGTTACTTGGGCCTACATAACACCATCCTTTGCCCGTACAATCAAGCCGTCCGAAGTGCCTCACCTAGAGCTCCTGCTACTGGCTGGTGAAGCTGTCCCCCGGGATGTTTTCGCAACTTGGTTTGGCAGCACTGTCCGCCTTATCAATGGCTGGGGGCCAGCCGAGACCTGCGTGTTCTCTACTCTCCACGAATGGAAGTCTGCTGATGAAAGTCCTCTGACAGTCGGTCGTCCGGTGGGTGGATTCTGCTGGATCGCTGACCCCGAGGATCCTAGTCGACTTGCAGCAACCGGTACCCTAGGTGAAATCCTTATCCAAGGACCTACAATCCTTCGGGAATACCTCTCAGACGTCGCCAGAACGGAGGCTACGGTCATCAAGTCCCTTCCGGAGTGGGCTCCCTTCCGCAACGAACCTGGCTGGGATCGGATGTATAAGTCAGGAGATCTTGGCTTCTACAACCCTGATGGAACCATTGAATTCTCCAGTCGCAAGGATACCCAAGTCAAGATCCGTGGTCTGAGGGTCGAGTTAGGTGAAGTTGAACATCACGTTCAGGTCGCTTTACCCGGCGTTAAACAAATCGCTGTAGACGTCTTCCAGGGCGAAAACGGTACCAACCTCGTGGCCTTCTTCTCCTTCAATGATGAAACCCGCCAAATCCATGAAGCAGATTCGTCCGGACCTTTTGAGCCGCTCGACGACAACTTGCAGGATCGCCTTACTGCTGTCGTCGGTGAGCTTAGTGTATCTCTGCCCCGATACATGATTCCTACCCTCTTCATCCCTTGCAAGTATATGCCGTCTATCACGTCCACCAAGCTTGACCGGAACGAACTCAAGCGTCGCAGCACAGCACTTAGCCAGTCTGAACTCGCTGTGTATTCGTTGCAGGGCGGAAAGAAGAGGGCTCCTGAGACACCAATGGAGAGCCTCATCCAAGCCCTTTGGTCAGACATCTTGCACGTTCCGGCCGATTCTATTGGCCGTGACGACAGCTTTTTGGGCCTAGGTGGCGATTCAATTACTGCAATCCACCTGGTCAGCATTGCTCGTGAGAAGGGCATTCAACTTGTTGTGAAGGACATCTTTGACGATCCTCGTCTCTTGGCCGTGTCCAGTAAAGCCAAGGAGATGGACATCGAGGCTCGACAAGAGCTGCTTGAGGTATCGCCGTTCAGTCTTCTGAATGCTGAAACTCATGATCTCGCTATCGGTCCAAGTGTCAGACAGCAACTCAATTTGCTCGAAGGCCAGACGATTGACGATGCGTACCCCTGTACCAAGCTTCAGGAAGGTCTCATGGCCTTGTCAGTTACTCAACCGGGATCCTACATCGCGAGATATGTCTACCGTCTATCCAGACAAGTCGATGTTGCTCGCTTCAAGTCCGCCTGGGAAACCACTGTTGCTCTGCGTGATATCCTACGAACGCGGATCGTCATGATTAACGGCACATGCATTCAACTGGTTGTCAAGGGTGGTGTCGTCTGGGATCTTATCGATTCCGAGAGTCTGGAGGAAGCTGCCCACAAGACGCACTCTCACACCATGACCTATGGCTCGCAACTATCCAGAACCTCCATCTATGAGACCAAGACTGGCGACAAGTACTTCCTGTGGACTGTTCATCACGCCATCCACGACGGCTGGTCTGTGCCTGTCATCTTCAGCACTCTCTATCAAGCTTATGAAGGTCTGGAACTGGGGACTCCCAAGTCTTACTCCGGCTTCATCCGATACACTTTGGAGCTTGATCAGGAGGCTGCTAGCAATTACTGGAGAGAACAGCTGCAAGACGCCAAGCGGGCCAGTTTCCCCAAAACCGGACTCACGACAAAATCCGCCGACAATGAGCAGAAGATTCAGGTCATGTCGACTTCTCTCAGCTTCCCTTCATCATCCAACGAAGCTGTCACTAAGGCTAGCGTCATGAGGGCTGCCTGGGCGGTTGTCCTTGCAAGATACTGCGACAGTGATGACGTCTGCTTTGGTGCCACCATCTCTGGAAGACAGGCACCTGTGCATGGTGTACTCGAGATGGCCGGCCCGGCAGTTGCAACTGTGCCTGTGCGTGTGAAGCTGGACAAGGGCCAGAGCATCCCTCAGTTCCTTCAAGTCATCCAGAACCAAGCCCATGAGATGGTTCCATATGAGCAATATGGTCTACAAAGTATTGCGAAGCTGGGAGCAGATGCAAGAGATGCTTGCGATTTTACGTCTCTCTTGCTGATCCAGCCTGTTCAGCGCCTTTCTTCGGGCGTTGCAGATGAGGAGGGCCTCTTGGTTCCTGCTCAGTCAGAGATCAAGGACATGGTTCAGAACTACTACAGCTATCCTCTCGTTATCCAGGGTCACGTATACGATGACCGAGCTGATCTCGTTTTGATCTACGACTCAACGGTTGTTCCAGAGCCCCAGATGACTGCTCTTTCTCACCACTTTGACAATGTGGTGCAGCAGCTGTTGGCTGTGGATGGCAAGTTGGGCGACATTTCTGTTGCTGGTTCATGGGATCTTGAGCTTGCACAAAAGTCCAATGGCGACGGACCCGAGATCATTGAGGACTGCATCCACTCCATCATTGAGAGACAGGTCCAACAGAGGCCAAACTCACCTGCCGTCGATGCTTGGGACGGACGTCTGACCTACAGCCAGCTGGATCACGCCGCCAATAGGCTCGCTCACCTGCTTGTTGATGACTATGCGGTTCAAGTTGGCGACATTGTGCACGTCTGCTTTGAAAAGTCGATGTGGTACATTGTGGCTATTCTCGCGATCAACAAGGCCGGTGCCGCCTGGGCACCCCTCGATTCTGCGCATCCTTTCCAGAGACTCCAGGCTGTTGCTAAGCAAACCGGTGCCAAACTGGCCCTTGCTTCGACTGCAAACGCCGGACTCTGCAAGCAGCTTGTGGATCGTGTGATTGAAGTGTCGGCAGCTCTCGACGAAAAGCTCTCGTCCAACGCCGTCAGCAGCGGAAAGGGACCTCAAGTCAATGTATCCCCTCTAGATGCTGCGTATATCCTGTTCACATCTGGTTCCACTGGTACACCAAAGGGTATCGTGATGCAACATGGAGCACTCTGCACAAGTCAAACGGACATCAGTCGATGGCTGGGCCTTGACCACACCGTCAGGATGCTGCAATTCTCATCGTTTGTGTTCGATGTGTCTGTCGGTGAGATCATGGAGCCGTTGATGAACGGTGCCTGTGTCTGTGTTCCTTCGGACCACATGCGTCTCAACAGCCTCGATGTCTTTGTCCGCGATTTCAACGTGACTTGGGCGTATCTGACCCCGTCATTTACGCGCACCTTGAAGCCGGAAGACTTCCCTGGACTCGAGCTTCTGTTGCTTATCGGAGAAGCCGTCACTCAGGATGTCCTCGATACGTGGTTTGGTCTTCCTAACACCCGCTTCGTCAACGCTTGGGGTCCTGCAGAGACGTGCGTTTTCAGCACACTGTATGACTGGCAGTCCAATACTGAGTCTCCCTTGACGATTGGACGAGCTGTTGGTGCGTATGTGTGGGTTGTGGATGCTGAGAATCCCCAGCGGCTCGCTCCTACAGGCTGCTTAGGCGAAATCGTCGTTCAAGGCCCTCCACTCCTCAGGGAATATCTTGCTGATCCTTCGAAAACGGCGGCTGCTACTGTGACGGAGCTCCCTGAGTGGGCTCCCCGACGAGAATTGACCAAATGGAACCGCTTCTACCGGACTGGTGACCTGGGCTTCTACAGTCATGATGGTCTGCTTCACTATGCCAGCCGCAAGGACACTCAAGTCAAGATTCGTGGATTGCGTGTTGAGTTGGGCGAAGTTGAACACCATATCCGAAGCTCGTTGGATGGTGTTCGCCAGGTTGCTGTCGACGTCTTCAAGACTGAGACGGGAGCCAACTTGGTGACCTACTTCTGCTTTACCGATGACACCAAGACTCCTGGCCCTGACACCGATCCTGAGGGCAAAGATGTGTTCATGTCTATTGACGCTGCCCTACAGGAGAAGCTGGGCAACATGTTGAGCAAATTGAACTCATCACTGCCTGGGTACATGATTCCAACACTCTTTATCCCTTGCGACTACATGCCTCTCATCTCGTCTGCCAAGTTGGACCGTGTCAAGCTTCGTCGCATCACAGCCGAGCTCAGTCAAGATCAACTGGAATCCTATTCGTTGCTTGACACCGATAAACGGGCGCCCGAGACGGAAATGGAGATTCGTCTCCAGAAGCTCTGGGCTGAGATCCTCAACTTACCGGAATCCTCGATTGGCCGAGACGACAACTTCCTACGAATTGGTGGTGACTCGATTGCTGCTATTCGTCTTGTTTCAATGGCCCGCGACGTCGGAATCAGCCTGACAGTTGACGACATCTTCAATGACGCTCGTCTGATTTCAATTGCTGCCAAAGCTGTTGATGGCGATGTATATAGCTCCATCATGGCGCCGATTGATGCATTCAGCCTCTTGTCACCCGGAACTGGAGACTTGGTTCTGCCCTCAGCTCTCCCCGAAGGGCAGGTTATCGAAGATGCTTACCCTTGCAGCAAGCTTCAAGAAGGTCTCATGGCTCTCGCTGTGAAGCAACCGGGCTCATACATCGCCAAGTATGTCTACAAGCTCCCAGAGCATGTGGACGTTGTCAAGTTCAAAGCGGCTTGGGAGCGCACAGTGGAGTTGTCCAGCATCTTGCGCACTCGCATCATCCAGATCAACGGCCGTTCGATCCAGGTTGTCATCAATGGTGATGTAACCTGGGATGAGACTGATGGCAGCTTGCAGCCGTGCCTTGCTCGTGCTCAATCTCTCGAGATGGGCTACGGTGATCGTCTTTGCCAGTACGCTCTCATTCGAGATGGCAACAGCACATATTTCATGTGGAATGTGCACCATGCTGTCATTGATGGTCTGTCAACTCAAAACATTCTGGCCACGCTTTTCAGGCTCTACAGCGGCATCGACGTGTTGTCAGTTCCCCCATTTGCGCGCTTCATCAAGTACATTCTCGGTCTCGATGAAGAGGTCACAGCCAACTATTGGAAGACGCAGCTGTCCAACGCCCGCAAGGCCATTTTCCCGCCCTCAAAGGATGCCTCCAATGACAAGCCAGAGGCTACTCGAACGTTGGAGACGTCTATTGATCTTCCTTCCAGCATCAAGAACTCAACCATCACAATGGCCACAGTTGTCCGATCTGCCTGGGCCATCGTGCTTGCGAGGTACTGTGAGACTGACGATGTGACATTTGGTACTACAATCTCAGGTCGGCAGGCTCCTATCCCCGAGGTCATGGAAATGGTCGGTCCTATTATTGCCACCGTGCCAGTCCGCGTCCGTATTGATCGCCGTCAGCTCGTCTCGGAGTTCCTCGAAGGCGTGCAGAAGCAAGCTGTGGAGATGACGGCCTTTGAACAGTACGGCCTTCAAAATATCGCCAGGCTGAGTGAGGACGCGCGTGATGCTTGTGACTTTGGCAGTCTTCTCGTGGTCCAGCCTATGCAGCATCTTGGTGGCGCCGGCAACGACGATGCCATCTTGGTCGATGCTGCAATTCCGGACAATAGTTCTGCTGAGTCTCTCCGGAACTATTTCTCTTATCCCCTTGTCATCCAGGCTCACTTGTACGATGATCATGTCAACCTTGTGCTGGTCTACGACTCGAACGTCATCCCAGAGGCTCGACTGGTGGCATTATCGCATCACCTCAGTCATGTTATGACACAGTTGACCACCACTGAGCCAGCTGCCTTGGACACTGTGTCAGTCTCTTCGCCATATGACGTCCAGAAGGCATTGTCATTCAATACTGAAGTCCCAGAGGTCATTGACGCCTGCATTCATGAATTGTTCGAACAACAGGCCAGTTTGCGTCCGCAAGCGCCAGCTATTGCCGCTTGGGACGGCAACTTAACCTACGACGAGCTTAACAAAGCAGCTAACAAGTTGGCTCACCACCTCGTCAACGTCTATGGTGTCAAGCCTAACGATTTCGTACACGTTTGCTTCGAGAAATCAGCTTGGTACATCGTCTCGATCCTTGCAATCAACAAAGCTGGCGCCACTTGGGTCCCCTTGGATCCCTCCCACCCTGAGCAACGATGGCAGTCTATCATCAGCCAAACAAAGGCCACTCTTGCTCTGGTCTCGCCGGGTAGTGTTGGCCCCCTATCACGCTTGATCGACAATGTTGTCGCGGTTGATTCGAACCTCGATAGCTTGCTTCCTGAACATGACGCGGCACGAGGCCTCAGTGTGTCAATCTCCCCTAGTACAGCTGCATACGTGCTGTTTACTTCGGGTTCAACCGGCACTCCCAAGGGATTCATCATCGAGCACAGGTCGATATGCACAAGCCAGAAGGCGTTCAACAAGAGGCTACGCTACCATGAAAACGTGCGCGTCTTACACTTTGCGGCTACTGTTTTCGATCTCTCGATTGGTGAAATCATCATGTCGCTTCTAAAAGGAGCGTGTCTATGTGTTCCTTCTGAGCACACTCGATTGAATGGCATCGTCGACTTTATCCGCGACATGAAGATCAATTGGCTCTATCTCACGCCCTCTTTCTTGCGAACGATAGATCCAAGCCAGGTTCCCAATGTCGAATTGATTCTCCTGGCAGGCGAAGCTGTGCCGCGCGAGGTTTTCGAGACCTGGTACGGACGCGTTCGTCTGTTGAACGGCTGGGGTCCAGCGGAAACATGTGTCACGAGCGCCATCCATGAGTTTGAATCTGCTGACGACTCACCGTTGACCGTCGGTCGCCCTGTGGGTGGCTTCTGCTGGATTGTTGATCCAGAGAACCCACAGCTTCTTGCGCCGACAGGGACCGTGGGCGAGGTCGTCATCCAAGGACCAACATTGCTTCGCGAGTATTTGGATAACCCCGAAAAGACGCAAGAGACAACAGTCTATGAGCTACCTGACTGGGCACCCCGTCCCGATGAGAAGAACTGGAGTAGGTTCTACAAGACGGGCGATTTGTGCTTCTACAACCCGGATGGCACTATTGAGTTTTCCTCTCGTAAGGACACACAGGTCAAGATTCGCGGTCTCCGTGTCGAGCTTGGCGAAATCGAGTACCATGTTCAAGCATCGCTGGAAGGAATCCGTCAAATTGCTGTGGACGTCGTCAAAACCGACAACGGCTCTCACTTGGTCGCTTATCTGTGCTTCAACGATCAGATGCGTCAACCTGACGAAGCTGAGGTCAACGGGCCATTTACCCCTATCGATGCTGAGCTTCAAGACAAGCTCATTGGCGCAGTCAGCATGTTGAATGTGACGCTCCCGAGGTATATGATTCCGACATTCTATATCCCGTGCAGCTACATGCCCTACAACACATCTGGTAAGCTGGATCGAAGGGAGCTCAAGACGCAAACTGCTGCTCTAGGCCAGTCCGGACTGAGCAATTTCTCACTACACGGCGTTGATAAGCGTGCCCCCGAGACGCCGATGGAGATTGAGCTACAGAAGGTCTGGTCAACGGTCCTGTCTCTCCCGACCGACTCGATTGGCCGTGATGATAGCTTCCTTGGCTTGGGCGGTGATTCAATCATGGCTATCCATCTTGTCAGCGCGTGCCGCGAAGCTGGCATCTCCCTTACCGTCAAGGACGTTTTTGATGATCCTCGCCTGTCCGCGGTTGCTTCTAAGGCTTCCCGCCTTGACTCTACGGATCAAGAGACCTCCGTCGCGCCTTTCAGTTTGTTGCCCGACCGTATCCGCGAGATGGCGCTCAGCAACGATGTCCGATCACAAGTTTCATTGTCCGCCAGCGACTCAGTGGAAGATGCCTACCCTTGCTCAAAACTCCAGGATGGTCTGATGGCCTTGTCCGTCAAGCAGCGAGGCTCCTATGTCGCACAGTATGTGTACAAGCTGTCGACCAGTGTCGACCTCGAGAGATTCAAGGCTGCTTGGGAGAAGACACTCCAGCTTTGTGCAAACCTTCGCACCCGTATCGTCATGCTTGATGGCATTTGCGTTCAACTACTGATCGATGGCCCGGCGGAATGGGACGACCAATCTCCAACGGACTTGAAGGCCACTGTTGATGCGACTCGCACTGACATGACCTACGGCTCTCGTCTTAACCGTTTTGCTCTTGTCCAGGATCCCGAGTTTGGCAACCACTTTGTCTGGTCATCACACCACGCCGTTCATGACGGTTGGACCCTTAGAATTGTCATGAATACTCTGTACGGAGTCTATCTAAACCAAACGGCACCTCGTCTTCTCCCGTATTCCGCCTTTATCCGCTACACAGTCAACATCAACGCGGACGATGCCAATGCCTTTTGGAGCGAGCAGCTGAGGAACGCGAAGCGTGCCACGTTTCCACCAATGCCCCGTATCGAGTCCCATGCTAGCATCACTCGCATGATGAACAAGACGATTTCCTTCCCTCCCTCCGTCAAGACAACGACTACGAAGGCTACTATTCTCCGTGCTGCTTGGGCCATTCTCCTAGCCCGTTACTGTGATTCTGACGATATCACGTTTGGAACCACAATTTCTGGCCGTCAAGCTCCTGTGCCGGGCCTCACGGAAATGCCAGGCCCAGTCGTTGCAACAGTCCCGATTCGCGTTCGCATTGATGCCAGCCAGCCAGTGTCTCGCTTCCTGAGCAAGATACAGTCACAAGCAACTGACATGATTGCCTATGAACAGTTCGGTCTGCAGAACATCATCAAGCTGGGTGCTGACGCTAAGGATGCCTGCGAGTTCTCTTCTCTTCTCGTCATCCAGCCTCGAACTCACTTGGATGCAATTGAGAGCAAGGAAGCTTCTGATCCCCTGATGACGACTTCGGTGGCGGCAAAGGGCGCTGAGCAACTCATGCAAGGCTATTTTACGTACCCCCTTGTGATCCAAGGCCACGTTTTTGACGACTCTATTGAGCTCCTTTTGACGTATGACTCGACCATCCTGTCGGAAGTCGCCATGGAAGCTCTTTGCCATCAATTTGACGTTGTCTCTAACCAGCTGGTCAAGGAATCCAATGACCCTCTTGGTTCCGTCGCCGTCTCTGGTGAATGGGATCTCGAGCAAGCAAAGAAGTGGAACGTTGAGAATCCCGACATCCTCGACACATGCATCCACAACCTCATCGAAGAGCAAGCACGCATCAGACCAGACGCACCGGCCATTTGCGCTTGGAATGGTGAGATGAGCTACAGCCAGCTCAACTTCGCTGCTAACAAGCTTGCCCATCACCTTCTCAACGCCGGCGTCAAGTCCGAGGACTTGGTACACGTTTGTTTTGAGAAGTCGCTGTGGTTCTTTATCTCCATTGTCGCAATTAACAAGGTGGGCGCAGCTTGGGTGCCGCTTGATTCATCTCACCCTGAGCAGCGTCTGCGCCAAGTCGTGAGCCAGACTCGTGCCCAATTTGCGTTGTCTTCTCCTACCAATGCCGCTCTTTGTGGAAGCCTCGTCGACAAGGTCATCGAAGTGTCACAAGGCCTCATCGACAGTTTCCCGTACGATGGTGCCAATGGACCGGCCATCAAGGTACCATCAAGCAACGCTGCATATGTCCTCTTCACTTCGGGCAGCACAGGAACGCCAAAGGGTCTTGTTATGCAGCACCAAGCCGTCTGTACCAGTCAAGCCGCCATCGCTAAAAGGCTTCGCCTGACGCCTGATGTGAGAATTCTCCAATTCGCCGCATACGTCTTCGATTTATCGATTGGAGAGATCGTTGCTCCCTTAATCCATGGAGCTTGTGTATGTGTGCCATCGGAGGAGATGAGAATGAATGGGCTGAAGGAATTCATCCGGGACGCATCCATCAACTGGGTATTTTTGACGCCTTCCTTTGTTCGAACGCTGCGGCCTGAAGACGTACCCAATCTTGATCTACTGCTCCTTGCCGGTGAAGCCGTGGGAAGAGATATCCTCGACACATGGTTCGGTAAGGTACGCTTGGTCAATGGCTGGGGTCCTGCTGAAACGTGTGTCTTCTCCACGCTACACGAGTGGGCTTCCATTGACGAGTCTCCATTGACTGTTGGAACACCTGTCGGAGGTCACTGTTGGATCGTGGACGCCGAGGACTCCAGCAAGCTGGCGCCAATCGGCTGCTTGGGTGAAGTCGTTCTTCAGGGCCCAACGCTACTTCGTGAGTATCTTGCTGATCCTCAGAGGAGCAAGGAGGCCATCATCACCTCGTTGCCGTCATGGGCGCCAAAGCAAGACAGTCAGCCTTGGAGCCGCTTTTACAAGTCCGGCGACTTGTGCTACTACAACCCTGACGGCACGCTCGAATTCTATAGCCGCAAGGATACCCAGGTCAAGATTCGTGGCCTCCGTGTGGAACTGGGCGAGGTTGAACACCACATTCGTGAATCGCTTGAAGGTGTCCGACAGGTGGCTGTAGATGTGTTGAAGTCAGAAACAGGTACTAACCTGGTCTCATACCTCTGCTTCAACGACGACTCTCAGCCCGTCTCGTCAGAGCTTCAAGCAAGCGATGTCTATCTCCCCCTTGATGCCGACATCCAGACTCGCATCACGGCCATGGTTGGCGAGCTTAGTGTGACCCTTCCACGGTATATGATTCCCACGCTGTTCATTCCTTGCAAATTCATGCCTGTCATTACCTCCACCAAGTTGGACAGGAAAACACTCAAGGCAATGACGGCGTCCCTAGACAGGGATCAGCTAGCACACTACTCGCTGATTGATAGCAAGAAGAGAGCTCCCGAGACCGAGATGGAAACCCGCCTCCAGGTCATCTGGGCCGACATCCTCGGTCTTCCTGTCGACTCGATTGGCCGTGACGATAGCTTCCTCCAGATTGGAGGTGATTCTATTACTGCAATCTACTTGGTGTCTAAGGCCCGTGAAGCCGGCATCTCGCTTGTTGTCAAGGATGTCTTTGAAGACTCGCGTCTGCTTGCCGTTGCTTCCAAGGCCGTCTTCTCGGAATACGCCCAAGAGGATCAGGAGCCCGTCGTACCCTTCAGCCTCTTGAACGAACAGACCCGTGCCCTCGTGCTTGGCGGCGAGGTTCGCAAACTGTGCGGCCTTGCTGAAGATCAGATCATCGAAGATGCTTATCCTTGCACGTCACTGCAGGAAGGTCTGATGGCCTTGACCGTGAAGCAACCGGGCTCGTACGTTGCCAAGTATGTTTACAAGCTTGCGCCCTTCGTCGACGTCGATCGCCTCAAGGCTGCGTGGAGCCGCACTGTTGAGCTCTGCGGCAACATGAGAACGCGAATCGTTCTGCTAAATGGCTCGCCTGTCCAACTGCTCCTTAAGGAGGACAGCCAGTGGCAGTCACTGGAGGCCGAGACACTTGCCTCAGTTGCCACGTCTTCTCGCGACTTGATGATGGGCTATGGATCACCTCTTTGCTGGTACGGAATTCTCGAAGAGAACGATGCTCGATATCTGGTGTGGTCGGCCCATCATTCCATCTACGATGGCTGGGTGATGCGTATCCTGGTGACTACCCTATACACGGTATATCACGGCGCGGAAGTCACGCCTTTGCAGCCCTATTCCGGCTTCATCAAGTACAATATGGAGCTGGATAGTGCTTCTTCCGCTGAGTTTTGGCGAGAGCAATTGTCAGGCTCCAAGAGGGCGGCATTCCCAGCCCGACAGCCCGCTGCCACATCATCGTCCTCAACGCAGATATTCAAATCCAGCATCAGCATTGGACAAGCCAAACAGAGCAGCATCACAAAGGCCTCTATTTTAAGGGCTGCCTGGGCTATCGTTCTTGCGAGATACTGCGATACCAACGATGTTAGCTTTGGTGCGACTGTGTCGGGTCGCCACGCTCCTGTGGCTGGTCTCGAGACCATGCCCGGTCCTATGATTGCGACTGTCCCAGTTCGCGTTCACTTGGATCGTGCTTCCACCAAGTCCCAGTTCCTTGCAAGCATCCAAAGCCAGGCCCACGAGATGGTTCCTTATGAACAGTTTGGTCTTCAAAACATCTCAAAGGTAAGCCAGGATGCTAGGGATACTTGCGATTTCTCAAGCTTGCTCGTCATCCAACCCCCTGCGACCACCATCTCAGAAGAGGACTCCAAGACCAACATCCTCGTCTATGGTGACGCGGAACAGAGCCGCACGGATGACGCTATGCAAAACTACTTCAACTATCCTCTCGTCATTATCATGAACACCTTTGAGGATCACATTCTGCAGCGCTTCTTCTACAACCCAGACGTCCTGGACGAGGCTCGAGTGTCTGCTTTGTCGCAGCACATTGGCCATGTTGTTGAGCAGCTTCTGGCATCAAGCGATGAAGCCCTCGACAGCATTGACCTCGTCAGCGACTGGGACGTGCAGCACGCTGTGGAATCCACACGGCTGAAGCCGTCAACCGAGTCATGTACGCATTGGCTCATCCGAGATCGCATTGAGAAGCAGCCCAGCGATCCCGCTATTGCTTCTTGGGATGGCGATCTCACATATGAAGAGTTGGGCGTCTTAGCATCCCGTCTTGCGTGGAAACTTCAAGGCCTCGGCGTTGGACCCGAGTCCCTCATTCCATTGTGCTTCCCCAAGTCTACCTGGGCAGTTGTTGCAATGGTTGCTATTGAGATGGCTGGTGGTGCCTTCGTTCCCCTTGACCCTAAGGCGCCTGTTGCTCGTCTTCGTGGTATCATTGAAGACACCAAGTCAACCCTGGCAGTTGCCAGCCCGTCATGCCAGGATGCTCTTCATGAGATTGGCATCGATGTGTTGGCCGTCGACGAGGCTCTCCTGCTGGAGTTATCCGACCCCGTGGAGGGCATTCAGTCAAAGGCAGGGCCAAAGGACGCAAGTGTTGTGTTGTTCACCTCAGGATCAACCGGAAAGCCCAAGGGAATGGTTATCCAGCACAACAGCTTATGCTCATCTGGAAATGCGTACGGCCAGGACCTCAACATCGGACCTGGAACGCGTGTCTTCCAATTCTCTGCCTATACCTTCGACGTTGGTGTACTTGACTGCCTCGTTTCTCTCATGCGGGGTGCGACGATATGCATTCCTTCAGACCATGCTCGCCTCAATGACCTTGCTGGAGCTATGACTGCAACCAAGGCCAATTGGGTGTTCCTTACACCTACGGTTGCGGATCTTCTTTCACCAGCAGATGTTCCATATCTCAAGGTCCTCTGCTTGGGTGGTGAAGCCATTAGCAAGAAGTGTGCAGACCGATGGATCAACTACACTGAGCTCCATGGCTTATACGGCCCTGCTGAGGCTTCCATCTGTGCCTGGAACCCAAGTGTTGGCAAGTCTGGGCGGTCAACCAACCTCGGAAGACCGATATCATCAGCCTTCTGGGTAGTCGAGCCCAATAACCATAAGCAACTTGTCCCCGTTGGTTGTATTGGTGAGCTCTTGATCGAAGGGCCAATGCTCGCTCGAGGATATCTCAACGTCAGTGCCGACGTTGCTTCCAACTGGATGGATAACGTCGACTGGCTCCCGGGAAGCGACAAGAAGAGAGTCTACAGGACAGGTGACTTGGTTCGCCGCAACGCTGACGGAACGTTTGAGTTTATGGGCCGTAAAGATACACAAGTGAAGCTCCACGGTCAACGTGTTGAGCTTGGCGAAATCGAGGCCCGTATCCACGAATTCCTCCCCAGTGACATGGCTGCTATCGTCGCCGTTGTCAAGGACGAACACGGCCATGACAGCTTGCTTGCTTTCATGTGGTACACCGAAGGGGTCGTTGCCTCTCGATCGACCGCCCATCTCATGGAGGTTGTCTCAGACGAGGCGCGTGCCACCATCTCTCATGTTGACTCTTCCCTCGAAATGGTGCTGCCTTCATACATGATTCCATCGTCTTATCTGGTATTCGAGGGCAAGCCTGAACAAACCGTCAATGGCAAAGTTGACCGAAAAGCACTGCTGGCTCACGCTCAGAACTTATCAACACAAGATCGTCTGCGATTCGCGCCTGTTGTTGGCAAGAGTGAGCCACCGAGCACCCCCATGGAGTTCAGGCTCAGAGACCTCTGGGCTCAGGTGTTGCAGATTGACGCTGAGTCTATTAGCAAGAATGATAGCTTCCTGCGTATTGGAGGTGACTCTATCAGCGCAATCCAGCTCGTCTCTTTGGCCCAGCAGAATAACATTGGCCTCACGGTAGCTGCCATCTTTAACGATCCTCGCTTATCCCACATGGCTGAGGCTGCCAACGTTGACGACATCATGCCCGTCTATGAGACTAAGCCATTTAGTATCATCCCGGCTTCGGCTATGGATGAGGTTCTCGCCCAAGTACGCTCTCAGTGCGACAATCTCTCAGAGACAGCCATCATCGAAGATGCTTATCCCTGCACTCGATTACAAGAAGGGTTGATGATCCTGGCTGTGAAGCAACCTGGGTCATACGTCGCCAAGCATGTGTATCGCCTTTCTGATAACATCAACGTCGCGCGATTCAAGCGCGCGTGGGATCAGACCGTTGAAGCCTGTGCAGCGCTGCGGACGCGAATCGTCCTTGTTGACGGCTCAGCTTACCAAGCCGTCATCAAAGACTCTGTGAAATGGCAGACAGCATCCGACATTCGTTCATTCTCCATGTCTCCGGACAACACTCAAATGGGCTACGGCTCCCCTCTATGCCGGTACGCGCTTATTGAGCAGAATGGTGAGAGGTACTTCGTTTGGAATACTCATCACACGGTATATGACGGGTGGACTTTGCCCCTGATCATGGGCACGCTTCACGCTTTCTACAGCGGCACTGATGCCCCTCCACTCCTCCCCTATTCTGGCTTCGTCAAGTATGTGACGGAAATGGACTCTGCGGCTGCTAGTGAGTATTGGACTCAACAGCTTGAGGGTGCTAGGAAGACTACTTTCCCTCCTGGAGCTGAAGCCGTCAAGACCAAGAAATCGCAGATGTCAACCAGGGTCATGCGCAACACGGTCCAATTCCCACGGTCGACTAATACGTCAATCACGAAGGCTTCTGTCCTTCGAGCCGCCTGGGCGATTGTGCTCGCACGGTATAACGATACTGACGATGTCTGCTTCGGATCTACAGTCTCCGGCCGCCATGCTCCTGTACCAGGAATCGAGCGAATGCCTGGCCTTGCGGTCGCGACTGTCCCTGTCCGCGTCAAGCTGGATCAGAAGCAGTCCCTGGATGCCTTCATGGAGGGTATTCAGTCGCAGGCCTCTGAGATGGTCGCATATGAGCAATTCGGCATTCAGAACATATCCAAATTGAACGCCAAGGCTAAGGAGGCTTGCGATTTCACCAGCTTGTTGGTTGTACAACCGACCCAGCACATCACTTCGACTGGAAACGCCAGCGAAGAAGCCCTCCTTACTGCCGCAGCAACGGACGACATTGCTGCTGACGAGATGCTGGACAACTATTTCAACTACCCCTTGGTCCTGCAGTGTTACGTGCTTGATAACCAAGTCGAGCTTGTCCTCGTCTATGACTGCGATGTCATTGCTGAGCATCAACTCGTTGGCTTGTCCCACCAGTTCCAGCATGTAGTTACCCAACTGCTTAGCCAGGATGGTCCTCTATCTGCTGTTTCTGTAGCAAGTGAATGGGACCTTGAGTTTGCTCAGGCGTCCAATCACGATGAGCCTGCTGTTGTTGACGACTGCATCCACAACATGATCGAGCAACGAGCCCTGATGAACCCCAACGCTGAGGCCGTCAGTGCCTGGGACGCCCGCTTTACCTACGCTGAGTTGGACCGGTCTGCTAATATACTGGCAAACCATCTGATCCAATCAAGGGGCGTTCAAGTAGGCGACTTGGTCCACGTGTGCTTCGAGAAGTCGGCTTGGTATGTCGTATCAATCTTGGCCATCAACAAAGCGGGTGCAGCTTGGATTCCACTGGATCCGTCACATCCTGCCGAACGCCACCAACAAGTGGTTGGGCAAACTCGCTCCAGATTGGCCCTCACGTCGCCCGCAAATGCTGCCAAGTGTGCCAACCTTGTAGCCAACGTTTTGGAGGTGACGAGAGGGCTCCTCGATGACCTGGAAACGCAAGTCAACCATGCAAGGCCAGTCACAAGTGTCGGTCCTCAAGATGTGGCCTATATACTGTTCACGTCCGGATCGACTGGTGTTCCCAAGGGCGTTGTTATGGAACACGGAGCTCTCTGCAGTAGCCAGACGTCCATCAGCAAGCGACTTGGCTATGCACCTGGTGTGCGGATGCTTCAATTCGCCTCGTTTGTCTTCGACGCCTGTATTGGCGAGATAATCGCTCCACTGATCTCGGGCTCCTGCGTCTGTATCCCGTCATGGGAGACACAGATGAACTCACTGACCAGCTACATCCGCGAGGAAAATGTTACTTGGGCCATGCTCACCCCGTCGTTTGCCCGTACCATGGATCCTAGCGAGGTACCTTGCTTGGAGCTCCTGATCCTGATCGGCGAGGCTGTCAGCCGCGACGTATTCGAGCTGTGGTTCGGCAAGCTCCGTCTACTCAACGGTTGGGGTCCTACGGAAACGTGTGTCTTTGGTGCTCTGCACGAGTGGCAGTCCATCGACGAATCTCAGATGACCATCGGTCAACCAGTCGGTGGTTACTGCTGGATAGTCGACCCTGAAGATCCGCAGAGATTAGCCCCTACAGGCACCTTTGGTGAGGTTGTTATTCAAGGGCCTAATCTGCTTCGCGAGTATCTTGCCGATGAGGTCAAGACGGCTTCATCAACTGTTCCTGTCCTCCCAGAATGGGCTCCCAACAGGCATTTGCGTCATTGGAACCGGTTCTATAAGACAGGCGATCTGGCGATGTACAACCCAGATGGAACCATTCAGTACTACAGCCGCAAGGACACGCAGGTCAAGATCCGAGGTTTGAGAGTGGAATTGGGCGAAGTCGAACACCACGTACGACAGAATCTCGACGCCGTCCAACAAGTTGCTGTGGACGTGTTCAAGACGGATTCTGGCGTCAACCTCGTTTCGTTTGTGTGCTTCAACAACGACACCCTCCCGGCCAGCATGACTGGCGATATCACCAGCAAGGACATCATCACGCCCTTGACGGGCGAGCTCAAGGAGAGCATCAACAGCCTTCTGGGTCGTCTAAACGTCCTCTTACCGGGATACATGATTCCTACGTTGTTCATCCCATTCAAGGCCATGCCACTCGTCACATCTGGCAAGCTTGATAGGAAGCTTCTGTTGAAGCTTACTGCTTCGCTTGAGAAGGAGCAGCTAGAGGAATATGCCCTCACTGGCGGTGACAAGAGAGAGCCCGAGACTGAGTTGGAATACCGCTTACAGGAGCTATGGGCTACTCTGCTGAATATGCCAGCTTCCGCCATTGGCCGCGATGACAGCTTCCTGCGGATTGGCGGTGACTCAATTGCCGCCATCCGCCTTGTCTCCAAGGCCCGTGAGAGCGGCATATCTCTCAGTGTTGATGACATCTTCAGTGATCCCCGCCTCCTAGCTGTCGCAGCTAAAGCTACCGACTCAGCAGCTGAAATCGAGGATATTGTCCCAATTGAGCCGTTCAGCCTCATTAATGAGGCTCAACACTCCATGGTCCTTAGCAGTTCCTCGGACTTGCACCTGTCAGCCGACATGGAAATCGAAGATGCCTACCCCTGCTCAAAGCTCCAGGAGGGTCTGATGGCTTTGGCTGTGAAGCAACCTGGCTCGTACATTGCCAAGTACCATTACCGCCTGCCTTCCCACATCGACGTGGCCCGGTTCAAGCGTGCCTGGGAGATGACTGTTGAGACGTGTGCCAACATGCGGACTCGCATCATCACCGTTGGTGGGATGACGATTCAGACGGTCATCAAGAACGACATTGCTTGGGAGGATACTACTGGTATGACTCTCATGTCGTATGTACGTGCCACCCAGAAGACCGAGATGGGCTACGGTTCTCGTCTCTGCCGTTACGCCTTGGTCGAAGAGGAGGGCCAGGATGTCCAGTTTGTCTGGAGCATTCACCACGCCGTCTTCGACGGTTGGACAACGCCCATCATCATGAGCGCTTTACACAGCGCATACAGAGGTCTGGAGATGCCCAAGATTGAGAACTACGCCAGGTTCATCAAGTATACGATGGACATCAACTACCAAGACGCCAGTGAGTATTGGATGAGGGAGCTTCACGACGTGAAGAAGGCTACTTTCCCGTCGTCTGTTTCCGTTGAAGCATCGGACAAGGGCGATGTCACAAAGTTCATGGAGACCAGAATCGACCTGCCCCGAAACGACGTCGGTGTCACAAAGGCCACTATTCTTCGTGCTGCTTGGGCTGTGGTCCTTGCACGCTACTGCGATACCGATGATGTTTGCTTCGGCACAACAATTTCAGGTCGACAAGCCCCTATTGCCGGGCTCATGGAGATGCCTGGTCCAGTCATCGCGACTGTGCCAATCCGCGTTCGATTGGACCGACAGAAGACCGTTGACGACTTCCTTCAAGGCGTGCAAGACCAAGCTACCAAGATGGTCGCCTACGAGCAATTCGGCCTTCAAAGCATCGGCAAACTGAGCGCTGACGCAAAGGACGCGTGTGACTTTTCATCGCTCCTGGTTATCCAGCCTCTCCAGACTCTGATCTACAACGACGATGACGAGCAGGCTCTACTGGCTGCTTCAGCAGCTGCGGCTGACACCAAGGACCAGGTGATGCAGAATTACTTCTCATATCCATTGGTCATACAAGCGCACTTGCATGACGATCACATCAGCCTGGTCTTGATCTACAACTCTATGGCCCTTCCGGAAGCCCAACTGTTTGCCCTGTCGCAGCAGTTCAAGCACGTCGTGGAGCAGCTAGTATTGGAACCTCAGCTTAGTCTCGGTTCTCTGTCTATTGCCTCCGGCTGGGACGTTGCACAATCTCTCAAATTTAATGCCGAAATCCCAGAGATTGTCGACTCTTGTGTCCATCAGCTCATCGAAAGGCAAGCTGAGATCCGCCCTGACGCAATGGCAATAAGGGCCTGGGACGCCGAATTGACGTATCGAGAATTCAACCGTGCTGCAAATCGTCTTGCCAACTATCTAACGGCATCCTACGACATCAAGCCGGATGAGCTGATCCATGTCTGCTTCGAGAAGTCCGCTTGGTTCTTTGTGTCTATCCTGGCCATCAACAAGTCGGGTGCCGCATGGGTGCCCCTCGACCCATCTCACCCAGAGCAGCGACTTCGACAAGTTGTGTCTCAAACGCGAGCCAGGATAGCACTTACTTCACCTTCGAACCGTGACCTGGTTACCGGCTTGGTTGACTCTGTTGTTACTGTGGACTCTCAGCTCGATGTGCAACTGTCAAAGGTTGACGAGCACAGCCAAAAGGGCCCGGAAACAGCCGTGTCGTCAGACAACGCCGTTTATGTTCTCTTCACATCTGGATCAACTGGTACACCCAAGGGCCTTGTTATGCAGCACGGCTCGGTGTGTACGTCTCAGACGGCTATTGTCAAGCGGCTAGGCCTAACCCCTGACGTCCGCATGTTGCAATTTGCTGCCTTTGTATTTGACCTTTCTATCGGAGAGATCATTGCACCCCTTATCACAGGCGCCTGTCTGTGTATACCGTCGGACCATACGAGGATGAATGGCCTTACACAGTATATCAGGGATACGGGCATCAATTGGGCGTTCCTTACACCCTCATTCATCCGGACAATCAACCCTGCCGAGGTTCCCGGCCTGGAACTCGTCTTACTAGCTGGCGAGGCCGTCCCGCGGGACGTCTTGACTACCTGGTTTGGCAAGGTCCGTTTGGTCAATGGCTGGGGGCCTGCCGAGACGTGTGTGTTTTCAACACTCCACGAGTGGCAATCAGTTAACGAGTCACCCCTTACGGTTGGTAGGCCTGTCGGTGGTTTCTGCTGGGTTGTTGATCCCGAAGATCCTCATCGCCTAGCTCCGACCGGAACGCTTGGAGAAGTCGTCATACAGGGTCCGACGTTGCTACGAGAGTATCTCTCTGATCCTGAACGAACACAGGCCTCTACAGTGTATGACCTTCCCAAGTGGGCACCTCGCCCCGACTCCAGACACTGGAACAAGTTCTACAAGTCCGGTGATTTGTGCTATTACAACCAGGACGGCACAATCGAATTTTCGACTCGTAAAGACACTCAAATCAAAATCCGTGGCTTACGGGTAGAGCTTGGAGAGGTCCAGCACCATATCCAACAGGCACTGCCTTCGGCCAGGCAGGTCGCCGTGGACGTGTACAGGGGCGAAAACGGTACGAACCTGGTCGCCTATCTGTGCTTCAGCGATGACACCCGCACGGCTGGCATCAGCGGCGGTGCATCTGACGGCCCATTCTTGCCGCTCAGCGAAGATTTGCAGTCGACGTTGGCGGCCGTTGTTGGGCAGCTCAGCATCTCGTTGCCCCGGTATATGATTCCGACCATGTTCATCCCCTGCAGCTACATGCCCTTCATCACCTCAACAAAGCTTGACCGTAATGAGCTGAAGAAGCTCACAAGCTCACTGGACAAGGCCCAGATCGCCCAGTACTCACTCCTTGGCGGCAAGAAACGCTCGCCAGAAACGCCAATGGAAGTGTTCCTGCAGAAGCTTTGGTCCGAGCTACTTGGTGTGCCGGTTGAGTCCATCGGTCGTGATGATAGCTTCCTGGGGCTTGGTGGTGATTCCATTACTGCCATCCACATGGTCAGCGCTGCCAGAGAATCCGGCGTCTCGCTTGCAGTCAAGGAAATCTTTGACGATCCGCGCTTATCGGCCGTTGCAAGCAAGGCTCGCGAGATTGAGCAAGATGAGCAGACTTCACTCGTCGACGCTACTCCCTTCTATCTGGTAGACGAATCTATCCGCCAGCTGGCCATTGGCGATGAAGTTCGACAACTCTGTGACCTGACAAACAACGAAGAAGTCGAAGATGCCTATCCGGTAACCATGTTCCAGGAGGGCCTCATGGCTCTGTCAGCGAAGCAGCCGGGCTCCTACATTGCCAAGTATGCCTATAGATTGTCTGAGCACGTTGATGTTGCTCGCTTCAAGGCCGCTTGGGAGACTACTGTTTCATTGTGCCCGACTCTGCGCACCCGACTCGTCCTTCTGAATGGCAAATGCACGCAGGTAGTCGTCAAGGGGGAAACCGGGTGGCAGTCTCAGGAACACACGGATGTTCACGCTGCTATTCAAGACGCTCAGACGGCTGAAATGACCTACGGCTCTCATCTTTCTCAAGCTATCATGGTCAACGATGCAAGCAACGGAAACAACTACTTCATCTGGACAGTTCACCATGCGGTTCACGATGGCTGGACGGTCCGTCTCATCATGACCACTTTGCAGAATGCCTATAACAACCTCGAGGTACCTGATCTGAAACCGTATTCCGGCTTCATTCAGTACCTGGGATCTATCAAGGCTGATGACACCATCAACTTCTGGACTCAGCAGCTACAAGGTGCCAGCAAGGCGTCTTATCCGCCATCCAAGCCAGCATCCGCACCTGAGTCGGTCACTCGACTCATCACCAAGACAATCCAAGCCAGCTCCTCGGCCAATGCTGCCATCACAAAGGCCACCATCATGCGGGCGACCTGGGCTATACTGTTAGCCCGCTACTGCGATACCGACGATGTCACTTTAGGTACGTCCATCTCTGGCCGACAGGCTCCAGTGTCTGGCCTCATGGACATGCCCGGCCCTGTGGTTGCGACTGTTCCCGTACGAGTCCGTCTGGACCGAAGTCAGACAATCAGCAAGTACCTCCAGGCCATCCAGAGTCAGGCCCACGAGATGGTGCCATACGAGCAGTATGGCTTGACAAACATTGGCAAGATCAACTCTGACTTCAGAGATGTCTGTGACTTTACGAGCTTGCTGGTTGTTCAGCCTCGAACGCACTTGGATTCTCGAAGCAAGGGCACGTCTACTGAGTCTGACGCTTCGTCGGCCGCTCTGCTTCTGCCTGCCAATGTCGAAGGCGGTTCGGTCGAGGACTTGATGCAAGGTTACTTTTCGTATCCCCTTGTTATACAAGGCCACCTGATGAGTGACTCCATTGAGCTGGTCATTACCTATGACTCTTCCGTCCTCTCCGAGGCATCCATGGAAGCCATGTGTCATCAGTTTGAGCATGTGGCTTCGCAACTCTTTGCGGACGAGGGACGTACATTGGGCGACTTGACGGTTGCTTCCTCCTGGGATCTCGAACGCGCGAGAGCCTTTAACTCTGAAGCCCCAATGGTCATGGATACTTGCATCCATCACCTCATTGAAGCTCAAGTCAGAAAAACTCCTGATCTGCCAGCGGTCTGGGCCTGGGATGGGCAGTTGACCTACCGCCAGCTTAACGAAGCGGCCAACCGGTTAGCCCACTATCTCATCAACGAGCACAATGTCCAGGTTGAAGATCTTGTCCACGTCTGCTTCGAAAAATCTGTTTGGCACTGGGTCTCTGTGCTTGCCATCAACAAGGCTGGGGCCGTATGGGTTCCTCTGGACCCATCACACCCTGAGCAGCGCCTTCGCCAGGTTGCCTCTCAGACTCAGTCCACGCTGGCTCTGACATCGGATACTACGAAGAGCCTCCTGTCTCATATTATTGATCGGGTGGTCGAAGTCTCTCCTGCATTGTTCGAGCAGATTGATGTCCGACTCGGTGAAAAGGAGCCTCAGGTCTCGGTCTCAGCCAGCAATGCTGCGTACATTCTCTTCACCTCTGGATCCACGGGTACGCCCAAGGGTCTGGTCATGACACACGGTGCTTTGACAACCAGTCAGACCGCCATCAAGAAGCGAATGGGCACCGGCACTCATACCAGAGCCCTCCAGTTTGCTTCGTACGTGTTTGACATGTCTGTCGGCGAAGGCTTCGTACAGCTTATTTCTGGCGCCTGCATTTTCATTCCATCGGAGCACACCAGAATGAATGGCCTGAAGCAGTTCATCACCGAACACAGAATCAACTCTCTGTGGCTGACCCCGTCCTTTATCCGGACTCTCAGTCCAGAGCAAGTGCCAACGGTTGACTTTGTGTTCTTGGCTGGTGAAGCTATTCCACGCGACGTGTTCACCACTTGGTGTACCAAGGTCCGCTTGTGGAACGGTTGGGGCCCTGCTGAGACTTGCGTCGTCAGCTCCTTGCACGAGTTTACAAGCCTTGATGAGTCGCCATTGACAATTGGTCGTCCTATTGGAGGGTACTGCTGGATTGTTGACCCTACGGACCATACGAAGCTTGCCCCTATCGGCACAATGGGCGAGGTCGTCATCCAAAGTCCCACGATTCTGAGGGAATACCTTGCCGACGTCGAGCGCACCAAGGCCTCTACGGTATATGAGCTACCTGAGTGGGCGCCATACCGAGACCAGGCTCCTTGGTCACGATTCTTCAAGTCCGGCGATCTGGCGTCATATAACCCTGACGGTACACTCGAATTCGCTAGCCGAAAGGATACCCAAGTCAAGATTCGCGGTCTGCGTGTTGAGCTTGGAGAAATCGAGCATCACGTCCGCAGCAGCCTCACAGACGCTCGTCAAGTTGCTGTTGATGTTTTCAGGACCGATGCCGGCACAAGACTCATTGCGTACTTCTGCTACTCTGATGTGACGCGCACTGCCGGCAATTCTCAGCCGGATAACGATGACATCTTCCTGCCTGTGACGGAAGACCTTCAGAGACAGCTCACCAGCATGGTCAGCCAGCTGCATGTCACGCTGCCTCGGTACATGGTGCCCTCGCTCTTCATTCCATGCCGTTACATGCCTTTCATTACGTCCACCAAGCTTGACAGGAACCGGTTGAAGAAGCTTGTTTCCGAGCTCAGCCAAGAAGACCATGCGGCGTACTCGTTAAGCAACGGCGTCAAGCGCATGCCTGACACTGAGATGGAGGCCCGTATGCAGGAGCTTTGGTCCGTCGTGTTGCACATGCCCAAGGAAGAGATTGGCTGCGATGAAAGCTTCCTGCAAATCGGTGGTGATTCTATTACTGCCATCCAGCTCGTTACCAACGCTCGTGAGGCTGGTATCTCAATTGCTGTCAAGGATATCTTTGACGACCCTCGCCTTTCGAAGCTTGCCCTGGTGGCTGCAGCCAACTCTGATCAGAGCAATGCGTCCACGATAGTCGAACCCTTCAGCCTCCTGGGAGACTCCCTTACTAAGGAACTGGTCACAGAAGCTGCCAAGGAGCAATGCAACCTCGCCGGGGATGACCTGCTTGATGATGCCTATCCTTGCACAAAGCTACAGGAAGGTCTCATGGCCCTTGCAATCAAGCAACCCGGATCTTACATTGCCAAGTATGTGTATCAAATTCCCGACCACGTCGATGTTTCCAGATTCCGCAAGGCCTGGGAGCGTACCGTCCAGAGCTGTGCCAACCTTCGCACACGCATGGTGCTTGTCAACGGCATTACCGTCCAAGTTCTGCTGAAGGACGACATTGAGTGGGATAACACCGACGATACTTCGCTCGAGACTTATGCTCGCTCAACGCTCCACATAGAGATGGGTTTTGCCCAGCGTCTGTGTCGCTATGCCCTCATTGAAGAAGAGACTGGTAACTACTTTGCTTTCAGCATCCATCATACCATCTTTGATGGTTGGTCTCTTCCGCTGGTGATGGGTACCTTGTCTGCGGCCTACTACGATCTTGAGCTTCCTTCTCTGCAGTCATATGCAGCATTCGTCAAGTACACCATGGAACTCGATCACGGCGTCGCTTCCGACTACTGGGAGAAGCAGCTCAAGGGTGCCAAACGCGCAAGTTTCCCGGCGCCGAGCGATAAGTCAGGGTCTTCTCAGACGCGTGTGGCGAACAAGACCATTGGCTTCCCCAAGTCAAAGACGTCCATCACAAAGGCCTCTATTCTGCGCGCCGCTTGGGCCATCGTATTGGCCCGCTACTCTGACAGTGATGATGTCTGCTTCGGCACCACAGTCTCTGGTCGCAATGCCAATGTGGCTGGTCTTGAGGCTATGCCTGGTCTTGTGGTCGCCACCGTTCCTGTTCGTATTCATGTTGACAAGCAGAAGCCTCTTTCTGGATTCCTGCAAGATGTTCAGAAGCAGGCCAATGACATGGTTGATTTCGAACAATTTGGTATCCAGAATATCTCCAGACTTGGCTCCGACGCAAAGGACGCTTGCGACTTCACCTCTCTCCTGGCTATCCAACCTGTCCAGCATATGAGTGCAGACAGCGGCAATCCTGCTGACCAGGGTGCTATTGTCATTCCCGCTGCCTCGCCCCATGTTAATGCTGAGGACATGCTGCAGAACTATTTCTCTTACCCCTTGGTTATTCAGTGCCACCTCATGGATGACCATGTGAATCTGGTCCTCGTCTACGACACTGATGTCCTTGAAGAGACACAGCTGAACGCGCTCATGCAGCAGTTCGACCATGTTGTCCAGCAACTGAGTGCCCAGGGTAATGAGCCATTGGGCGACGTCAGTATCTCAGGGCCTTGGGATCTTGAACAAGCTCTGCAGCTGAATAGCAGGAAACCCGACTTTGTCCACACTTGTCTTCACGACATCTTCTCAAAGCATGCGCTGAGTTCTCCTCACCACGAGGCTATTTACTCGTCCGAAGGCAGCCTTACCTATGGTGAACTTGACCACCTGACCGATATCCTCGCCACGCATCTGAGCTCTCTAGGTGCCGGCCCCGAGACAGTGGTGCCCTTCTGCTTCGAGAAATCGATGTGGGCGGTGGTTGCCATCCTAGCAATTCTTAAGGCTGGCGCCGCGTTTGTGCCCCTTGATCCTTCGCATCCAACCAGCCGTCGCGAGGCTTTGGTCAAGGAAGTCAGTGCTCGCGTGCTTGTGGCTTCTTCTAGCGCTATCGCCTCATGCAAAGGAATGTTTGAGCACGTTGTTGAGCTGTCACCCAGTGTTATGGCTAAGCTGGCCGCTTCTGTAACGCCTAGGATCCTGCCAAAGGTTGGACCGAGGAACACGGCATATGTCCTGTTCACCTCCGGTTCGACGGGCAAGCCCAAGGGCGTTGTTATGCAGCATGGCTCATTCAGCTCTACTACTATTGGATATGGCAAGGTGTATAACCTGTCACCGTTGTCGAGAGTGTTCCAGTTCTCCAACTATATCTTTGATGGTAGCTTGGGCGAGATCTTTGGTCCGTTGGCCTTTGGTGGAACAATCTGCATCCCCAGTGAGGACGAACGCCTCGGTAGTGCCCCTGCCTTCATGAGCACGTCAAAGGTCAACACAGCCATGTTGACCCCGTCCTTTGTGCGAACCTTTACGCCTGACCAGGTGCCGCATCTGACGACCCTTGTTCTTGGCGGCGAAGCTGCTTCCAAGAGCACCTTGGAGATGTGGGTTAACCGCGTCACTTTGTACAACGGATACGGACCAGCTGAAGCTTGCAACTACGCGACTACACACGTCTTCAAGTCAAGTTCCGAGTCTCCTCGTATCATCGGATCCGGATTCAACGGTGCTTGTTGGGTCGTTGAACCTGATAACCACAACATCCTTGCCCCTATAGGTTGCACAGGAGAGCTGGTTCTGCAAGGCCACGCTCTGGCTCGCGGCTATCTCAATGACAAGGCGAAGACAGAGCAATCGTTTGTTAGCGACATTAGTTCTCTTCCATCATCTTCGCTGCATGAGCCTAAGCGATTCTACCTCACAGGAGACTTGGTCCGCTACAATTCAAACGGTAAGCTCGAATACCTGGGACGAAAGGACTCTCAGGTCAAATTGCGTGGTCAGCGTCTAGAACTGGGTGAAATCGAATACAACATCACTCAGTCACTCAAGAGCGTGCGAGACGTCGCTGTTGATGTCATTCACAAAGACACCGGTGACTTGCTAGTCGCGTTCATTTCGTTCTCTGGCAACGCGGACGCTCAGTGGGATTCGGATAACCTGCTTCTGAACCTCCTTGCTGCTGATGAGTCCATGAGATCCCTGCTTGATGGTTTGAGAGAGGGCTTGAAGGCCTCTCTACCAGGCTACATGGTACCAAGCATCATTCTCCCTCTTCGATGCATGCCTTTCATCACATCAATGAAGCTCGACAAGAAGCCGCTTCTTTCGCTTGCCCACAGCCTCTCTATCGAGTACATTGCTGCCTACTCGGCATCCAAGAGAGAAAAGGTCGAGCCCGCGTCTGACCTCGAGTTCAAGCTCCGTGATCTGTGGGCGCAAGTCCTCAAGCTAGAGCCTGGCGAAATAGGACGCAACGATGCCTTCCTGGAAATTGGCGGTGACTCGATCTCTGCTATCCACCTGGTGACTGCTGCACAGCAAGCCGGAATTAGCATTACCGTTGCAAACATCTTTGCCGATTCTCGACTTTCATCTCTAGCAGCTTCGGCAAAGGTCGGATACGTCGCCAAGAGCTTCGACGTGAAGCCCTTCAGCATGCTACCCGGTATCAGCATCGAAGAACTGACCAGTCTGGCCCAAGCTAAATGCAATTTGCCAAACTACCTTGCCCTTGAGGATGCTTACCCTTGCACAAGTCTTCAGGAGGGTTTGATGGCAATTGCAATCAAGCAACCTGGATCCTACATCGCCAAGCACGTCTATCAGTTGCCCCCTCATGTCGATGTTGGTCGCTTCAAGACCTCCTGGGAGCGTACTGTCGAGGCTTGCAGCAACCTGCGTACCCGGATCATTCTTGTTGACAAGAAACATGTTCAAGTCGTTGTCAAGGATGACATCTCCTGGGACTCTGGCCTGGGCCACGGCCTGGAGTCTTACATCCGCGCTTCTCAAAGCCTTGATATGAAGTATGGATCGCGACTTTGCCGATATGCTCTGATCCAAGATGAGGAGACCGGCGACAACTTCTTCTCCCTCAGCGTGCACCACACAATCTTTGATGGTTGGAGCTTGCCTCTTATCCTCGGTACACTGAATGCTTTCTACCGCGATACTGAGGTCCCAGCCCTGCAGCCTTACTCTGGCTTTGTCAAGTACACCCTTGACCTTGACGAGACGGCTGCTGTCAACTATTGGACCACGCAGCTGTCTGGAGCTAAGAAGGCTGCCTTCCCGCCCACTACGGACGTCATCGGCCCCGACTCTGTCAAGCCTGCTTCTCAGTTCCTGAACAAGGTCATTGAGTTCCCGCGAACGACGAACTCATCCATCACCAAGGCGACCATCCTTCGAACGGCATGGGCCATTGTCCTTGCCCGCTACTCCGATTCAGACGACATCTGCTTCGGCACAACTGTGTCTGGCCGTCACGCGTCCGTCCCTGGTCTTGAGGCTACTACAGGCTTGGTCGTTGCTACTGTGCCTGTCCGCGTCCGCCTTGACACACAGCAATCGGTAGCCAAACTCCTCCGCGATGTGCAGATTCAAGCCTCGGAAATGGTCGAGTACGAACAATATGGCCTCCAGAATATCTCCAAGATTGGTGCCGAGTTCAAGGACGCCGTTGATTTCAGCAGCTTGCTGGCTGTTCAGCCTATCCAGCACATTGGATCAACGGGTGAAAGCTCCGAGGAGGCCCTCCTGGTCGCTGCTGATTCCGAACTTCTTCGTGCCGAAGAGGCGCTGCAGAATTACTTCAACTACCCTCTGGTCGTCCAGTGTCACGTATACGATGACATGGTCAACCTGATGTTCATCTATGACCCCAGCGTCTTGTCTGAGCACCAACTCCAGGCCATCTCACAGCACTACGATCACGTTGTGCAGCAGCTGCTGACGCAGAGCGAAGAAACTCTCAGTAGCCTGTCCCTTGCAGGCCCTTGGGACCTTCAGCAAGTCCTCGGGTGGAATGCCAGTGCTCCGGAACTTATCGAGGCCTGTGTCCACGACTTGATTTCCGACAATGCCCAGCGCGATCCCAACCATGAAGCGATCTTTTCGTCTGAGGGTAGCATGACCTATGCTGCTCTTGACCGGTTAACCGACGTCCTAGCAAGCCATCTTTGCCAGCTGGGCGTTGGTCCAGAGACGATTGTTCCCTTCTGCTTCGAAAAGTCCATGTGGGCTGTCGTCGCTATTGTCGGTATCCTCAAGGCGGGAGGTGTCTTCGTTCCCCTGGACCCTTCGCATCCGATCAACCGCCGTGAAGCCCTCGTCAAGGAAGTTGGCGCCCAAATCATCATTGCATCCGAGTCGGCCGCTGCCTCGTGTGCTGGCATGGCTCCTCGCATTGTCCAGCTTTCGTCCGACTTCATGGCTCGCTTATCTGCCCCAAGCCAAACCCTCGTCGAGCCCAGACGCCCCAGCCCATCAAATGCAGCCTATGTGCTGTTCACTTCTGGCTCAACGGGCAAGCCTAAAGGTGTGGTCATGGAACACTCTGCTCTGACAACAAGCACAATCGGTTACGGCCGCGTCTACGAGCTCAGCCCTGCATCCCGCGTGTTCCAATTCTCCAACTACATCTTTGACGGCAGCTTGGGTGAGATTCTCGCAACACTGACCTTTGGCGGTACTGTCTGTATTCCAGACGAAGTCGAACGTCTGCAGGATGCTCCAGGCTTTGTACGCAAGGCCCAGATCAACACTGCCATGTTGACGCCCTCGTTTGTCCGCACGTTTACGCCTGACCAGGTTCCCAGCCTCAAGACATTGGTACTTGGTGGTGAGCCTGCTGGTAGGGACATTCTTGATGCTTGGTGCGATTGTGTGAAGCTCATCAATGGTTACGGACCTGCCGAGGCTTGCAACTACGCAACGTGGCATCCATTTTCATCGAGCAGAGACTCGCCGCGTGTCATCGGAAAGGCATTCAACAGTTCTTGCTGGGTTGTCGAACCGAACAACCATCACGCACTCACTCCCGTCGGTTGTGTTGGTGAACTCGCCATCCAGGGCCATGTGCTTGCCCGTGGGTACATCAATGATTTAGAGAGAACCAGAAGCTCCTTTGTCACCGAGATTGCTTCCTTGTCGTCAGTCATCGCTGGTCCTCAGCGCTTCTACCTGACTGGTGATTTGGTGAGATACTGCAGCGACGGCTCTCTCGAGTATCTTGGCCGTAAGGACACTCAAGTCAAGCTTCGTGGCCAACGTATCGAGCTCGGCGAAGTTGAATATCATGTCCAGCGAGCTCTTCCAGATATCGAGCATGCGGCTGTGGACATCATCACTAGAGAAGCTGGACAAGCCCTTGTTGCCTTTGTGTCGTTTGCGGGCACTTACGACGACAATGAGACTACCAGCTTCTCTGATAACCTGATCAAGCCAAGTGACAGTCTTCGTGCTGCCATCGTCTCCCTTCTCGACAACCTCAAGGCTGTGCTCCCCGCTTTCATGATGCCCAGTCTTGTCTTGCCGGTCCGAAACATGCCCTTCATCACATCGATGAAGCTCGACAGGAAACAACTGCGAACTCTCGCAAGCTCTCTGTCTCCTGAGGAGCTCGCCACTTTTGCTCCCAGCAAGGCAGACAAGGTTGAGCCGACCACTGACATGGAACTCAAGCTGCGCGACCTTTGGGCCCAGATCCTTGGGATCCCGGCGGAAGAGATTGGCAAGAACGATAGCTTCCTACAAATCGGAGGTGACTCCATCTCAGCCATCCACTTGGTGACTCTGGCTCAAGAAACGGGCATCTCACTCACCGTGGCCACCATCTTTGCCGACCCGAGACTGTCCTCAGTTGCTGCATCGGCCCATCTCGGCGGTATCAGTGATGCCTACGAGGCTGAGCCCTTCAGTCTGATCCAGCATTCTGAGAGCGATGCCATCACTCGTGAGATTGAGCAGCAGTGCAAACTCTCTGCTGGCCAGTCGATCGAGGATGCTTACCCAACAACCAAGCTGCAGGAAGGTCTCATGGCCTTGTCCGTCAAGCAGCCCGGCTCTTACACAGCTCGCTACGTGTACCGCCTTCCTGATCACGTCGATGTTGAGCGATTCAAGGCGGCTTGGGACAAGACAGTTGAGGTTTGCCACAACCTTCGAACATCCATTGTTCTTGTTGGCTACACCGCTATCCAAGCCGTCATCAAGGACACTTCAAGGTCGCTGTGGGAGCCTGCCACGGGCGTTTCGCTGCAGTCCTACATGAAGAAGGCGATTGGATCCTTCAACATGGGCTATGGCTCTCGTCTCTGCCGCTATGCTCTGATTGAAGATGGCGGCAGCACTTATTTCGCCTGGCACATTCACCACTCGGTGTATGACGGTTGGACGCACCCGCTCATCATGGGCTCGCTCTACGCCGCTTACTTTGGCACCGAAATGCCTCCTCTACGGCCTTTCGCCCGCTTCGTAAAATACACGACGAGCATCGACCAACACGAGGCCGCAGAGTACTGGAGACGCCAACTTCACGACGCCAGGCCGGCTTCGTTCCCTGCCGTTGACCAGCAGTTGACTGCTTCGAAGAGCAAGGCTGATGTGACCCGAATCTTGAGAAAGGCTGTCGACTTCCCTCGCCTGACCAACTCATCCATCACCAAGGCCACAATCATGAGGGCAGCTTGGTCTATTGTCTTGGCTCAATACTGCGGTGTTGACGACGTGTGCTTCGGGACTACACTCTCGGGCCGTCACGCACCAGTTCCAGGATTGGATTCTATGCCTGGTCCTATGCTTGCTACCGTTCCTGTCCGAATCCGTTTGGCTCAAGATCAGCCAGCATCGCGGTTCCTGCAAGACGTCCAGATTCAGGCCGCAGAGATGGTTGCCTATGAGCAGTTTGGCCTCCAGAATATCGCAGCTCTAAGCCCTGACGCCAAACAAGCATGCGACTTTTCGAGCTTGCTGGTCATCCAACCTGCCCAACAGCAGATTTCCGACGACAAGGCCGTGTCTGAAACGGACATGATCCTATTGCCCGGCGACTCTGAAAACTCTGCTGAAGAATCGATGCAGAACTTTGCCAATTATCCCTTGGTCCTTCAAATTGCCATCATGGACAGCCATGTCGAGCTGCTGCTGATTTACGACACCAATGCTCTGACCGAATTCCAGGCTACAGCCATTTCTGAGCAGTTTGGCAACGTTGCAAGACAACTCGTTGCCCAAGATGAGACTTTGATTGGTGATGTCAAGGTAGCTGGTTCATGGGACCTGCAGAAGCAGCTGGAATGGAACCACGAAATCTATGGTCCTTCAGAAACCACTCTGCACGATCTCTTCTCGAAGCAAGTTGCTCGCAGACCTGCTCACCAAGCTTTGTACAGCAGCGAAGGAAGCATGACATACAGCAAGCTGGATCGACTGACAACTCAGCTTGCAGTCTACCTCAGCAGTCTTGGTGTTCGACCCGAAACCATCGTGCCTTTCTGCTTCGACAAGTCCATCTGGGCCATTGTCGCGATGATTGGTATTCTCAAGGCCGGTGGTGTTTTCATGCCCTTGGACCCGTCCTACCCAGCAAGCCGCCGCCAGGCCTTGATAGACGAGGTCAACGCCCAGTTCATGATTGTGTCACCCACAACCGCCCCTGACTCTCAAGGCATGGTTCAAAACATGATTGAGCTCTCGCCATCTCTGATTGCCTTCTTCTCTACAATCGACACCGGCGACCAATCGTTTATCAAGTCAGGTCCCAACAATGCCGCCTATGTCTTGTTTACATCAGGTTCAACTGGCAAGCCAAAGGGCGTCGTCATTGACCACAAGGCCATTTCCGCAGCCCTCCTCCGACAACGCGAGGCCTTTTCATTCAACGACGACACAAGGACGCTGCAATTCGCCAACTTCGTCTTCGACGCTTGTATCGCCGAGATCTTCTCCGCGCTGGTGGCCGGTGCTACCGTTTGCGTGCCCACAGAGCACGAACGTGTTCACAACACTGCAGCTTTCATCCGTGAGGCTCGCATCAACCACGCCTTCCTGACTCCGACCTTTATCAAGACTCTCTCTCCGGAGCAGATTCCCGGTATGAAGACTGTCATTCTTATGGGTGAAGCGCCCTCTCAAGAAATCATCGACACCTGGGCCGACGAGATCGACCTTCACAACGGCTATGGCCCAGCAGAGGGCTGCGTTGGTTCGACCAACAACACGTATTCGTCGTCGATCAAGGTATCAGTCACCAACGTGGGTCGTAGCTTTACCCACGGACTCTGGATTGTCGACCCTGATAACCACAACCGCCTCATGCCCATCGGCTGCGTTGGTGAGTTGCTGCTCCAGGGTTCGTCTCTGGCACGCGGCTACATCAACGACGAGGAAAAGTCAAGACAGTCTTTCATCGATCAAGTCGAGTGGCTACCAGCGAATGTCAATGTTGGTGAACGCCGCTTCTACAAGACTGGTGACTTGGTTCGCTACACTCCAGATGGATCGATCGAGTACGTCAGCCGAAAGGACACGCAAGTCAAGATCCGCGGCCAGCGTATCGAGCTTGGCGAGATCGAATACCACGTCAAACGCTCCAACGCTTCTATTGAGCACGTTGTTGTCGACATTACTCGACAGGCCGGCCGCGAGTCTCTTCTCGCCTTTGTGTGCTTCAGCTCGCATCAAGAGACGGAGAGTGCTTCCAAGGAGACTCGCCTCACGGAGCTCACCAGCGAACTCCGCGAGACGCTGTCTGACATTGCTACAACTATCGCATCGACGCTCCCTAGCCACATGGTGCCCAAGTATCTCATCCCTGTCGACCACATGCCTCACAACGCTGCCGGCAAGTTAGACCGAAAGATGCTTCTCGCATCCATTGCCAACCTTACGCCGGATGATCTTTCGAAATACCTCGCTGGCCAGCGTCTGCCCTTCCGTGACTGCTCTACCGACGTCGAGTTCTGGCTCCGTAACCAGTGGGCGTCTACGCTTGATCTTCCTGCAGAGACCATCGGAATGGATGACAACTTCTACAGTCTGGGCGGTGATTCTATCCGCATTGTCACCATTTCCAAGGCTATCCTTAGCCAGTATGATGTCTCACTCGGCATGTCCCTTCTCAACTCGAAGCATACCACGATTGCAAACATGGCCAAGCACATCGACAGCGAACGCAGTGGGCAAGACGGCGCAGAACTTGGAGTCGTCGATATCAACGGCGAGATCTCATCTCTCTCACGCTCGATCCTGGCTTCTGGTGATCTTAACGTCGTTTCCCACTCTAAGACTGAGCTGCCTGAGCAGGCCACCGTCTTTTTGACTGGTGCCACTGGCTTCCTCGGTCAAGAACTCCTCAGACAACTTCTCTGCAACGACTCCATTGCCTCCATCATCGCCCTGGTACGATCCAAGTCTGCCAACCACGGAATGGACCGTCTCCGCGACACTGCGAAGATTGCAGGCTGGTGGCGCGAAGAGTACACAAGCAAGATTGAGATTTGGTGTGGTGATCTGAGCAAGAAGCGCATGGGCCTGAGCAGTTCGCAATGGGCTCGCCTGGCCGGCCAGTCCAGCAACAACAACGTCGATGCCATCATCCACAACGGTGCCATCGTCAACTGGAACGCCGACTACGACAAGATGCGTGCCGCCAACGTTGATTCCACGGTGGATCTCCTCAAGGCTACCGTCACCTCGCCCGCTTCCCCCAAGTTCGTCTTCGTCTCCGGCGGCATCAAGTCTGATCCCACCACCGACCGCACAGCTCTGGGCCAGTATCTCAACAACTCGACTGGCTACATCCAGACCAAGTTCGTCTCCGAGGGCATCATCCAGGAGGTCATCAAGACCCTCCCGGCTGACCAGAACCGCATTTCCACTCTCAAGCCCGGCCGCATCATCGGATCTCCTGAAACTGGTGTGGCCAACGTGGACGATGTGCTGTGGCGAATTGTTTCCGCCGCCGCTTCTCTTGGAGTCTATCCTGCCGAGCCCGAGGACCATTGGGTCTACATCTCCGACGTTGACACTGTGGCATCATCCGTGCTCAGCCAACTTTACAGCAAGCAGGGCATCGCTCCCTACGTCAGTGCCACGGGCGGCATGCCGGCAACAGTCTTCTGGGATCTCATCAACAAGGAGCTGGACGTCCCCTGCGAGCCTCTTTCTCAAGATGAATGGACTCACCGTGCGTTGGAGTCGATGAATCAAGTCGGCGACAAGCATCCTCTGTGGCCTGTGCAGCACTTCCTTGGCAACCTTGGCACTCCTCGATCTGCTCAAGACATTGAGATCGAAGGCAGTGAGCACAAGCAGTGGCACATGGCTGTAAAGATGAGCATGCGCTACCTTATGAAGGTCGGCTTCATTCAGACGTCCACTGATGGCTTTGCTCAGCCTCGTCGGGCGGACACTTTCCAGCGCCATGGCTGAGGAATTGTGCCTGGCTGTTGAGTTTTTCTAAACTGTTCCTCAACTTTTCCTTTTTATTTCCTTCCTGTATTTTCACATTGTTTCTATTCCTATTTATATCAAATTGTCTTCAGTCGTGGATCTGTTATTTGGCACATGCATTTCCTTACCATCTATCTATATGAGTCTCAACACTCATCGATTTCCTTTACTCTATTTCTGTATAGTCCACTGAATCTCGGGTTCTTAGCAACCCGCAGTTTCTTAGTCTAGTCATATCAAATTGTTGTTGTTCAAATAACGTGCTTTGGATATAAGTGACCCTTATGGTAGATTACATGATCAGTTATTATTATACACAACCTCGTAAAAGTTCCTAACGCTCTCAGTCTGACGATTCCAAAATGCCCTCTTCAACAACAACCACCTTGACCTTCATTCCCCAGGGATCCTCCTTTCCAATCCAATGCTTCTTCTTCCCAACCTTTTGAATCAGCTTAACATTGTCCTCCAGCGCATGCTTCAGCCTTGCGGGATCGTCCTTCTTCTTCTGTACCGACAACGTCAGCACCAAGCCCTCCTTGTTCTTCTTCTTGCCCAATGTCCATGACCACTCTGATGAAAAAACCACCCTGGGCTTTTTGGTGTCGATTTCCCCGGATGGATACAGTCGCGTGATAAGGTATCCGACTCTGCCGAGATACGTTGTCCACCACACCTCCTCTGGCGTTATGAGAGAGCGCAGAGCCTCTCGGAATTCCATCTCTCGCGGTGGCAGTTCGCCTCGGTATCGAGATTCGAGCATCAATGCAAGTCGGGCGCGGTCTTGGTGGGACACTCCGTGCGTAGAAGACATCATGCCCACACTCGTCGAATAGAGCGCGGCTGTCGATGCCGTCTCCTTCGACATGAACATGTGAACGTATATCGTATTGGCAAACGAATTGATGACATGCTCTCCAAATTCGTCCGGAAACTTCCTCGTCTCGTGTCTCGATGGCGCTGGGATGGCTCGCTTGATCAGCTCTTGAATACTGCGATAGGACGTTGGCGCGAGATTCTGCGTTGCCACTTCCAGCGGCGATAGTTGCCGGATCTCTGGCGGCAGAGTGCGGAAGAGGTATCCTTCTCGCACACCCCCCTGGCAAAAGTGAGCCTCCCGGATGCCGTGGGGAATGGCTTCGGCCAGGACGTTGACTAAGAAGGCCACTGCGGGAACCTGCGAGCGACGGCGATCCGAAACCCGGAAGACGTCCTTTGCTGCCTTTGCAATCTCCTTGACTCTTTCTGTATTCTCGAATTGGTCTCGCCCGACTGTGTACCCATTGATGATGGAGATTGGATAATGCTTGCCGTGGATCTGGTTGAGATACAGCAGCAGATAGCCCCAGCCGCGGAACCCGCCACCTGACAGATATATGCGGAAGCCTCCTTCTCGCTCGGCCTTTTCGACCATGCTGTCCGGGATCTGCAGATGTTTGTACGCAGACCTAAACTTCTCAATCATCTCCTGACGAAGCTGTGCGACGGCGGCTTCCCCCTCATCCTTCTTCTTTCCCTTTCGCAACTCATGAAGCTGCCTCGACAAAGCCGCCGCTCCATACGGAAAGCTGAAGCTGCCCATAGGACTGATTCTGATGTAGCCTCCTTGGCTAATCATCCATGTAATCTGCGTACTGCCTCCTCCGAGGTCCATCACAAGGCCAGACAGAGTATCGAATCCGCTCGCGATGCCCAACGCTCCGACTTGGCCCTCAACCTCGCTGGCGAGCACTTCAACAGACAGGCCGGTCTGCTTCTTGATAGTCTCCAGGAATTTGGCTGAGTTGATGGCCTTGCGTGTTGCCTCTGTTGCCACGACATGGATATTCTTCTTCTCGACTCCCATGTCCTCGCACACGATCAGAAAGCGGGAAAAGACGGTCACTATGTGATCGATTACATGATCCGGGATGGGAACTTGCTCCCCAGTCTCGGGATCGAACTGCGAGTCATAGAGCGATATGCCGGATCGATAAGCCAGCACCGTCGGCAGGATACGCGCTCTGTCAGGGGTCAGGTCCGTGATTGAGAATCGAATTCCATTGCTGATTGCGCATAGTTTCGGTTAGCAATAAGGGAACCTGTAGGCGGTTGGTTTGGCTTGTCAGAATGGCTCGCCTTCCCATATCCACGATGCCGACCAGCTTGTCTCGTCGTCCCTCCCAAGGCGGACGAGGCCCATCGCCTTCTCTGTAAGATTTTGCAGAAACTGCTGGCGTCATGTAGGGCTCATCTGCTTCATTGTCGTCCTCGGCATCGGAACTGATTCCGAGATCTTCAAAGTCCGAGAGGTCCATGGCGGCCTTTGGCTTGATTGCAGCGATAATGTCTTTGATGGAGCCGGACAGTGCATCCGCTCTACGCGTTCCGGTCCTTGGAGGATCGCGATCCCTTATAAACAGAGCTGAGAAGATGGAACTCTATTTCTATGGAGGTTTCAGCGGTTTCAAGCCTTCGTGACGTCACATTCAGCGGTGAGAAGTCTGAATCTCTAGCATCTATCACCTGCGTCGTGATATCATAATGATCTTTGAAACCCTGTCCGAAATCTATCACGCGATTTGGCTCCATGCAGAGGCATTATCAACGCGATAACAATCCGCGTTTTCCGACGCGATGCCACTGGTTTTCTTCTTATTGCAACGTCAAATTGAAAAGTGAGAAGTTGTCAAATTGATAGAGCTCTTGTTATATGGAAGCGCTGACGGCTTCTGGAGATTGCTATTATTACCGGCTGCGGGGGAGATTCTTCTAAACACGCCGCATTCAGCCTCGCTGAGATCTCTAACCAATAGCAGGTTGAACGAATCAGCGAGTGGCGATGAAAGTCAAAGACTAGAGAAACCAGAGGCCTATAATGATATTCAGCTGTGAAGAGATGTAGAAACTCAATTCCCACGCCACTTCAGATGTTCGGTCAATTCACAAGTTATTGCGTTCAACTGCGATCTTTTTTGCCTTCATAATGCTCTTCACAACACGCAGCATCATGATGCGACGAGACAATGCTACCCTATGATCTATCTAATGCGGCAATCAACAAATGGCAGCTGCTCCCTCCGATCCCAGATATTTTACTCTACCAACCCCCGTCCTCAATCAAGATGTAGAGCAGCATCCTTCTCTCATGCCTGGCTCCGGTTCGTGTCGGCGAGGGCTTTGGGAGGTGGCCAGGATGCTCACGCCGGGCAGCTACTCGAATATACTCCTGGTCTTCATCCCCTTGGGAATAGCCTATGGTATCAAAAATGAAACCCCGGAGCTCATATTCTGGTTCAACTTCCTCGCCATCATCCCGCTGTCGAAGTTGAACCTTCGCAAAATCCGCCAGCTGTCGGCCGTGTTGGGTCCTATGAGTGGTGGTTGTCTACATGCGATCCTTGACAATGCACCTTTGTTACTCGTACGCAGTGTCTGAAAGATGGCTGAATGACCTGGAAAAAGGGTTACTGACAGTCAGCATGTAGGTCGGCATTGCTGCCATTCAGCACGGCGCGGCTCATATAGCACAGTCCTGCATCATGGGCAGTGTTCTGGCCAATCTTCTTCTCGTAAGTCACAGCGAAAGCCCCTACCTAGGTAGGTATGCTAATGCAAGTCTAATACCACGATGTGGCGGCAAAAGGTTGTGGGGTGGTGCTTCCTGGTCGGCAGCATTCGTCACCGAGAATTGATATTCAGTACGACTTTCGCATCGACGGCATCTTCTCTCATGATGGTCGCCTCCACGTCCCTCGTCGTCCCCTCTGCGATATCCGAAGTTCATTGCTCGGTTGACCCAGATTGTAAAGACAAATTGGTGCGAATGTCGCATTCCGTCTCTCTGGCCCTTCTGTTCCTGTTCGTTGTGTACCAGCACTATCGATGGAGGTCTCACCGACAACTATTCGTGGAAGCTGCGTCGCCTGAACTGGTTGACGGGTCTACTATGAGTCGAGTATTCCTAGGCATTGTCGAGGCATTGCTTCTCATCACCGTCTTGGGCATGGCGTCGCTATCATCCTTCTTCCTCATGCGCACCATGAGCTCAGTCACGGACTCGGATTTTCTCAGTAAACGAGTAGTGAGCTTCGTCCTCTTACCCTTGGCTACCGATGGGCCAGCTCGGATCGAAGCGGTCGCAGCTGCGTACAACAATCACATGACAACTGCCCTCGAGTTCGCCATCGGACGAAGCATGAATGTGGCTCTGTTCATCACGCCGGCATTGGTGCTCTTCTCGTGGGCCGCTCAGTCTAGCTATCCCATGACATTGCATTTCCCGACTCTGGAGACGATTTCCATCTTCCTGGGGTCGTTATTAGTTGCTGAACTCTGTCGAGACGGCAAAAGTGATTATCTGGAGGGGGCAATGTGCCTCGTCACGTCAGTCATCTGCCAAGTAGTGCCTATCCTTGAGGCTGCAACTTACCTTGTGCATAGGTATGTGATACTATCCTTCTCTTTCTAGTGGACCAAAAGACTGTCTGCACTCACGTCAACACGGTGAGTAAGCCCTGGATACACACACATTCATTGACAGGTATGTGCTTATGCGGTTGAGAAGGCCGGTAGCATGACATGCGCTGCAAACCCCTTCGAACCACAGCTACTCCATACACGCATCATCATCTTCCTTCCAAAGCATGTCTTCTAGCTCTTACGGAGGCGTGTTCCCCGGTCTCGTTGCCCCGTTGTGGGACTTTACAGAGTTGGTGGCGTCCATACAAGAGCCCGTCACAATGGGGCCGAGCTCTAAGGCTTGGTCGTCTAGAATGGAGCAAAAGGTGCTAGAAGTTCTATGCAGGTTGTAGCAGCATTTGTCGACGCCCACCCCGGCTGTCTACGGCTGTCTACGGCTTTGGAAGGGCAATTGGAATTAGGAAAAGCTGAATCCTTGATCCTTACTCACTTAAAACTTCGGTGGGAAAGCTCACATATTGTAAAGAAGAATAGTCGTTCGAGCGACCAATCTCAGCCTCAGGCGTGCTGAACATCAGACGGGTGCAGAAGACATGCCCGTTACACATAAGCAAAATACACGGGAAAAAAGGTCAGACGGATCGTATGATCAGTTCTTTTACTACCAAAGTACGTTTGCACACAACCCGCAGGTGCAGGTACAAGCATGTACAAGTCCCATCCCGGAGGAATGCAATAGGGTGCTGACTGACAAGACGAGCTGGAGTCTGAAATCTCGGCATCCTCCGGTTCACGCCACACAGAACGAGGCATTTGTTGTTCTCTCGCCATAGCACGCATGAGCTGCCTCGCTTGTCCATGAGCTCTACTACTAGTAGTAGTAATTCGAATCTTCCCCAGTTCTGACCCAGATCCTGATTAAAGTTGATCGAGTTCTCCGTCCACAGACTTGGGGAAACCTGGGGGAGATTGAGGGGGGGGGCTTTGGAGGCGGTGGGATCACCAGCTGTTAGTACAGACTTGCACGAGTAATGTAGTGTCAAGCTTCTGGAACCTTTCCTCGTCCGACGAACGGTCCGTCATGTGAACCATGAAGGCGGGCAACGGAAAACCGAGTGGCTGACGGCCATTTTCTCCGTCTCCTGTTGGCGCCCAACAACTAGCCCGGCTTACTGTAGATTTTGTGGCCAACAGCAAGCGGCGCACGCGCCCTATCGAAGGACGATGCGAAGGAGAACGACGCTCGGCCGCCGGCTTTCGTCGGCTTGTTTGGCGGATTGCTTGCTTGTCTCTTTGACTGATTGCTCAATGCGAGCCGTCAACGAGCCTTGCGCAGCGTTGAAGGACCGGTGTGTTGTGGAGTTTGTTTACTCTACCGTGAGTTTGCCTCTTGCTTCTAGTATTCCGAGGAAGCAAGCGACACAATGGCTCCCCTGAGAGTGTTGTTGTAGACTCAATTGGCATGCAATTCCCCGTGTCCCACGGTTGAGGCTTTCCGCAGTGAGACTGTCTGCCAATTCCCGTATGAGCATCATGCCAACCAATTTCAAGACGAAGTCGACCAAACACTCCAGTAGCACCAAGCAGAATCACAAGGAACCAGCCGCCTTTTTCTCTTCTGCTTCCAACCCGTTCTGCCGTACTTTCTAGCGGGTGGCACGAAGCTCAAGTGCTCACGAGTGGTGACCATCTTTGTACGTAACAGCTGAAGGGTGGATGTTCTGCGCGACTGAATCGTGTCTCGCCGAACCCCAGCCAGCTAATCCTTCCCACGCCTCCACTTCCCCATTCTCGACTGCGACAAGACAGACGGGAAAAAGATAAGGATGAACAGATGGTTTTCTCGCCTGTGGAGATGCCAGGCCCGTCCAGAAGTAGGTACTACTAGTATGTGAGGTATCGATACTCGTCCGGGATGAAACTCTCTCCTGCAATGGAAACGAGCACTAATGCACCCAAATGCAGGCACAAGACCATCAAAGTGTCATCGAAGAAGGGCTTCTCACTCTGTTTCTCCAAATGGGCGCATTCTGGAATATTCCCGCTCTCGTTAGCCTCGAATTTGCTTGGAGGCGGGCGGGACAAACCAGGAGAAGGGAGAAGAAAACGAGGCTTGAGCCTTAAATTCGAATAAGCAAATTGGAGCTCGGGGGCTTGAATGCCGACGCCACTTTCTGTAGCCGGTACTCGTACACCGCAATCTTGCTGTTTTTCTTTTTCGAGTGGAGAGGATGAAGATACCTAGATATTCCATTCATGGGGAGGATGGGCCGCTGTCTATGCGAAACGCTGATACGGGATGAGCAAGAACACATAGGAACACTAAGAGAGATCACCAGCCTTATCTTGGACAAACACTTTTGTCTCTCGCTTTGAGTCTGCGTTATCAGGCTCCATTCTCGTGATAACAACAGGCTCCGTACCCAGTACTAAAGCCTTGGACCGGACGGCTTTTCCTCCATCAAGTATCGGTACCTCCACTCCAATCGTCTGTTCCTTGAACCCTGTCCCCCTCCCCGCAGCAAACCAAGCTGAAAACAGCTAAAGAGGCGTCAATGTGCCGGGGATCATCTCTTTAGGGCGTCTTTAGGGCCTTGGAGACGCTTGGAGCAGGCGATAAACGGCCTTCTTCCTGGGAGGAACAAGCAGGGATTTCTATAAAGGCAGACCCTGCTGCCTTGCTCTATTCCTCCTCCTCTCTCTCTCTCCGTCCTGCTCCAAGCCTCTCTCGTCTCATCTTGTCTTCATCGATCGGCCGCAACTCATCATGGAGAAAAAGGGCAGCTCCGGACCCGACGAGGCCTACGACATCAACATCGAGTCCGCCAGGCAGGGTGAAACCACCGACTTCACCTTTGCCCACGATGGCGAGCAGCTCAAGCGAGGCCTCAAGAGTCGGCACCTGCAGTTCCTGGCCCTCGGAGGAGCCATTGGAACCGGTCTCTTTGTCGGATCCGGTGGCATCCTGGCTGACACGGGGCCTGCGCCGCTCTTCATGGCGTACATCTCCATGTCCATGATTGTCTACATCGTCATGAACGTCCTCGCTGAAATGACCGTCTATCTCCCCTTCCGAGGTGTCACCATTCCGTACTACGTCAGCCGCTTTGTCGACCCCAGCCTGGGCTTCGCTGCGGGCTGGAACTACTGGTACGCCTACACGATGCTGGTCGCCGCCGAAGCCTCAGCCGCTGCCATTGTCCTGGACTACTGGAAAGCCCACGTCAATGTTGCTGTCTGGATTGCCATTGTTCTCATTGTTCTGCTGGCGCTCAACCTGTTTGCCGCTGCCATCTTTGGCGAGGCCGAGTTCATTTTCGCCTCGATCAAGCTGATTGCCTTGTTTGTTCTTTGCATCATCGGCATCGTCTTGTTCTTCGGCGGTGGTCCAAACCAGCATCACGTCCTCGGCTTCCACTACTGGAATGACCCGGGCGCTTTTGTGGAATACAATGCAAAGGGGGACACGGGCAAGTTCTTGGGATACTGGCACGCCTTTGTCAAGGCCGGTATGTCTGACTATTCCCCATTGTCTTCAGATGTATCTCTGTGTGCGAAGCTGACACGTCTCTTGTGCAGGATTTGCCTTCATCACCAGCCCCGAACTGATCGCCATCGCCGCCGGAGAGGCCGTTTCTCCCCGCCGCAACCTGAAGAAGGCCGCCCGCCGATTCACCTTCCGCCTGGCCCTCTTCTACGGCGTCTCTTCTCTCATCATCGGCATCATTGTCCCTTCAAACGACCCTAGACTGCTGGGAGCCTCCAACGCCAGCGCCTCGCCCTTCGTCATCGGCATCCAGAATGCAGGCATCCCCGTCCTGAACCACATCATCAACGCCGTCATCCTCACCTCGGCCTGGTCTGCCGGAAACTCTTTCCTCTACTCGGCCAGCCGAGTGCTGTACTCCATGGCCATCAACGGCCAGGCTCCCAAGTGGTTCGCTCTGACCAACCGCCTGGGTGTCCCGTGGGTTGCCGTCCTGTTCACCTGGGCCTTCTCCCTCCTCGCTTTCCTCAACGTCAACAACTCCGGCGCCACTGTCTTCAACTGGTTCGTCAACATCTCGACCATTTCTGGTTTCCTGGCCTGGATCATCATCATGATTACCTACCTGCGCTTCCGCAAGGCCATGTTCTTCAACAACCTCTGGGGAGAAATGCCGTACAAGACGCCCCTGCAGCCATACGGCACATATGCCGCCCTCTTCATCATTTCCATTCTCACCCTCACCAACGGCTTCCAGATCTTCATTGGCGATAACTGGAACGTTAACGACTTCCTTGCCGCCTACATCACACTACCCATCTTCCTCGTTCTGTACCTTGGCCACAAGATTTGGAAGCGCACACCCCTCTGCATTAAGACGTCTGAAGTCGACGTTATCACGGGCAAGAAGGAGATGGACGAGATGGAGGCAATGGACCAGCCGCCTGTGGCCAAGAACTGGCTGCAGAAGGTATGGTTCTGGCTGGCATAGAGGACTGGAGTGATGATTGTGTTGTTTCTATATCCATCTGGATTTATGTATATAAAAGTGTCTGAAAAGGAGGCGGAGAGGCGACAGCAGGTCTTTGCCTTGAATACCCATCCACCGGTTACGATGTAGATGAGAGCTTTGGTTAATGACAATACTCAGAACCCATTTCTGGAAACTATCCTGATGTGAATCCAATGGAAGAGTATTAGGAATCAGCATATCTGCCCCATGGATCTTGACCCTGTGCTTATAAATGGTTTGTAGCTCAAGACAGTGGCCCAGTTACGGATCCGGACAATGCCCAGATTCAGCCCGCATGAGCGACTTGTACTGCGTCAGCGGCTAACTGGAATTTGCTCGATCTTTTTGGGAAAATGCTGGGCAAATGCTGCAATATTTACCGATGACATGGGTCTCAATAAAGAAGACAAAATGGTAAACAATTGCACTTCATGCAGCATCTTAGACTAAATGCCTCTTACTGGCTACTGTGACTTGCGCAAACGCTGTGATGCTTCGACTATCTGTCTCGACGGTGCTGCAGAGTACATTTGTGATATCAATTGCTGCGTGTTGTATCTGCGCTCCTGGTGAGCTACAATCTATAAGCGGTGCTGATGGAATAGAGGAACGCGAATCGTCATTTGCCTCTTCTATAAGTAGTCATGATATCCCTTTCGCCATAGACGTTCCAATTCTCACAGGTGTTCAATCTTCTTCTAAACTTGCACCTCATCAAACCATGATTTATCACATTTACACTGAAAGACCTTTCATCTCTCAATCAGTCAAAATGTCCACTCCTTTTGAGTTCCAAATCCTCGAGGCCCACGCCAAGTACGACAGCACCTACAAACACAGCGGCCTTGAATGCCCTCCTCTACGTAAAGCAGTCAATGGTTGGCCTCTTCATTCCTCAGCCAGAGCCCTTAACATCTAAGCCAACTTTCATCTCAGTCACATGCATGGACTACCGTCTCAATCCAAAGTCCGCCTACGGCTTCGAACTAAGGCGAAGTCACCATCATCCGCAACGCAGGTGCCTCCGACCGCGACGCCGCTCGCTCCGTCTTGCTCGTGACTCATGTTCCTGGAGCCAAAGAAGTCCTTCTCCATCAAACATATTCGATGCGGGCTCTTGGGCGTCCCAGAGGAGGTTGTGCATGGTATCATGACGAAGAATTTGGGCTTGACTGAGTCGAAGGATGTGGATGACTTTGGAGTGATGATTTTCCTAGAGTTGGGAGAGTCTACAAGAGAAGAAGTCGAGGGTCTTCGCAGTCATCCTGTCGCGTGGAAGAAGGTGCGCGTGACGGGACGGATCCATGACACGGACACGGAACTCCTGAGGAAGATTGTGGAATAGCCGCAAGTTGAAGTTGTAACAATGAAACAGCAACGGTACATAAGAAAATGGAGTTATGCAAACTATACAACTTGAACTTCATATTTGTGTGATCTTGAGTGTCGCTTAGCCATTGAAGAAGGTTGGCAATATCAATAATGCTTTTCAAGGGTAGGAGATCTGCTTACCACACACATCACACACGCATCGCATACCACATACACCACACACACACTGTGTATGCGGAGCGTATTGTTATGAACCTACACAACTGGCTTAAGTCACTTCTATCACTCACGGTCACGAAATGTATAGTCGTTGCCAGACACCAACAATCGAGGTTTGCTCGTTCAATGGCATAGCCAAGGGAAAACCAATGCTGCCATGAACGACGTGGAATTGAACGCCGGGCCTGTGATGTTGATAGAAGCCTACTGAGTAGTGCGCAAGCCCTGTACTTATGCAACGCTTTAGACCATAGATGATTGTTTGATCAATGTAGCTGCAGCTGATATCTCAGTCTGTGATCTCGTGCAGTTGTCGAATCGGATAATACCTTGCAGCAGCTGTATCCCTGTATGTCCGCATCGCGACCAGACGCAAAGTCCTGCTTTGCGGCCATCTTCAACAGATATCTAGCATCTAGCACGGCTTTAATAGGCAATTTCATAAATTTATCCATCAAGAGACCACTGTCATACTGCGGACATCTGGCATCAAACCGCAAATTGAGCATTTGAAAGCACCGCGTCCCGCGTCTTTATCCATCTCCGCACAGTAAATTCCGCCAGCTCTGTATTTACGATCAAGAACAGAGGCAATTGCATCTCAATGTACATCTCGATCTGGCTTCTTCGAGGAGCTCGTAAAGCAGATCATTCTGTCTTATCTTTGTCTTCCCTCTTCAAGACTGGCTGGGGCCGTTCGGCCAATAGTCAGCTGGCGGAGGAAGCCTCTGTCTTGCCTTATAGGGGCTAGTTGCCTCTCCTGTCATACCGAATCGGGCATATGGACAGGAACAGATACTACGAATGAGGCTTTACATACTTCACAATGGATTGCTGCGTGGTGATGGTTACACGATGAGGCTAAAGTGAGGGAACGGGCAAGAGAAGAAATATAACTATAAAAGCCTGTTGATTCCTCATGAGCAGCCAAGATACCATCCTCATCAGAGAACAGCAACAATAGCCACGGGCAGACCTTGACTTACACCCAAAAACTTTGGATTCATATCACGAAACGAAATGCCCCCCCAAAAGCCCAGAGCCATCCTAGGCCTCATGACCTACGGCCCCCCAACCTCCCCAGACAACCGCGTAACGACCATCGAAGAGTTCCAAACTCACCTCGACGCCTTTCAAAAGCACGGCTACAATGAACTCGACACAGCCCGCATCTACTCCAACGGCGACCAGGAAGCCTTCACCGCAAAGGCGGGATACAAGGAGCGTGGCTTCGAGATTGCCACCAAGAGCTACCCTCTCTTCCCCGGGCAGCACACAGCTGCCAATCTGCGCAAGGACTTGGAAACTTCCCTTGCGGAGCTCGGCACTACTTGTGTTGACATCTTCTATCTACACTCGGCAGACCGCTCTGTTCCCTTTACAGAGACGCTGGAAGCCGCGAACACGCTCTACCGGGAGGGTAAGTTTAAGCAGCTTGGCCTTAGCAATTACACGGCATATGAGGTTGCAGAAATTGTCATGCTGTGCCAATATCGAGGCTGGGTAAAGCCCACCATCTACCAGGGGCTCTACAACGCCATCAGTAAGTAGTTTTCGAAGCTCACCAGGGCTGCACAATTTCTGCAAGCAAGTCATCATATGGAATTGCAACTGACAATTTCCATTATAGCTAGAAATTTGGAGACCGAAGTAATCCCTGCCTGTCGCCGCTTTGGACTGGAAGTCGTCGTCTTCACTCCGCTCGGAGGAGGCCTCTTGACAGGACGCTACAAGTCCCCCGACGACGACGACGAACAGCAGGGCCGCTTCAGCAGGAACACCTTCTTGGGTCCCATTCTGCGCTCCATGTACTTCAACGAGAGTCTATTCAAGGCACTCGATATCCTTCGCCGCGCTGCAGAAGGCCACCAGCTGACCATGCCGGAAGTCGCCATCCGCTGGCTCGTCCACCACTCTGCCCTGAAATTTGCCCAGGACGGAGGGAACGACGGCGTCATCTTTGGAATCAGCAAGTTGTCTCAGCTGGATCAAAACATTGTGGATCTGCAGAAGGGGCCTTTGCCCGAGGACGTCGTCAAGGCTCTCGATGCTGCCTGGGTTATCGCTAAGGGCACCAGCCCGAACCCCTGGCATACGTCCCTCGAGTACACGTACGAGGGACATTCATAGGAATGCAATTCAATGTGTGAGCTTGAAGGCCGAGTGATGGTATAAGCGAGTTTTTAAAGCGTAGGTAGTGGCGTATAAAGATCATCGGCTATCCTGTGTCATGCCTGGTTCTTCTTTGAAATGTCAATGTGTTTCGAGGCAACGAATTCAGGCTTCTGAGACATCGCCATCGTAGCCCTCGACTGCTGAACAATTGTTGGTTTCATCTGGAGCAACTCGCAGATAATTTCTTGGAAGGAATACTTCCGGCTTGAACAGCCTCCCGCAGCAGCTGAGCTCTCAACGTCATCGCCATCGTGACCAACAAGCCCATCTCATCCGAGCTTTCCCTCCACTCTTCGACTGGGCAGTCCTCCAAAGATGTCGAAGCGAGCAAGTCTTTCCACTTCAGCTGCTTATACGACGACAAGGTACTTGTGCGTCTCTTCCAATCGTCAACGCTCTGAGCAGACCATGAAGCTTTCGAAGCTGGAAGCAGCATGCCCTCGGTGTCCCAGTCTAGCGGGCTGTTACACGGCAGCCCAATCTCCATGGATATCACGGCGTTTAGCGTGAAGTAGACGGCGGCAACGCGGACGAATGACTCGCAAAACACCCACTGCTTCCAGTCTCCTTGCGGATGCTGAGATACGTCTAATGTGCCCTCCACCTGAAGACGCCTAAAGATGGCCTTGATATGATAGTCAGCGTTTACCTATGGACAAGGATGGGAGTAGAGAAGGTCTTACCCCAAGAGTATAAAGAAGCGCAATATCTCCATTCGGAAAGGCTCGACTGTTTTGTCCCAGCTTTATCCTCAAAAGCACGTACACTGCGACAGCTTGTGCCGCGGACAGCAGCTCCCAAGTACCTAGAGTGCTGACCTGGTCAAAGTCAGTCACGATGCCAACCAGTTCCCAAGATAGCATTTCAAGGTCACAGGAAGAAAAGCCTCTTCTTGCCTTTGCATAAATCCATTCCTGATGCTGATGGATCATTTCCCACAACAGCTCTTGATCGACTGACAAGCCGAGTTTCTCACTCTTACACGAGCCGTACGCCCGCAACAAGTTCTGGCAAGTTTTGAGAGGACTCAACTTTGAGCTAGCAGACGCCGAGCCATTCTCAAGCTCCTGCTCAGAAGAAGGATGAATAAACGCCACGAGGGACAGATTGTGAGCCACCTTTGATGCTTGGCCACACATATACCGCAGTATGGAATTGCTTATCTGCATCAATGACGGCTCTGGGAATTTTCTCTGTTCAAAGAGGCTGAACTTGGGTACCTTGAATGCAAGTCACACGGTAAGATGACGCCTGCAGCCTGTTGAATTTCAGACAGTCATGGCAACTAACCAGTGCACACATCTGCGGACTCAGTCGCAAGTTAACCAAGTACTTCGGCATCATGGACGCTTCTGCTGCGTTCTCGGGAATGCCTGCCGCTACCTCAGCTTCATACCGCGATGCCTTTCTCTTCTGGTTCCGCCGCTTGTGATAGTTCTTCATCACCGCGCGCCGGATATAGGTGCGCCTTGCGCCCCGGCCCTGCGCGGGGTCATCGGTTAGATTCACAAAGGTGCGATCGAGCTCCGTGGGATTCATGGTATGTTTTGCTCACGTCGGTGATAAAGTCCCAAGCAAACAATGCTGAAGCGACTTCATGCAAGATCGAATGGACGAGCAAAGGGGGGAGGGGGGAAACAGGGGATATGCCAGATGAAGTAAAACACTGACGATACAGGGATTTTACATGCTGTTGAGCATCTAAACTCCGGCGCCATTTTAGAGGCTGCGGGCTTACTGACATGTGCAGGCGGATTTTCCTCAGCTGCGGGATTGCATTTGCTGTTATATGAGGAAGCTCAAGCTCGGTTGCTGACCTTTTGAGTCTTCTTCATTCACCTATTTGACTATTCTGACCATGTCCACTGATAGGTAAGTTATCTATCCTTCACTTATCGAGTAAAGTAGGTATATAGTCCTCGCAGACTTCGTGACGCCTTCATCACCGCCTCTCGTTTTCGCAGCTAGACAGTCTCAACCTCCACCCTGATGGAATCACATCACTCTGCTGATTGCTGTCCCTTCCCCAGAACCCTTTGCGAAAAATGGCAACATGTAATGCACGATATTCTTGAAATCGCTAAACGAAGCGAAATGGCCAGCATCTATAGGATGAATCTCTGCATGAGGCAGATCCCGCTTATACGCCATTGCGCCAGCAAGAAACAAAGCTACAGCATGAATCAGTCGTCACATTCTTCAGTGAGCAAAGCCACATCAACTTACAATTGGTCGTTTTCTCCATAGACAGCAAGAAGCGGCTATTGAAGAAATAATCCAACTGGAGGTCATCGACATTCCCTGGCTGATTATTCGAGGGTGCATATTCAAGCCACCATGATTCAGCTTCAGCTCTGTTGCAAACTCTCTTCTATCACGGAGTCCAGATGGCATCGAGCCTCTTTACAAACAACTACATGACTATAGTATCGTCTCGCCGTTCAGACCCTTCTACATCGACAAGCCGCTCACAGATGATACTTGAAATCCACCGCCCGGTCACCGCTCTGAACCTTTCTCGTATCCTCCCTCTGTCCACTGGCAATCCTCTCCTTCGCCTCATTCTGCCTCCTCAAATAAAACCACTTGGCAGCAATAATCACCTGCGCCAACCCCAAAGCCCCAACCGAAAACGCATTCCCCAAAACATACGGCGACTTTCTATAGATCTGGCCCGCCACAACACCAGCCGTGTTCCCCATACTAAGCTGCACGCCAATGGCCGTCGCCCGCCGATAATGCGGCGCAATATTGACATTGAGCCACGTCAGGTTCAATCCAGGGCCGCAGTACGTCGAGGCAGCGCAGAAGAAGGTGCCGAGGAACTTGACCGCGTTGCTGGTAGGCGCCAAGATAAGAATGTAGCCCACGATGCCGGGGATGTTGGAGAGCCAGAGGAACGGCCCGCGGATGCATGTTCGATCGGAGACGAAGGCGAGCGCGAGGAAGCACAAGCCGCCAAAGATGTACACCGGGATGCTGAGATACTGCGCTTCGATGGACGTGTAGCCCATGCTGACGATGATGGAGGGGAGGAACGTGCTGAAGCCGTACAGGAGAATGTCCTGACAGAACTGGATGCAACCACTGCAAGATAAATAGAATGTGAGTCAGAGATCTTCCTGTTTATGGGGCGATATGTGATCATCCATACCTGAGATACAGCTTCGGATCCTTGAGGCTGATCCAAATCTCCTCCCAGCTAAACTCCTCACTGCCCATATACTGCGCCCTCTGCGCCTCCCGAACCTTCATCATAGCCTTCTCCTCCTCCGTCAAGAAGTACGCATTGGAAGGATCATTCGGCAGCCCAAACCAGATAATCGGTGCAACGACGAAGCTGCAAATGCCCTCGATGATGTACACCCACCTCCAGCCCGCATACCCAGCAACGCCATCCATCTTCAAGATGGAAAACGCCAGCAACCCTCCAAAGGCCCCCGAAATCGCCGTGCACACAAACAGATACGAGACCCTAATCCCCTGCTCATGACGCTTGTACACCATAGTAAGGTACAAGTTCATCACGGGGAACAGTCCGGCCTCGCACGCCCCCAGCACCAACCTCACCGCGTACAGTCCAGCGACGTTATGAATGAAGCCCGTGCAGATGGTCGTCAGAGACCACACCACGCAGAGACCCGTCAACAGGATGCGCGGCGTCATCCACTTCATCATGACGCTCCACGGCGGCTCGAACGCGACGTACGTGGCATAGAAGATGGACACGGCTGTCGAAAACTCCTTTGCGCTGGCGCCAATGTCCTCGGGCATGCCTGCAACCTTGACGTTGCCGATGTTGCTGCGGTCGAGGAAGCATGTCAAGTAGACGAGCATGATGATGGGGACAAAGTACATGTCCAGCTTGAGCAGGAGGCGCTTCTCAGCATGGGGGTCGATGAGCGGGATGGAGGAGGCGAATTCGTCAATGTCTTGGGAGGAGACATCGCGGGAGGAGGGACGCTTCTCGTCGGGGTCTGTCTTTGAAGCCATGTTGGCAGTGATGAGGGAGCTTGAGATGACAGTCTCCCAAACGCAGCGGAAGAAGAAGAAACGAAGAAATGCGGGAAGAGGGGAGAGAGACTTGGATAGGTAAACGAGGAAGAGAATATCCAGATCCCAACCCCTGTTATAGAACAAGCGATCACGAACAACCCCGTGGGGAACCTGCTTTAAATGCAACCGTCAAGTGGAGAGACCGTCGCATCCCATCCCATCTAAACAAACAAGCCTCGCCAAGGATATATCCAAAACGGAGCCTCACGTCCGGAAACGCAAAAGGCAAGAAAAAGCAGACAGTAAACATCCAAACCCGCCTCATATGCCGTCTCAGTCTTCAACTGGCTACACAATCCCTAAGAAGCCATAGGCAACGAACTCCCCTCTAGCCCCCCTCTTATCGCCTGCCCCCAGAATCAAGTCCCGCGCCCGCCCAGTACTACGCAACAAGATCCTCTCCCCTCCTCCAGTGATAAGACAAGATAGGACATTATCCGTACGCTATCCAAGTTCCGCAAAGAGCCGTTTGTGGGGCAGATCGGAGACCCTCACCGACCCCTGGAAGCAAAGTGGCGATGGGAAATGGGGGGATTTGGCGAGCCTTTTCTTCTTTGATTTCCCTTTTAGACGAGAAATTCCGGGGATATTCTTGTTTACTTTGTGGCGTTTGAACTGGGGGGTATTCTGGGAGAAGAAGAGGGCTAGCTTTTGTGCGGGGAAGAAGATGGAGAAAGTCCCCCGTTGGAGATGGAGGAAGTGTTGAATGACATACTGTACAGTACTGTATGTAAGAGCGAGGATCTTCAATGATGGCGTCGTCATGGCGTGGGAGTGGGAGTGGGGGGGATGTGGCAATCATGATGTTGCATTGCATTCTGTTGAGTCAGTACATAGCGATTGTATGTGATATGTGGTAGCATGGAATCGAGGAGCATCTCGTTTGATACCGACTCTGCGGGTTCACGATAAAGACGCATGCAAGACAATCGCCAGATAGAGACAAAGAGTCAAGGAGCATCTGATTTAGATACCGACGATGTGGAATTACGATAAACACATAGAACCCTGCAGGATAGATACGATGGTGTGGAGAAGATGATATTGTAACCCAGCAACGTCTGTCCAGTCAATCTCTAGCCATCCCTCATCGACTCATCAACTCACTCATCTATCCATATATCTCTCTACGTCTGAAGAAGCTCTCAAACAGAACCGCCCTGCCCCATGAAGTCAAACATCCACTCCCGAATATCCGTCCCGCCAGCTCCCCCCGCCGCACCAGACCGCTGCCCAAAGTCCAAGTCCAGATCCATGGCATGATACGCAAACCCTTCCTCCCACAGCCCGAAATCCATCCCCGTACTCACGCTCTCGTCGTAAAACGGCTCGTTCAGCGCATCATTGTCCACGGCCGGGAAGTTGAACCGCCCACCTTCACTGCTCGCGGCCGTGTTGTAAGCGCTGATAGGGTACGCTGGCATCGGCATGTGCGGCTGAGCAATCCCCTTGCCATTGCCAACCATCGAAGTGCCTGCAGGCTGAAACCCAGACGGCAGCATGTTGAGATCCTGGCGAGGCGCGGTGGGAGACGCAAGGCTTGAGCCCGAGTGGATGTTGGCCAGCAGCTCGTATCGAGCACCCATATGGCTGTTGCCGCGCTCGCCCATGTTCCGCAGCAAGCCAAGTCCGGCTTCCATGGCCAAGTTGTTCGCAGCATTGTCAGGAAACGCCGCGCAGACCATGACGAGCACAATGGTGGCAGAGAAGATGTGCTCCCCATCCATGTAACCGTATGTTGCTATAATAACCCTGTTAGTCATCTCGTGAGAACTGTCAAATCATGACCCGGACAAGAGGAAACTCACCAACCATGTCGTGCTGCGCTACAATGGCCATCATGTTGATGACATCCTGCGCGGCCCCAATACACATGTCGATGACTCTCACCGTCGTCTGCGAAAGCCCTTCCTTCCAGTCGCGCTCCTTCTCCGCCGCCCCATCACCGCTCCGAATGGCCTTGAGACGCTTCTGCACGACGTGGAAGAGCAGCGGCCTGGCCGTCATGTTGATGCACTGATAGTAGTGCGCAAAGGCGCCCACGCTCTCGCGGCTAAACGTCAGCTGCGAAGGGTCGAAGCGCAGCTCATCGGGCAGCTCGCGATTCCACTTGGACAGCGAGAAGATGATGCTCTGCACCGACGCCATGAGGCTCTTGCCGGACTTGGGCGCAGCCTTGTTCGATCGGCGGTAGATGGTCATGTGAATCTGGCCGAGGATGCGAGACAACTCGGTGTAATGGCGCAGCACAACAGCAGGGCAATACTTGGGGTCTCCTGGTAGTGGCGACGGCAGGTCCACGCCAATGTCTTCGTCTTGGATGGTGATGGGGTTGCCGGACTTGACGCAGAGGATTCTGTCCAGGCTGTAGATGGACCACCAGACTCGTCGCCGATGCTCCCTCTCGGCCTTGTCCAGGATCGGGCCCTGCTGTGAGCTGTACTGAGGGCTGACCTCTTGATGCAAGCCAAGCGAAATGGCCATGCGCAAAGCCTTGCCGATGTACTGAAACGCAGCATCCCGACGATTCATGTTCTGCATGAAGTAGCCCGCAAGGGCCAGAGTCTCAACACACAGGATAGAGCCCTCCTCATGGGTCTCGGGGAGGAGGTTGAGCGCGTCTCGAAAGTAATCAAAGCCCGGCGGTCCTCGAAAGTCTACCCACTGATTCACCGAATACAACTGCCCAAAGGCGAGCACAATGAGCACCTTGGCATACTCCAAGCACGCAGTCTTGTCAGCAGGATCCGGCAATCCGCTGTATGCCTCGAGGAGCAAGCGCTCAAACGACTCCCGGGGATCTGTAAAGGCAAAGATAGTGCCAATGTACATGTACTGGGCTGCAAAGAGCCTCCGTGCCATGTCAATGGGTGGCAATCGCGAGCGTATGCCAAACACGACTTGTCGCCTCGATGGCAGAGCGTCGGGCTCATAAAAGTTGGAGACTAGATCGAGGCTCCCGTCGTCACCTTGGAAGCCGGATAGCTTTCTCACATTGCGGAGGAAGTTGTCTGCCGATGCAGGACCTTGGAAGCCTAGAATATCATCAGTAACCATGGCCAATTGCAGGCGTTGCAACAAAAAAACTTACTCGTAGAGACATTGTCGAGACTGAGCTGAGTAAAAGGCTCAAGCAGCGGCTGCTCATCCTCGAAATCGTCATCTTCGTCATTGTTGCGGTGGCGATGCGCAGCGGCCGAAGTGCCTGGCTGCATACCTGCATCACACGCAGTTTAGTACCTAGACGCAACCTCCTGATGAGATCCATGAGACAGAATCCACTTACTGTCTAAAGCCCTTGCTTTCGCTTCAAGCTCACGCAGATACGACTCGTTCACAAGAATCTTCCTGGCCCCCTCGTAGATGCACGTAAGTCGCGCATCACGACATCTCGAACAAGTCGGCTTCTCTTTGGAACAATACGATCGTCTCTGCCGGCAATTCATACATCTGAGCAGCAACATCCCACTTATAAGTATACAAAACGACCCATGGCAAAAGTGAGATGTGGAAAAGACTTACGCGACCGGCCTCGAGGTAAACTGCTCCGCACCCTGCCCAGCGGCGCCATCAGGAGAAGAGGTCATCCTTTCCATCTCGTGTTATGCCAAGTGACGACACCGCCAGCCTATGGAACCGCGATATCACCTGTCGTGAAACTTGTTCGACTCGGAGAACCCTGCGAGATGTGGGCCATGGAGAGGGAAACGACCCCGTCTCTCTGCCGTTATTTGATCTTTCCGGACCCAGGCGAGAGCTGCGAGAGGATCGCCCAAGAGCCTCAACATGGCCTTTGCGAAGAGAGAGCCCTGGAGGATCGTGTCAGGGCTGCAGGTGGTTGAGCTGCGGGCTGGTATCCCGACGTCGAGATGCGGAATCAGCCCTGCGTAGGTAGAGGCGCTTGTCTGCACGCTGCACAGCCGCTTCAGCCCTAAGGTACTATCTCTGCCGACACGTACTGTAAATCAGCCCTCAGTGCCTTGTCTGCCTTTCAGCCGTACAAGATAGCGGCAGTCTGCAGCATCTGCTCGCTCAGCTCCTGTATCAGCCGTTGTCCTTATCAGCCTCGGCTGCTCATCTCAAAAGACGCAAGACAGGCCTCAATCTCCAGCTCCCTTCTCTCCAATCCACGTCCAACCCAGCCTTCCCGCTTCTCCAACATCGGAACCCCATCCCCCATGGCCTGTGACCCGTTTACTAAGCCATTGATCCCCCTCCCACCTTTGGCCCTCGGGAATCGACCCCGACAGACGAAATCTCCTCCCCATTAGCCTCTTCCTGGCTTAGACCAGCTCTTGGGCGTCATCCCCGGCCCTGCGCTTCGGTTTGCGGGGACCCACACCGGCAGGCCAAAGCGGGATTCTGTGCCGCCGCATTTTGATTGATTGTTTGCAAATCATCGGAACCCAGAAGAACATCAAGTCTATCATGGGGATTCATTGGGGCGGAGAGGAGGGGGAGAAGGTGTCCGAGGCCGGTGCGGGACTGAGATACCAGACGATGGAGACGTGACGCGAGGGTTGATGTCGTGCTTCCGTTCTTATTCTGTTCCAATTATCAATCATTTTGCCTTCTCAACAACTCCTCGTCAAAGAACGAGATCCCCATCCTCCTCCTCCCTGTATAAAGAAAGACCTCTCTCAGCTGACCCTCATAGCTGAACACACCAACCACAACACCCAGCACACCACCTTTGATACCCCCCTCCACCCTCAAACACAATCTCCCCTCCCAATATGGCCATCAAATCCCTCCGCATCAGAGTCTCCATCGACCGAGGCGGCACCTTCACAGACGTCCACGCCTCCATCCCCGGCAGGGACGACATCATCCTCAAGCTCCTCTCCGTCGATCCCGCAAACTACCAAGATGCTCCCACCGAAGGCATCCGGAGGATCCTCGAGCTCGTCACGGGCGAGCACCTGCCCCGCGGCCAGCCCCTCGACCTCTTCCACTTCGAGTCCATCCGCATGGGCACCACCGTTGCCACAAATGCCCTCCTGGAGCGCAAGGGCGAGAGGGTCGCTCTCGTCACGACGAGGGGCTTCCGCGACCTGTTGGCCATAGGAAACCAGTCGCGGCCCCAGATCTTTGACCTGTCCGTGTCGCGGCCAGAGGTTCTCTACGACCATGTCGTCGAAGTAGACGAGCGCGTCACCATGGAAGACTACACCGAGGATCCAGACTCCGTCAAAACCACACCGACGCCGCAAGACACACAGCTCGTCGCCTCAGTTACAGGCGAGACCATCCGCATCCTCCAGGAGCCCGACCTCGGCGTCGTCCAGAAACAGCTCGCACAAGTATGGGACCAGGGCTTCCGCTCCATCGCCGTCGTCTTCATCCACTCCTACGCCTACCCCAACCACGAGCTCCTCGTCGGCAAGCTCGCTCTCGAGATGGGCTTCTCCGTCACACTCTCCTCAGAGCTGCAGCCCATGATCAACGTGGTGCCCCGCGGAACGTCCGCCGTTGCAGACGCCTACCTCACCCCCATCATCCGCAAGTACATCAGCTCCATCGAGGCCAACTTCCGCGGCGGCTTCTCTTCCGCAGACACCAGGATCGAGTTCATGCAGTCGGACGGCGGGCTGGCCGACTACCGCAAATTCAGCGGCCTCAAGGCCATCCTGTCGGGCCCCGCCGGCGGCGTCGTTGGCTACGCCCAGACGTCGTGGGACGAGGAGGAGAAGCGGCCCATTATCGGCTTCGACATGGGCGGCACGTCGACGGACGTGTCGCGATACGCAGGCGTCTACGACCACGTCTTCGAGACGACGACGGCCGGCATCTCGATCCAGTCGCCGCAGCTGGACATCCACACAGTCGCAGCGGGAGGCGGCTCGATTCTCTCCTGGAGAAACGGCCTCTTCAACGTCGGACCAGAGTCTGCATCTGCCCACCCAGGTCCGGCTTGTTACCGAAAGGGCGGCCCGTTGACCATTACAGACGCAAACCTCTTCCTCGGGAGGATCCTGCCCGAGTACTTTCCCAAGGTGTTTGGCCCCAAGGAAAACGAGCCGCTGAACCGTGAAATCGTCGAGCTCAAATTCGGCGAGCTCACGGACGACATCAACAAGGACAGAAAGGCCGCCGGCCTCTCCCCCTTTTCGCCAGAAGAAGTGGCCCTCGGCTTCCTGAAAGTCGCCAACGAGGGCATGGCCGGACCGATCCGCGCCCTCACAGAGGCTCGCGGCTACGATGCCGCCGACCACCATCTTGCCTGCTTCGGCGGTGCAGGCGGACAGCACGCGTGTGCCGTGGCCAATGTCCTGGGCATCTCCCGCATCATCATGCACAAGTACTCCTCCATTCTGTCCGCATACGGCATCTCCTTGGCCGACGTCGTCCACGAAACGCAGCGCCCCTCCGCCATCGTCTACAGCGCAGAGACTGAAGGTGAGATCCGGTCTCAGCTGGAGAGCCTCGCCCAGCAGGCCACCGAGGCGCTCGTCAGCCAGGGATTCTCGGTGGACCAGATCTCGCACAACTCCTACCTCAGCATGCGATACGTCGGCTCAAGCAGCTCGCTCATGATCCTCAAGGGCCACGACTGGGACTTCAAGCGCGAGTTCGAAGAGGCTCACAAGCGCAGCTTCGGCTTCCACTTCCCGGAGAAGGACATCATCGTGGACGACATCCGCATCAGAGCGGTGGGCCACACCGGTGCGAAGCAGACCAAGACGCCGTATGCCCCGATGAAGAGGATCGAAGGCGTCAGGGCCCCATCGCCCAAAGCAGACGGCACAAACCCCGTGTACTTTGAAGGCTCCGGACGCGTCGACACTCCCATCTACGAGCTGCAGAAGCTCCCCGAGGCATCGCGAGTTGCCGGCCCGGCCCTCATCATCGACAACACCCAGACCATCGTCGTCGCCCCCGGCACAACAGCCACCGTCCTCGACAGCTACGTCGTCATCGACGGCGCCCTCAACACCGCAAAGTCCAGGGCCAGCGCCCAACAGGAAGAGGAAGAGGAGGAGGAGGAGGAGTTCAGCCCCATCCAGCTCACCGTCTTTGGCCACCGCTTCATGGGCATCGCCGAGCAAATGGGCCGCACGCTGCGACGCACCGCCGTGTCGACCAACATCAAGGAGCGCCTCGACTTCTCGTGCGCAATCTTCAGCCCCGACGGCGGCCTCGTCGCCAACGCGCCGCACGTTCCCGTCCACCTGGGGTCGATGCAGTTTGCAGTCCAGTACCAGCACCGCCTCTGGGAGGGCAAGCTGCGCGACGGAGACGTCCTCATGTCGAACCACCCTTCGTGCGGCGGCACGCATCTCCCTGACATCACCGTCATCACGCCCGTCTTTGACGGACAGGAACTGGCCTTTTACGTTGCCTCTCGCGGCCACCACGCCGACATCGGTGGCATCCTCCCGGGCTCAATGCCCCCTACTTCGTCGGCGCTGTGGCAGGAGGGCGCCTCTATCAAGTCCACCAAGCTCGTCAGCCAAGGCCGCTTCGACGAGGCAGAGGTCGTCAGGCTGCTGCTAGAGGAGCCAGCCCAGTACGAAGGCTGCTCGGGCACCCGCAGACTGCAGGACAACATATCCGATCTCAAGGCCCAGATCGCAGCCAACGCCAAGGGCATCTCGCTGATCAAGGGCCTCATCGAAGAATTCGGCTTGGCCACCGTACACAGATACATGTACGCCATCCAGCACACCGCCGAGGATGCCGTGCGTGCCTTGCTGAGGGCAACCCGTGAGAAATACGGCCCCGAGCCCCTTGTTGCAACCGAGTACATGGACGACGGAACGCCCATCGCTCTCTCCATCAGCATATCACCTGATGGCTCTGCCGTCTTTGACTTTACTGGCACCGGTCCTCACGTCTTGGGCAACACGAATGCCCCCATTGCCATTACGCACTCGGCCATCATCTACTGCCTTCGCTGCCTCGTGTCGTCCTCCATCCCCCTCAACCAAGGCTGTCTGTCACCCATCAAGATTGTCATCCCGGAGGGCACTCTTCTCAATCCAGGAGACGGCCTCGCCGTTGTCGGTGGCAACGTGTTGACGTCCCAGCGTGTCACCGACGTCGTCCTCCGCGCATTCAACGCCTGTGCCGCCAGCCAAGGCTGCTGCAACAACCTGACCTTTGGCACCGGCGGCAAGGATCCGGTCACGGGAGAGCACAAGGAGGGCTTTGGCTACTACGAGACCATTGCCGGGGGCTCCGGTGCCGGCCCCAACTGGGTCGGCCAGAGCGGCGTGCACACGCACATGACAAACACGCGCATCACCGATCCCGAGGTGTTTGAGAAGAGGTATCCGTGCATCTTGCGCCGCTTCGAGCTCCGCAGAGGCTCGGGGGGCAAGGGCCGCAACAGAGGCGGTGACGGAACGGTGAGGGAGATTGAGTTCCGCGTCCCCGTGCAGTGCTCCATCCTCAGCGAGAGGAGATCGCGTCGGCCTTATGGCATGGAGGGCGGAGGCGACGGCGAGGCTGGTCTGAACTGCATCAAGGTCGCGGACCCGGCAACTGGGCGGAAGAGAGTCATCAACATGGGAGCCAAGGCCACCACGAGGCTCAATGCTGGGGAAAGCATTGTGATTCAGACGCCTGGAGGAGGTGCTTGGGGGAGAGTCGAGGCATGAGCAGGAGTACCTTTTGTATAGTATTCATATTAATTACACCATGATGGCAAGATGTCAGGAGCAATCTATGTATTAGAATGATGATGACTCTTCAAGTGATAAGCCCCCCATTGGCAATTTGTGGAAATATTTCCGCTGTCACTAGGTACCCGAGTATATACTGTATACTCACTATACTATGCAATTTCACCGACTCGAAGAGCAAGAGACGTTGAAATTGCAAAGTGATGGTCATTTTATCAATCTCTGGGGGGGCGATGCCGGGATCTTGTTAGCAGCGCAGGTCAGCGCTTGGTTGGTGTTATGTAGTCTGAGGTGTGCTATTACGAGTACCTATTAATCTTCAAGGTTCTGCAACACTGCCGGTTACTATTCGTTAGTAAAATGGCAGCAGCCGATGGCGGTTCCACGCGAGATGGGGATGAAGCCGTTTAAATGCGAGAAGCTGCTTGCAGGCGAGGAGGGCCAGGCTCTCTGGTGCTGGGTTTCAAGAGCAGCGTGGTGCGACACGGTGGTGGCGATGCCTTCATATTGCGAGCAGGTACCTATAAATTGCATCAAGCATCATCTCTCAGGTTTCACCGTGACGGATTGACCAAGCAAAGGCGCAAGTACTTTGAGAGCTGCATGCTGCACACGTGCTCAGTCCGCCGTCAACCTGGTCATAGTGATACCCTAGAATCAAAAATTTATCAAAATGGTCATACTACTAATCTCGAGTATGTAATGATGACTCCCGTGCGTTGAAGTCATCCATCTGCAGGGAAGCCTCGCATCGTGTTTGCCATTGAGGGCTCAACATGACGGGATGGAATTGGTTGAAGCTTCTGCTGTCGCCTCAACGCCTTCAGGGCATCTGCAGGCACCGACAAATCGCCTTCAGGGCGCCCTGGACGCACTAACAGCGCTAAGCGATTATAGCGTTCCCGCTAAGAGACACAAGCGCCAGGGACCATGCAGGAACAAAATCAGAGGCCACCAATCAGAGGCTGCGCGGAAATGAGGGCATTCACAGGTTGCGCACCAAAGAGCCCCCTGATGGACTCACGTTTGTCGTCGCTTGTTGCTCTGCATGTACCTGGGCAGCATCGGTTGTAGCCAGAGATACCTCGCGTCGACGGTGCAAGGGGCGGGGGGGTCCAAGCACGGTCCAGCGAGGGCATGAATTGCAGCGAGTCAGCGGCGCCGGCTCTGCTTCTTCTCTCTCTTTCTTTCTTCAGGACCCCTGTGGGCGAGGTCGGGGTTAAGATCGGTTCTGGTAGCACCAGACGAGAATATGTGCGGAGGAGGGGCTCGCTTTCGACCGTTGAGATGCAGATCGGACCAGCTTCAGCTAGAGCGAGAGGCGATTTGCCCTGTCAGCCCGTATTTTGGGGGGTGATTGGACGCGGCCAGACGAGGAAAAAAAAAGAGGCGGCTGCGGCGGCCCAAGTTGGGCGACGATGGGGCTGGGCGTGGTGTTGTGAGCGACTCAGCAGAAACGGTAATAAGCACGACTCACAAACTTGGCGAGAGATGGATGGAGTCTGCAGCAGGGAGAAGCAACCTAAGGTACGCAGCTGCTGATTCAGATTGATGGAACGAGACGCTGCTGAATCGTCAACAAAGGAAGACGCGCCAAACAATGGCCGGTCCTCAGCAGCTGAAACCAACTGGAGGCGTCGAATCAAGATTGACCGCAACGCATAAAGTGCTGGAGCTGCGACACGCCTGGCGTCGACAGCAAGCAGATTTGGGCTTGGCTCGGGCCCTGCTTGGGCTGGCCCTTGTACTACGTAGGTACTAATATGTACCCGGTTCGACACACCTTAATCTCGAGCCCTTGCGTGCGCGCGTAACGGCCCAGTCCCGAGTACCTGCGAACACCATCAATTAGCCATACAGTCATCAAGTCTCCCCTACCAGGACAGCCCTCGAGGCGGGCCCCGGTTTTGTTTGGGGGGCACCTCGTCGCCACCATTGGGCGCCCTTGTTTCCCTCCACTGGCTTGCCCTCGAGTCACTCGGCCCTGCGATGGCGCCTTGGCTCAAGTAGTATTTCTCGCGGCTTGGCCTTTGTTTCGTCTCGCTGCTCCTCTTCCTCTCTTCCTCCTCCTCACGCTCCCGTCCGTTTCACCAGCTGTGCCCGAGCAAACAAAAGACTTCGTTGGCAAAGTCTTGTCCATTCATTCCCTTCAACCAGCGCCGCAACTCTTGGATATCGACTGTCCGCTGCACATTCTACCCTCACGCTCCTTTGCACCACGCACAAGAACAAAGCACATACTACCTTACCTACCATCCTCTCTGCTGCCTCTCGCGCATCCAGTCTCACGACCACCTGCATCAAGTCACCAACAACACCAACAACACCAAACCCACAGAATCAAGATGAAGTTCTCCCTCTTCGCCGTCGCCGCCCTGCCGGCTCTTGCTCTCGCCCAGTCGACCACCACTGAGACGTCGACCACCGTCCTGACCAAGACGGTCACGCTCAAAAAGGTGCACACCGTCACCTCCGTCTCCTCGTCTGTCAATGCCACCACCACGCACGCTGCCACCATCTCGTCGCACTCTCTCGTCGGCACTGGCGTCACCACGACCTACTACCAGCCTACCGCTCCGCCCAGCACCGGTGCGCCTGTCGCCTCCGCTACTGCCACCAAGGGCCCCCAGAACGCTGGTGTTGCCCTCGAGGCCAGCAAGGTCGCCTTGGCCGGTGTTGCCGGCATGATTGTCGTCGCTTTGATGTAAATCCAAGCACGCAGCGTGGACCTTTCTGAGAGAGGATGACGGGGGTGGCCTTGAGCCATCTTGGACATATCATCGCTCATCTTTCATTTTCTTTGTCATTTTGAAAAATAAAACCCCTTTTCTGTTGTATGACAAGCTACGACCTTTCACGACCCGCCGACGATTCGAAACCGTGTTTGGCTGAAAACGGGACCGGCCCTTTTCGTCCACAATGGCCTGGCGGTCTCGATTCGATTCTTTGTTAATGCGCGCCCACGGCGCTGCTGGGCTCATCAAGTTCTTTGATGCTTCGTTCTCGGACATCTTTACTTTCCCGCTGCTCCAGCTCGGTCATGAGATGGCGCCTCACCTTCTCAACCGAGCCGGAGTCGCACCACGTGTGTGCAAACGCGCCTGGCTGGAGTCTGAGCTTCTATTCATTCATCTTATATTCTACCCTTTTTTTGTTTTATTGTTTCTACCATCACCTGATACCAGGCGATTCTTCATTCAAAATCTTTGGATCTGATACCATGGGCATATACATTCAGCATGCTGATGTACATTTTACTTCACGGGTGAACGGGAACTTTTTCTTCGCTTCTGTTGGTGATACCCCCTTATTTTACGTTGGTGATGGATGGTCGAGGGCTTGATGAGGCTTGCAACGGCCGAGTCCTGCCCGCGGCCTGACGGCTTGTAGTCTTTGGCGCATGTCCTCTGGGGATTCATTCGGATGCTGGAGTTTTTTGGACAGACGAGGCTTGGTGTTGCTGGGGATCAACATGCGATGGTGTTGCCTGTTGGATCTTTTTCCTTTTTTTAAGGCTATACAATACATGTTGTCTGTACATTTGATATGATCCTCACTGTGATGCCGCGTGATATATCTTCATGTCAATTGATGATTGGCTGATCTCGAGGTTCGAGAAGGATGTCATAGTTGTTCTGGCGATGTCGAGAGTTCTGATATGCGCGCATATATCTACCTACACGCACGTTGCATACCTTACATATAATGGCAGCTTCGCCACGTCCATCTACATGTCCCTCAGCAACCGCAGTGCCTTTGATAGAGCACAAACCACACAGATCAAGCCTGATTACCTACTCATCTGATCAATCACAATCTCGCCGTCATCCATCTGCTGAGTCAAGCAAGATGCTCGCGCCCAATGGCTGCTGACCAAAGACGATCCCCCATTGGCGCCATCTCAGCTCCGGCTTGCGGCGCCAGGCTGCGGGTCCCATCGGCTCTCCAACTTTTTTTCCCAACGCTTTAGTAACTCTTGCAATTATCAACCTCCAGCCCGCCATCCAGCACCAGCACCAACAGGCGGGATTCTCGGGAAAAGAGGCCTCTTGCATCTACATACACCTTCATCCCTCACAGCGCCGACATCTCACAGAATCGCGCACAACCGCCAGAATGGCCTCCCTCGCCCCGTCGCTGCAGCGCGCGCAGATGCCTGTCCGGAGGGCCCTCGCAGCCTCGCCCGCCCTCCGCTGCCTCGCCACCCTCCCGCCTCATCCCGACCCCAGCCCAGCCGCCAAGCCGTCGTCGTCCCGCCCGCGGACGTACTTCAAGGACAAGACCGTCGGCGACTTCTCCGACTTTGTCGCGACGTCGTCCCCGACGGCGACGCTCTCGCCCAGCGACGCCTACGAGCTCAAGACGGCCGAGGTCGGCCCCGCGGGCAAGAAGCGCACAATCACCCGCCTGCCCGAATGGCTCAAGACGTCCATCCCCGCAGGCAACGACAACTACAAGAAGATCAAGTCGGACCTGCGCGGCCTGGGCCTGCACACCGTCTGCGAGGAGGCCCGCTGCCCCAACATCTCCGAGTGCTGGGGCGGCTCCGACAAGAGCGCCGCGACGGCCACCATCATGCTCATGGGCGACACGTGCACCCGCGGCTGCCGCTTCTGCAGCGTCAAGACGAGCCGCGCCCCTCCGCCGCTGGACCCCCACGAGCCGGAGCACACGGCCGAGGCCCTCGCCCGCTGGGGGCTGGGCTACGTGGTGCTGACGAGTGTCGACCGCGACGACCTCGTCGACGGCGGCGCGCGGCATTTCGCCGAGACGATCCGCAAGATCAAGCAGAAGAAGCCGTCGCTGCTGGTGGAGGCCCTGACGGGTGATTTCGCGGGCGATCTGGACATGGTCAAGATCGTGGCGGAGAGCGGGCTGGACGTGTATGCGCACAATGTCGAGACCGTCGAGGGCCTGACGCCGTATGTGCGCGACAGGAGGGCGACGTTCCGGCAGAGCTTGAAGGTGCTGAACCACGTCAAGGAGGTGCGCGGCAACGAGGGCATCATCACCAAGACGAGCATCATGCTCGGTCTCGGCGAGCAGGAGCACGAGCTCATGGATGCTCTGAGAGGTACATATAATTTCTCACCCTTTTGATTCGGAAACAGAAAGATCTGTTATAGCTAACGTCCACCAACAGAGCTGCGAAAGGCCAACGTCGACGTCGTCACCTTTGGCCAGTACATGCGCCCGACCAAGCGCCACCTCAAGGTCGAAAAGTACGTCACTCCCGACGAGTTCGAGATGTGGCGCCAGCGGGCCCTCGACATGGGCTTCCTCTACTGCGCGAGCGGGCCCCTCGTGCGGTCTTCCTACAAGGCCGGTGAGGCCTTTATCGAGAACGTGCTGCGGAAGAGGGCCGGCGACAAGGCTGCCGCCGTTGCGAGCGAGGGTCTGGGCAAGACGGTGGCCTTGGATGCCACGAAGCTGTAGTGATAGGGTTGATGAGAGAAGGAAAAGCTTAGGGGCTCGTTTTTGTTTTTTGTTTTTTCTTCTGTGCATATAGGCGTTTTCTTTGCAAGGTTGGATTCCTGTAGAGGGTTCACGGTTCAACGATGGAATAGCGAGAGGCCTTCAACAATGGCTCTGATAGATGTTAAAGTACCTACCTATGATGCATGGTAGAAAGGGGGGGTTATAATATAATACATATCAACCCTCCATCAAGCAATTCTTTATATAAACAAGCATGAAACCGTCTAGAGACAGGGTATCAACTCTATCCCACCCGCCTACTCACTCATTCTCCCATATCCTCTTCAACGCCATCAACCCAATAAACACAGCCTCCTCCGTCCGTATCGTCCTGCTGCCCTGGTTCGGCATGACGTCCACCCAGTGATCAAACAGCTCCCTCGTCTTGCCCCCCTGGATCCCCATGCCGCCCAGCTCCTCGTCGTTCATCGCCGCATACTCAATGCCCCTGGGGCCGCCAAACACAATGAGCGCATGGTTAAACTGCACCCTCTTCGAAGCGGGAAACTCCTTGGACACAGGCGACCCCCGTTCCGACGTGCCAATGCTCAAATCATAGCCATTCTCATACGGCGACTCCGTAAACACCGCCGACAGGGAATTCGCCTGCCGCACCGTATACCCCCAGTAAATGCCCGCCTCGGTCCGCGGCGCAGCCGGATGCACGCACTCGGCCGGCTCCCCTTCCTCCTCGGCAACCTTGAGCGTGACCCTCGTCTTGGGCGGAATATCTTCTTTAATCTCCACCGGCTTCTCCAGCCCGACATCCACCAGCGTGCCCTCTCCAGACCGCGTCATGCCCGCAATCGTCACGCCCTCCCTGTACTGCATCCACTCCTTGATGTGCGGATGATGAGGCGTGTCCAGGCCGGGCAGCGAAGACGTCATCCGCAGGTTCGGGTGCAAGGGGAAAAGCGCCTTGCGCATAAACGGCGGCGCCTCGAGGTACGACAGCACGTGCGTCAGGAAGTGGCACGGGTCCGTGTCGCCCGTGTAGGCCGTCTTGTCCGTCTTGTGCGGGCGCGTCTTGACGGGGGAGTCGTCGTAGACGATGACTTCGTCGACGGAGAAGATGGCGAGGGCGCGCGCGATGCGGCTCGGCACCGCGATGCGCTGTTCGGCTGTGGCTAGGCTGTATTTTTGACCTTGTGAGCTTTTCCCGTTTTTCTTCTGAGCTGGGTGAAGGGCCTGAATGCTTACGTTGCGATTGTGCTGCTGGGAAAGGCCACCGAGACGGTCCATTCTCTGCCCTCGGAGGCTGGCGCACTGGCTGCTTGGCCGAATGCCTGCTGCGAACCGCCATTGTGCGCCGTCTTTCGCTTCTACACTTGATTGTTAGCACGCTATTCTATATCCATAGTAAGCTTGAGGAAGTTTGACGTGTTTGTTACCTTTGCTTCGCGCTCTTGATAAGACATGGTGGATGTGACGTTTGCTACCTACTGAATCGCCTCTGCCGGTTCAAACGCCGAAGCTTGGAGTTGTTCAAAATATTTTGGATTCTGCCGCCAGTGGCCCACTCGGCTTCTTGACCGCCTCCTCATACCGCCTACTTATTTTGGGCCGGAACCTTATGTTCTTTAGCGCCGACGGTTGTTGCATCACCACTTCTTGGTTTACTTCTACCCTACAACACTTGACCTCATACGGCCTCGAAGGACTCGACAACTCGACGATTGCGGGAAGAAAGCAGAGTTCCAAAAGATCTGGGCCACATACAAAGCCTCAGAATACCCGATCTACAAACAACCATCGGCGAGCTGTCGTCATCACTGATTACTCGCTTGTATAAGGCCAATGTGTTGATACTGCCAGCTATCAAGTCCCTCAGTGGAACATCGGGATCGAGACACTGCAACTTTGATGCTGGTTTGATACGGCATATGAACATCTTGCCTTTTCCCGGTCACGGAAAATGTCTCCATCAATCCTTTGATGATCCATCTCGAATGGCCAATGCATCTCCAACCGGACAACGACAGGAGAGTAACATCTTTCTGGATACCTAGACAGTGGCCATCATGCTGTGAGTCTCAGCATATTCCTGTCTGCATTCCTTCATGTTCTATACTGCGGCCAAGTCCAGCATCTCTCCATCATCTTCCATGCAACTATCCATTCAGACATGGGCGCACATTACGTTTAAAAAAGGGCCTCGACGATGTTACAAGGCAGTTTTGAACAAGCGGCGGCACACTGGCAACATGTCCCAAGCCGAATAGTTCTCCGCCTTGATCATGCGAGAGTCACCTCCTGCATCCTCCTATGAAAGAGCAAGGCGGCGTGAAAAGCTGCCAAATGGTTTCGAGGGCAACTATTCACCAGGAGTTGCCAGCCCGGTTGACTGCATCTAATGCCATCTCCCGTTCTTGACTGCATCCCCTGCTGAGAAGAGAATAAAGAAAATACTGTTTATCACCCGTCTGCCACCGAAATCCAAGGCGACCCTGTTTCTCACTACCCCTTGCATCCTTCGCCCATGACAACTGCCGGCTGGCTTGTAGGCCTCCCGCAGCTGTCCGACACTCCTCTGCCAGCTGGAAGAAAATGGAGTCTCTTTCAATGGCCTTCCGCCGACAAAGCACAGAGTGGATACAAAGCAAACGGACAACCAGTACTCGAACATAGATCTGGTTCTTCTCCCCCATCAGCTTCTTTCTCCTTCTTCAGCCCGCCGGCCTTCTCTTCTTTGGTACACTGAGTGCTTCTTTGCAACATCACGCTTCGCCATGGGCTCCGTGAGTAACGGCCAGTCAGGCCAAGGCCTTGGAAATCGAGTCTTCCTGGACAAGATCGACAAACTCCGCGAGCTGAACATCTCCAAAGACGTTCCTCTGCCCCAGGTGAGCTACCAAGCAATACTGCATAGCCGAAGCCTCACTGACTTGTCAACAGATGGTCGTCGTTGGAGATCAAAGCTCCGGCAAGTCAAGCGTCCTCGAGTCTCTCACAGGATTCCAGTTCCCTCGCGCAGCCACTCTGTGCACTCGACACGCCACTGAAATCGTCTGCCGACGAGAGCACACCGAGAGCGTCGTTGTGTCCATCATCCCGCACAATCCGTCTCCCGAGCGGGAGAAGCTCGTCAGGGGCTTTCGACGATCAACGGACAAGATTGCCTCTGATGACTTCCCCAAGATCTTCGAGGATGTAAGTACCCATGTCTGTCCTCGTCCTGTCACTCCTCCATCACGTAAAGCGTATTGGCTAAGACGAATCATGCAGGCTGCCAAAGTCATGGGCATCAAGCTGTCGGAGACTGACGGTGACGAAGGCAGCGCCTTCAGTCTTGACGTCCTCAAGGTTGAAATCAGCGGCCCTCACGCTGACCACCTCACGGTTATTGATGTCCCCGGCATGTTTGAGACTGTGACTCCAGGAGTCACCACGGAGTCCGACATTGACCTGGTGAAGAACATGGTCAGGCGATACATCGAGGAGCGCCGAACCATTATTCTTGCAGTGGTTCCCTGCATTGTAGACATTGCCAATCAAAAGATCCTCCGTCTCGCAGCAGAGGTCGATCCCGACGGCAAACGAACGTTGGGAGTCCTCACGAAGCCCGATCTCTGCATCGAGAATGCAACCAAGGCCGTTGTCTGCGACCTCGTCAACGGCAAGCGGCGCGATCTGCACCTCGGCTACTGCGTAGTCAAAAACCTCGGCGCGGATGACGTCTCGGGAAACATGCACAGTCGCAACCAGCAAGAACAGGCTCTGTTCGGGCAGGCTCCTTGGAACACCCTCCCCTCCGATCGAGTGGGCGTCGCCGCGCTTCAGACGCGCATCGGCCACCTGCTGCAGGACCGAACTCGTGCAGAATTCCCCCTGGTCCAGAGCGATATCATGGCCAGCCTCAAGAAGAACAAGAAGCTTCTCGCCGGCATGGGCGAGTCGCGGTCCACCACGGACCAGCAACGTGCCTACCTGGGCAAGGTTGCCTCGGACTTTGCGACCCTCAAGAACTACGGGCTGGATGCCTACTACACGCGTCACGACTTTTTCGACGACTATGAAATGAGGCTGATTACGCGCGTCCGTACCATCAACGAAGCTTTTGCCCTCGTGATGCATGAAAAGGGCCACTCCATGGAGTTTGACGACGATTCTGCTGGCGGAGATGGTTCCGGACTGGACGAGCCAGACGAAAGCGATCTGGCAGCAGACCGGTCCCTGCTGTATGGCGACAAAGTCGAGCTAAAGATCCCGAAGCTCGGCGAGGGAGACCTGGGCGACATTGTGTCGGACCCGTATTGGTGTGCAGAGCCCAAGAGGGGCGACATGCTGCAGCATATCCAGGAGCTCTACCTCAACTCGCGAGGCTACGAGATGGGCACTGTGAGTACTACCTCTACTAATGTTATTCTGAAACCAGGATCCTGACGAGAGAAATGGTGTAGTTCAGCAGCGAGATGCTGTCTCGCACCTTCAAGGAGCAGGGCAGCAAATGGCGAGGCATCACGCTTGCACACGTCTCCAACGCCATGCTCATTGTCCATCAATTCATCCACCGGGCCCTGGAAGAGTGCTGCCCTGATCCCACCGTCCGCGAGGAGCTCTGGGGCTATCTCCTCTACGGCCACGACGGCGCAAGCGGCCAAAAGGGACACGAAGGCCTGCTCAAGCGCTACCGCCGAGCAATGGACAATGCAGAGTTTCTCCTCTCTGTCGAGTTCCAGGAGCGAGCCATCACCCACGACCCTCGCTTCGACGAGCAGCTCAACAAGCTGAAGCTGGGCGGCGGCGGCAACAAGAAGGCCTCCTCGGAGGATCCCAGCAACGACAACCAGCCCGCCAAGGAGGAGCCGGAACAGGGCCCCAGCTCTTCGCTCGAAGACACGACGCGGGGCATCCACGTCCTGCTGCAGTCGTACTACGGCATCGCGCGCAGCCGCTTCATCGACGTGGTCTGCCAGCAGGCGATTGACTACTTTCTCCTCCGCGCCAAGAACGGCCCGCTCGAGGTGCTCTCGGACAAGGTGGTCCTCAACATGTCGGCGGAGCAGCTCGACGTCATTGCCGGGGAGGACCTTGCCGTCAAGGAGGAGAGGGAGAGGTTGGCCAAGCAGGTCGAGTCGCTGACCCAGGCCCTCAAGATTCTGCGAAGCTGAGGGCCATTGGTTCTGTCATCGATTCGAGGCTTTTGATTTCAGGAGTGTGCTGTTTGTGCACTGCACTGCGGACGGCGATGGATTGACGGATACCTAGGTATTGGGAAGCTGCTGAGGCCGTTCATGCGTTTAGGCGATTCATAGAGACTGCGTTGATGGACATAGACACCTCCATAGGTAGAGTGATGCTCAATGTATACTTGTCATTGACAGTACCAAAAGAAAGAACCCTAGGCATCTAAAGCACCCAGCAGAAAACGCAAACCGACCTCGCACAAAAGAAATCCAGTACAAAGCCCATCAAAGACAGAAGTTTTCCCGTGTATTCAACGAAAAACCACCCTCCCAAAACCACCCTCCCAAGCCCAAGGAATCTTTCATTCCTAGTAAATTGCCCAGCCCAGCCCAGCCCAGCCCAGCCGACCCCCCCCTTCAAGAGCACCTACAATCGCCACACGTATCCATCGCGCTCGACGTAAACCTCCCGTCGGCAGTGCACCCCGAATGGATGTTGGACGCGGAGCAAAAGTCCTGGACCTTTGCCGGGCACGAAAACTTGCGGTTCGGATCGATGCTCGAGTTCTGCGCCTGTTCGGCCGGCAGGGCGAGGGCGAGGGCCGTGGAGGGGAGGAGCAGCGTGAGGAGGAGAGATGGGCACTGTTCATGCGTTTTTGTTGTCAGCTTTTTTTTTTTTTTTTTCTTCTATTGCGTTTGGATTTATTGCTTTCGGGAGAGGGCATGTGGAATGTGTTGATTGTTTACCTTCATGTTGGATTATGGATGTGGGATGAATGTATGTATGTATGTGTGTATGCCTCGTATGATGTGGGTGATCAAGGCACATCCAAAGGACAAACAATAGGCAAGATCTTCGCGCTTTCGCACACCCGTCGCACCTCGGGATCGACAATGATGTAGCTAGCAATTAAGTAGCAAAAGACGATGATGATATGGCAGGTCAATTAAAAGGAACAAAAAAAAAAAAGAGGAAATCCGGGGAGGCGACCTCATCGCCCCCTTTTTATGCAAGCACTCAGATTGGCCACCTCTTCCCAAAAAAAAAAACACGCCCTGTTTGCAGCACCACTCACTCTCACATACACGAATCCGTAACCAAAGTCTCATTCTCAAGTCAAATTTTCTGCCGAGGTTCTTTTTTCTCAATTTCTTTCTTTGCCTTTCCATTATCAGCATGTATTTAAAAACTCTCTCTTTTTTTTTTTTGGAGGTAAAAGGAAAAAAGAATGTCTCAGAACGCCACCGCCTCCAATCAACCCCCTTTTCTCGGGACCATGGCCTTCTTGTCGTGAAATGTTGGACAAAGGCTTGGGGCCTGGCTCAGCTGAACAAGTCTTTCTCACACGTACTAATACTAGTCTTCTTCTTCTCATTCCTAGAATCATACTTGCATCACAGAAGAAGAGGGCGACAAGTTACATACGCATGATACTAGGCAGAAAGCATAGATCACGATGAGAGACACATCCAAAAAAGAAAAAGCGGACAACACAAGCGAGGAAAAAAGAAAGAAAAAAAAAAGCCCAATGCAAGGGAGAGAGATATCGCTAACTCAAACCGGTCACGCCCGCCTCTTTTTTCCCCAAATTTCATCTCGTTCTCATCATGTCATGTCCCAGTAAAAGTAAAAAATATGGTCTTTTCTTTTTCGTTCTAGATGCTGCACAGAGTAACACGAGGTGAAAAAAGGTAGACAATGTCTTGGAAGTCGGAGGTGACCGGCACCCCCCCATCCCCATCCACGGTGCAGCACATAGTCAGTCATCACAGCCCTTTTTACTTGGCCATTCCCGGAAGACGGTGATACCGACAAGAGGGAGACGAGATGCGTCTGTCAGTGTCTGTGCAGAGTGCGGAATGCCTTGGGGAGCTGCAGATATAGAAGCTCATAAGGCTGGATACTATTACACGCGGGTAGCAAAGAACACAGATGACAAGACAAACGCGGCCATCCGCTCACAGCTTCAAACACTTTCTCCTACTAGATAACCTCTAGCTACGGAGCATGTGAGAATCGCCAAAACAAAGCCTCATCGCAGACGAAGTAGTAAAGCTCCCCCAACACCATCAAGTCTTGAATCAAAGTCTATAAATATCACCTAAACCACCCCCATCATCCCTCGTACCAACCCTTGCTAAAAATAAATCCCACCCCCGGCCTCACACCACATCTCAATCACCCTCCCCAATACTACTACATACTACGACCCATCAAGTCGTGATACTAGTAGTACAGTAGTAAGCTCAAAAGGTGGTGGTGATTCAGGCGAGAGAAGAGCAACGTGGGAAATCAGCGGGCAAACCAAGAGCAAAGAATTCCAGACTCCCATCTCGCGTAGCCCATGTCTGACTTCAGCTTTCTCGCAAAAACTCCTCGTTACTAGTACTAGTACTAGTATTACCAGTCACTTGCCATCCCTTCAAGCCGAGCTCGACTCCCTTGTATGCCCCCAACACCAAGTCCGCAAAAGAACCTCCGGGCGTCCTTTCTCCCATGGCTCGACTCGTCGTCCGCCGCGCCGATAACTCCTCGTACTAGTCTCACGATGCAGCTTCATCGCCTAAAAGTCCCTGTGACACTAGCCTCATGGAAGCAAGCACATTCCGCCCAAAGGTTGACTGTAACATTTCCTTCATTCATGCTGACACGCTAAAGCTATCGAGAAGAAACAAAACTGGACGAGTCCCCATGCCATCCTCACATCCATCGTCAACAGAGTGCTCATAGCCGCCTTTGCAAATGGAGCAACCGACAATTCACACGTAAAGTACCCCCTCCATACCAAGCACCAGAAAAAGAAGATAGTCGTCAAATGGATCTGAGACGATGAAATGAACATGTAGATCCTTTCATCTGCAGTAAGTTGCAAAGCCCATATTCAACCATCCGAGACCCTCAAAGTAGAAAAGAAAAGAAAAGAACAGATGATGGGCTCCCAAAATGCAATCAAAGCCGCCAAATTCATAAACAAACTCGCAGATTCTGTGTAGCTCGTCCATATGTTTTCCACATCTAGTGTCCTCGTTATGTCATAAGTGCCATGTTGGCGAACAAAGGAGAGGAAGAAGTAGAAGAGTAAAGAGATTCGTCAATCAATAAATAGACGTGATAGAAGAACAAAGTTATGGAAAAAAGAAAAAGAAAAAAGAGGTATCGTCGCGTCAAAGAACAAGCAGATAATTCAATGACATCGATCAAAGAGCATCCTCCCACCCAGCGTCAACCTCCACAGTCGTCCCCAGAGCAGCTCTGCCCTGTCGAATCATGTCTTGCAGCTGCTTATTGAAAGCCGCCATGCGCTTGTCGGTATCGTCCTCTTCCATCTGGCGACGAGCGGCCAGCTGCCTCGCCTCGGCATCCAGCCGCGGGCTCGCATCAATCTCAGTGGCTCTGCTGGTGGCTACGGAGGCCACGCTGTCGCGCCGGCGGCGTCCGGACAGGGGCGACGGCTCGGCAACCGCCGGCGCAATGGTGTGTCGGCGTCTCTTGCCCTGGTCAAAGGTGGAGAGCGCGGCCGACGATGCGACAACGGCCGAGGAGTTGGCCTTGACGGGGATCCTGCTCTTCGCCGGCGACGGCTTGGGAGGAGCGCTCACGGCCGCCGGGGCTTTGAAGGAAGCAAAGGAGGCTGCCGAAGCCGGCTGCTGGGTTCGGAACAGGCTGGCGGCATCCGCCAACCGACTGCCCGGACGGCTCGCGGCGCGACTGGCTGGGCGCAGGGGAGCAGGGCTCGAGGTGGTGGGGGGCGTCGCGAAGCTGCTGGGAGGGCCCATGCGGTGGTCCTCTGCCAGGGGCGTCTGCTGCGCGCGATGGCGAGGCGACACGCGAGACGAGGTGGACAACTTCCGCGGCGTCGTCATCTCCGGCTCGCGACTGGGCTCCTGGATCATGACCCAGCTCTGGCCCAGCTCGCTGCCGCTCTCGGTGTGTCTGCGCTTCTTGGATGCCGGGCCGGTGGGCGTGGACGTGCGGCTGTCAAACGAAGAGTCGTAGTTGCTGCTGTTGCTGTAGTGGTTCCGCCTGGGGAGCTGGTCCTGCGCATGCCGTGACCTGTCTCCTCGGCGTTGCTGGTGGTGATGGTGATGCCGTCTGGGCTGCTGCAACGGCGGCTGCTGATTGAGATGACGATATTGCTGCTCCTGCTGGTCGCTGCCTTGAAAGTAAAACGTCTGATCCCCGCTGGACCCCGTCTCGTCGACGCTGACACCCGCAGTCGTCACCTTATACGATGCACCGCCTCCTGCATAAAAGCCCTTGAAAGCGCCGGCCTTGCAAAACTCCCACACGCGCCCAACGACATCGCCAATGGTGGACAGGGAAAACGTCCCCCAGATGCCCGATTGTGAAGACTGTGAAGGCTCGGGCTGGCTGAAGAGCGGCGTCGGCCCGCCGGAGCTGTCGTCCAAGTCCTCGCGCGATCGCTTGGTGCCGAGGGCCCGCCTGTAGTCGGAGTCGGAGTACATGCTCTCGCCCATAGCGGTATCAGCATCGCCATCACCGTCCCCGTCGACATCTTCAGAGTACCCGCCGATGACGGGCGTGTGAAGCTGGCCGGCCAGCGCATAGGTCCTCGACCTCGCCGCAGCGGCACCACCAGCAGCAGCCGGGCCGCTCTCCATGTAGACGTCGTGGAAGAAGCTGCCGGTCTGGACGCGCGGGACGCTGCTGCGGCTCCATTTGCGCTTGGATGACTCGGCGGCAAGGGTCGACGACGGGAGGTAGTCGGTGCTGGAGCTGGGCGAGGCGGGCGGGCGAAACAAGCCGGGATGGACGCCGTCGTGGAACGTGCCGGACATGTGGAAGTGCGAAGGGAATGTCATGTCGGGGCTGACCCGAGCTGAGCTGAGCTGCGTCTTGTTCGGCTTCTGTCTAGGTATGTATTTGTCTCCGTCTCTTCGTACTAATTGCTGGTCGGTCTCTGTCTCTGTCTCTGTCTCTGTCGGGTGTCTCGGTGTCTGGCTCGGGATCGGAATCGCTGTCGGCCTCGCTGTGGCCTTCTTTTGGGCGCTGCTGTGGAATGAATGGCTGCTGGAATCTGCTGCCTCGGTGTCGCCGGCCAATGATTCACCACGAGCACTGGCTCAACTCGAGACGCCCCGAGTCTAGCTGAGCCGAGCCGAGCTGCAGCAACGAAAAAAACAAGAAAAAGAAGGAAAAGAAGGAAACAGGCAGACAGGCGGCGAGTGAATGGGATGTGGGCGGTGCCCTGCTGACGCGCCGCTGCTTTCTCAGGTAGGTAGTAGTCCTGCAACGTAACCAAACGATGGTGGTGCCCTCCAACTTTCTCTCCTTGTCTCTCTGGCCTCTCTCTCTCTCTCTCTCTCTCTCTCTCTCTCTCTCTCTCTCTCTTTGCTTGGCCAAGGGGCACGTTTCTGCCCTCTCGACTCACGGTGCTTGTGCTGCCTACCAAGTGGCCACCCCAAGTGAAAAAGTGTGTCTTGCAGGTTTTCCCTTGTTCCTTGTTCCCTGCTCACCGGCGACTCGCTCGCTAGGTATTCCTTATCGCCTCCGCCTCGTGACCGACCCTGTCGCAAAGATGGCTGCCTTTTTTTTGTTTTTGCCCTTTCGTCACACACCCTCTTTTTAATTAACGTCGACTTGTCTTGTTCCGCTGCTGCGCCTTGGAATGGCGGAGGTGGAGCGTCTCTCTTTCGATAATCGGCTGGGGAGGGACAATGAGGTGAGGAGAAAGTAATGAGTAGGAGTAGTAGTTAATAGGTAGGTAGTGGTAGGAATGAGGCCTCGGAAGACGCAAATCGCCAGAATCGAGGTGGATGATCGGTGAGGCTGGTCCGTCCCGATGCAGCTTGCAGACCCGCCAAGGTAGGTACAGACAGGTACCTGTAAGCTGCCCGATAGCTGCCCTGCCCGTAGCTGTGCCTGTACTGTAGTACAGAAGGTACCTATGAAAGTACACAGCAGCAGCAGCAGTCTCGTCGCAATATGACAGAATCAACAGCCCAAGTTCCTGCAGATGCAGAAAATGAAACAACAAGAGAGGAATCCAACCCGTGATATATAGCCCTGCACGTCAAGCAAAAAAATAATCACCGAATTTGCTTGCTCCTCTTTCAAAGGCGTTTCCCCTCAATTGTCTTGAGAATCCCGGCAAGTACGTGCAAGTTGCAGCAGCGGTGAGCAGAAGCAGTCAAAACACCACACACACACAGAGACAGACAGACAGACAGACAGACAGACAGACACTCGGACGGCTAATCTGGGACGCCCGACAACTCCAAAGTGGGTGCTTTTGTTGCTTTGCTTTGCATTCAAGGCCTGCCTGCCCCGTCTCTGTCCTTCCCAGCCTCCGCAGTTTTCTGCTCCCTCTTCCTGGTAAGCCCTGGTCGCTATTATGCATTGATTGACCTGACCAGCCTCTGATGAGAAGGCCCGGCTATCAGGTAACAGACATCCATGCAAGAGTACGAGTAATACAGACAACTCTGTAATTGACGCAGACACACAACATCACAGCTACACATCACAGCTAAACATCACACATCACACACCACACACACACACACAAAGTAGCACATCTAGAGCAGCTCTAGCTTGCCTCTCCAGACTGTGCATGTGCAGAACCATCAACCACCCCAGCGGAAAGCAATCCGGTTCGCCTCGACGCTCCCCCTCTAGGTAAAAGGTATGGAGTCCTTCTGGCGGAGAAAATCGGGCGTTGCTTTCTGCTTCCCCCCACAAGCGCACATACTTACATACTCGTATGCACTGGACCCGAGCCGCCGCCGCCGCCGTTGTTGGGGTCACCAGGCACCACCAAAAGCCCGCTATGTGTTGCCAGGGGCAATCACGAGGTGCTTTTGCAGTGACTGTATCTGTATCAATCAAGACGGTGCTGGTGTTGGCAGTGACAACACTGACAACTCGTCAAACACCACAAATAGACAATGTATATATGACTCTCTATGATTCCGATCCCGAATGTGAATTCGCCCAACCTTCTTTATACACGCCCACAGAAGAACAGTAAAGCAAGCAGTAGAAAAACCCTGACACAAAAGCATCGCACATCACCCCCGATTGTAGTACTCCTCCTGCCCGCGGCTCGTCTCCGCAGAAACACCCCCCTCGGTGCCCTTTTCGCCGTGAACATGCTCCTTGTTCTGCCAAAAGGCATCCCTCTCCCGCAGCAGCTCCTCTGCCCACTCCCTCATCTCCGGCAGAGTCACCTTCCTGGCAACGTACGCAAACTCGCCCAGGTCCACCAGTCCCTTGCCCTGCTTTTCGTACTCAACCATCTGCAGCATCAGCTCAATCTTGTCCACGTCGTGCACAAAGTGGCTGTCCAGCGTCTCCGAGTCCTCGTACTCCTGCCATATCGCCCTGATCTGCGCACCCACATCGCCCCCCGCAACGCCGCGCAGCAGGTTCTTGGTCAAAAAGTCCATCGTTTCCGCCTCGCGCCGGTTCTTCTCCGTCTTGGGGACGCCGTCAACGGGTGTAATGTCGCCGACCAGGAGCTCGGCCATGTCGTGGATCAGCGCCATCCGCATGCACTTTGCGAGATCCAGCTTCTTGGCCAGCGCAGGCGGCGCAAACATGGTGATGAGGGACATGCGGTACATGTGATCTGAAATCGACTCGCCCCTACAGTTGACAAGAAAACAAAACCCAGTTAGCCTTGATGTCCCAGCAACCGCTATTGTTGTGACCTCGGCCAAACTCACCTCTCGATTCCAAACCGCCGCCATCCCTCGCGCTTCGTAGTCTTGAGCCGCGAAAGCATGTGGAAAAAGGGAATCGGAGAGCTTGACCCCTCGACGGGCGTCTGGTCGGGGATCTGCTCCAGCACCTTCTTGACGGACCATTCCCCCGACAGCTTCACGGCCGGTGCAAAGCCAAGATCTGCATCGCCCGTCAGCTACAGTCGTTATTTTGGAGGTGTAGGAAGCATAAGGGTTCGAAACGCACTGGCAACGACTTCGGAGGATTTCGCGCCATTGGGCGTGTCTGGTCGTGATCCCATGACGAAGATTGTTGTGTGTTTGTTGTTTTCTATGATCTATCGTCGTTTCTCGCTCGCTGACGGGGTTCCAAGTTGTTCGTTTGTTATCGGCAATCTTTTTGTCGCGGGGCTCGTGGCGACAGAGCGGGACGAGGCTCGGGAACAGAAATGCGCTGACGGAGGAGGGATTGCACAGGAACAAGGAAAACAGGACGAGAAGAATGTTCGTCTCGTTCAGAGTAGAAGCTGATGTATGTTGGAGATGAAGAAAAGAGAGTCAGAGGGAGAGAATGGGAGGATAAACACAGAATCAGAATCAGGTATCTGCATCGCATCCGGCCGGAAGCCGCCGCCCTCAAGCTCTTGCCCACCGGAGGCCGTCAGGCCAAAGTGGGCCCAACTATCGATTGGGCACGGCTTAGCGGACTGGTGCTCTAAAGCTCAGCAGCAACAACAGTTGTAACAACAACAGCAACAACAACAATAACAGTAAGATGATAAGGTACCTACCTACTCGAGGAGGATATAAGGTAGACAAGGCATTACCTTGCAAGATGTCATTTCTCGCGAAGCAGAGGTAAAATCTCAGTGTCACTGTAAACTATTGCATTCACTGGCGCTACCTGACGGCTATCTCTCGACAAAAACACTACTGGAACCAAACTACAAACACCTAGAAGATGAAGAGCATCGCGAACCAAACACCACCAATGCCTTCAACATCTTGCACTTTAGACACGCCAAGCATTCCGTCTTCTCCAAGAACCAGAGAGCTTCAACGCAAGAAACCCTAGACAAAACAAAACTGTATAAAGCGCCAACTCCAGTCGATCCGAGACAACATGGCTCTAACCATAGTGACCACCAGAAGAGACCCAATAGGACGACTCTGAAAGCCATCGATACCTACTCTCCGAGAAACAACTTCCGATATGCACAAGTCTAAAGACCACCGGGCAATTACCCAAGTCCTGACTTCACACGTCTCAGTCCGTCTCCGAGTTGGTGTGCTCTGAAACCCGGTGTAATCTCAGCAATAATCTTGGCGTCCTGGGACGAGGATTCGGCGCCTCCCATGGCCGTGCCTTTGCCTTCTCAGAGAGTCGGTGATTTCTCTCAGACTCGGTTTCAGGTGTCGTCGCCCGTGTGGTATCGGTGTGCGGAGGTGAGCCCTCATCCGAGTAGCCTGTCTTCTCCGTCGAGCCGGCTGTAGTCTCATGGAGGGATGGCGACTGCTTCCGGATCCTGATAAAGGGCTCAGACTTGTCCGTCAAAGGGGATGAAAGCTTTTCCTCCGAGGACGATGCTAGGTCCTCTCCTGAGGATGCTGTACTCATGTCCTCGTTTGTAAAAGATGCAACTTCCACCTCCATGGAAAGATCAATGTCATCGTTTGCGGATATCAGGCTCATGTTCTCCTCCGTGGCGAGCGTTGGAGTTCTCTCGCTCCCGTCCGTCAACGACAGCAGCCGACTGTGCGATCGAGCATGGTACTTGTCGCTTCTCTATGGCTCCACTACCAAGCGCCTTGCAGGCCGGTTCTCTGAAGCCTTGGACATCTCAGACAAGCGCAGGTCAGGCCTCGATCCCCGTGCTGGAGATGAAGGAGACAGGAACGGCTGCGGCGGGGGCGTACGTGGTGCACCCAGGAGCTCTCGTACCTCTGCCGGTATAAAGACTTGTGGCAGTGGCTGAATGATGGGCGTCTCTGGCGGCACAAACACCTGCTGGGCGCCTGGGGGCTCCAGCGGCATGAACAGCTGTGGTGATGCCATTGCCTGTTCAGTCAAGAAGAATGCCGGGAGTGATGCTTGCGTCGGAAGCGGTGCCACAACCGGCGCTGTCTGTTGAGACCGGTATTCGCCTTTCTCCATGGCCACAACGTCCTGGTCGGCAACGGCGCGATAGTCCCTCCAGAGCGAGCGGCAACTTTTGAACGCCAGCCGGACGCCGCGATCGACATAGTAGCATGTTCCCGTCACGACGAACGGGAGGACGAGGACGAGCGCAATGACGGCGACGAGGATCACAGCGATCACGACACCCTCGTTTTGGCTATGATTTGCAATGTTAGCTCTCCAAGAGCGCGACTGAGAGACGAGGCAAGAAGCTTACGCCGCAAGCCACTCAAAGGGGCCCATGGTGCCGTCGTATCGTCGGTGTCTTGGGAAAGGAAAAGTCAGTTTGGCAATGATCCGACTGAAGAAATCTGTGTAAAGCTATCACTTACGGACGGTTGTGGTCTAAAGTATGATGTTATGCGGAGAGTAAGAGAAGAGGAAGCTCGAGGCCCAGCGTGTTTGTGTATTTGTTGAGAGGACAAGACTTGGATCGCAGCTTCTGTGGGAGGAGGCCAGCACTGCGACCTTTATAGGCTGGCGGCTTCTCCTTTGAGACGGACAGTTGAGGCTTGGGCAATAAGCTTTCAAGAGTGTAGGTTTGAGGCTGCCAAGCTTATACAGGCTCTGCAAGTCTCCGGGTTGAAAGAGTTAGAGGCTTTCTCTGGCGTTGTTTGCAACTCTTGAGCCTCACTTCTTTCCCAGAACCTCGGAAGGGTAGGTATAAGTGAGGCAAGGCAATATGACTCAAAGCATACCCAGGTAGGTAGGTAGACACCCTCACAGGTCAAGGTCGTTGAACAGCTGTAGGTACCTACCTAGTCCTGCAGCATCAAGATACCTACACCAAATGAGCTTCTCTACCTTGACCAATGCATTCCTCATCGTACCTAAAGAGAGCACGCTTCTATTCCTGTAAAGAGCCATCCTCATTCGCCAAAATCCCCCAAGAGCTTCTCCGTTGCAGCATAGGTAGTCTTCCTAAGCAAGCAAGTTCAAGCCCTCACCTCCAAATCTCCCTCCGAAACCCCTCCGTCAACCTCTCATCCTCGCCATACTCCTCCTGCCAGCCCGTAAACCCCCTCTCCAGCAAAACCACCTCCTGCTTCTCCGCCAGCGGCGCCTCCCCCAGCGCGGCCAGCAGCCCGTCCCTCTCGCGGAGGTACTTGAGCGCCGCAAGGGGTCCCCGCTGCTGGCTCAGCGCGCAGTGGAAGACGACCGTCTTCTTGTCCTTGAGCTTGCGGATGAGCGTCGGCATGAGCGCGTCGAGCTGGTTGCAGGGGATGTTTGTTGAGCCCTTGATGTGGCCGCCTATGTAGTCTGTTTATAAGGTATCTACTGTTAGCATTGATGTGAAGGGTATCTCGGGGACAGATTTGAATTCCGATGTCTCCGGTAATGGGTGACCATCTCCAACAACACAGGTGAAAGTGAAAGTGAAAGTGAAAGTGAAAGTGAAAGCGGAAGTGAAAGTGTAAAAGTGTACAGCGTGACAGAGAAAAGAGAGCTGGACACAACTCACCGACATCCCGCACATCAATCACCGCAAAACTCGGTTCCGCCTGCTCCGCCTCGGCAAGAATCTTCTCAGAGAGCGCCTTTGCAGACACTCTCTTGAGCGACGCAATAGTCAAAGCCGGCATCTTGATGCTCCTCGGGGTGGTAAAGCCTCTCGTCGTTTGTGAAAGGATATGGAACGGGCGCATACGCTTTACGCCTCTTAAAATCCCGCTTAAAGGAGGAAATAAGAAAAGAGTTGACTGCTTTCTTTGAGAATGAAAAGAATGAAAACAGAGTCTATAAAGAAATGATTGAGCTGCTTGCAAAGTTGCCGAGTGAAAAGTTTCAATGCCGTGGGAAGAAGTCGAGATCGATGTATGATTGATAGCAGATTTATACGCAGAAGCCTAACCCGAACCTAATAAAGCCAACAAGCCGCGACATATAAAAAAGCCTTGTCCAAGCCGTGCGAAATTTGTCCTACTACTACTACTAAAAAGAAGAGCGAAAAGGAAAGGAAAAGAAGGGCAGACGTGGCGCTCAGTGGGGGCCGTACGTCCAATCGCAGATCGCCAGGTTGACGGATTTGTCGTTGCTATTTTTTGAGGGCATTCGCGCTGCTTGTCAACCTGACGACGACGACGCAGTGTCACCAGGTACGGTTGGGTCAAGGTACAAAACAAATGGTTATCGTTAAATTGGGCGGAAATGGGCGGGCGAGAGAGAGAGAGAGGGATATGTAAGAATAGATCCAGATATATTGCGACTCTTTACTCCAGGGTATTTCTCTGCTTCAAACCCCCCCTTCTACTGCGTTCCCTTGCAGCTATATAGAACAAAATAATGGTATAGCAATACAGAATCGAGGAGGAAAAAAAAAGTAAAAAGAGCAAAGTGAAGGGAGGACAGCAGCATTTCATGATGCAGTGGACAGCTGCAGTTGGGCACTTGAAAGCAGAGTACAGAGAAAACAGGAGCAGTCAGGCAGCCTGCAACAAAACAGAAACTTAATACGCCCTCGTACGCCCTCGTACGCCCTCGTACGCCCCCCAAAAAACTCCAACATGAATCCATTTCATGCCTTACCAACCCACCCTGCGTTGCTGAAAAAGTCAAATAGTCTAGCACCCTTTTGCGAGTCGAGGCGGCATATCTCCTTGGCCTGCTTCTTCTTGAGCGTGCCGTTGCCCTTGATGGCCTCCTTGATGATCTGCTCCTTGATCATCAGGTACGGCTTGGGCTGCAGCCGCAGCACCTCGCACAGCTTCGCCTCCTCCGGCGTGAGGAGGTGGTAGTCGGGCGCGTTCTCCTGCGTCAACTGCAAAGGCGGCACGCCCGAGATGGGCTGTGGAACATACTTTTGCTTGGCTGGACTGTGGCCATTGACGCCATTGGCCTGGCCATTTGTCAATGCCTTGCCGTCTTCTCCGTTGGCCTCTCCATTAGCCTGAGCTGAGCGGATGGGCAGCTCAGGGGCGACGAGAAGAGACGCTCCACTTGGAGGCTCCGGGGGAGGCTGCGCCTTTGAACGCTGGCTGGATGCCAGTCGCTCTCTGTCCATGGATCCCATGGGTATAGCTTTCTGTATCCGGGCTGCCTTCTCCGCTTCGTACTTTTCACCGCTCCGTAGGTCTCCAATCTTCATGCTGCGCCATTCTTGCAGCTGGGCGATTGCCTGCCTGAGATTCAGCTCGTCTTGTAAGCCCTGCGTAAAGTCTTCGAAATCCTTGTGGTTCATGATGCGAGCAAACGGCTTCGCCCTCTGCAGCAGGTCTCTCTCTTCCTTGGTCTTCCTCTTCTCCTGCTTGGTGTTTTCCCGGTAATCGAGCAGGTTGTGCTCAAAGATGACCTTTTTACGCTCTACACGCTGCGTCAGCCTGCAGTTGTAGATTTCCATGACTGTCAGTTTCAGCTCCATCTCGGGCTCGAGCTCTCCCGTCTTGGGGTTGATGCCATCGCCAGGATCAAACTGCATGAGCTGCACCGCCTCTTCAGCCTCGTTGGCATACTCCGTCTCAAACTCAAGACGACCAGGCATGTAGCCCTGGATCTCGTGACAGCTGGGCACACTAGCCGTTGGCTTGGTCTTGGGCTGCAGAGCTGGCGCATTCTTGGATGCCTCCCTACGTTCCTCGATGCGCCGCTTCTTGCGAGCCTGAAACTCTTCTCGTGGGATCTCGTTGGCGAGCTCGTTGTTGTGGGGGCTGCATCTCTCGGGCAGCGGGAAGTTGGGCGATTCGATGTAAGTCTTGAGGTAGTGGTCGCGCACCTCGTCCTTTTCGCGGAAGCCTCCGATGTGGTCGGCAATGTCCGCCCACGAGCCCAGCCCGTAGATCTCGGCGCCCTCCAGCAGCAGCAGCTCCTCGTCGGCGCCCCATTCGCGGTCGAAGATGGGGAACGAGTTCTGCTCAATGACCCGGAAGGCGTGCGTCGCGGGATCGTGGGCGTTGCGAGACTCGCCCTTGCCGAAGCAGGGCACGCAGAGGTCGAAGTCGGAGCATGCAGGGTCGGCGCATCGAATGCGGACCTTTGGGGAGGGGAGGGGGGCACATGTCAGCCTCGGCGCCCGGGACCAATGACACGAGGAGCGGGCACCAACGCCCAATTGGCGCTGCAGATGCATGGTGAATCACTTACCGTCGATGTAATGTCGCACGAGCAGACGTCGCATACGTACTTGACGCCGCCTTCGCCGCCCCTCGTCGCCGTCTTCTTGCGGATGACGCCCATCTCGGTCGTCGCAGCACCACGGCGTCTGGCGCGATGCCTGCCCGCCTAGGATTGGTGGAGCGGGCCGGAAAAACAGCGGCAGCCGTTGGGGGAGCAGCAGGCGAGGTAGAGCGTCGAAAAGGGAGTCTGGAGAAAGCGCGCGTTCAGGAGAGGAGAGTGACGGGAACTGTTTGATGGATTTCGCAGCGTTGCGGCGGCGGCTGATGGAAGTCGAGGGCAGCGATCGCGGGCGGAGGATGATGGGATGTCGCGATCCGGTGGAGCCGTCTGTTGATGGCCCGTGAAGTTCGCTGGAGCTTGCGCCGATAAGGCAGAGGCGGGCGAGGCAGGTGGGTGGGACGTTGTATATCACGTGAGAGGTCACATGATAATGATGATAGACCAGCTCTTGCAGCTCTTGGAGGGGAACTTGACAGCTGGAAACTACCTTATGTACCTATAATAGAGCTCAGTTCCTGTTCGCGCCAAATAGTTGGTGCCTAGGTACTCTGAAGAATGTGTGCCAAATTGAGAACCATCTTGGTTGTGTTTGATGCTCAATTTACAAGATACCGTTGACCTGCAACTTGCAGGACGTTAAACTGACAGCTCATTGTAATCACCCAGCATCTCAAGCATGTGAAATCCCCCATGTGATGCCTCCAAAGGAACTGGTCAGAAATGGCGCATCACCTCATTGAGTAACCCAGACTCGATCCAACGTGCTGTAAACCGCCGTTGATGCGTCCTAAGCGAGACGATAAGAAGCCAAGGCAACCGTTTCCAATTACCCCAAGCTGTCACTTTCAAGCAAAGAGCACTGGAAGGAATCGTCAACAGACCCTCCTCTGTTGGCGCGCTTATAACCCCGAGACCCGCTCTGCTCCGTACAAACTCGGCCCTTTCAAAGGCGGCCCAGCATTGAATTGACGTCAAACGGGAATTAGCCCGAGTTTTGGTCCTGGATGGGAACCCCCCCGACATGATCCTCCGGCTTTAGCCTCAGCTTTAATATTCTCCGAGAAGAACGACATACAGTAGACCTTTAATCCCTCTGATGATTTTTCCCTTCTTTCACAAAAACATACTCGTCTGATAATTTCCCCGCAAAACCGTCTTTGACTGTCTGGGAAGCACCAGGATAATTCCCTACCATGCCTGACAAGATCCTCGATGACATCTCCCACCGGAGGTACAACCCACTCACAGACAGCTGGCTGCTCGTCTCGCCTCACCGAACGAAGCGGCCCTGGCAGTAAGTAGACCACGATGACTGCTTGCGACCTCTTGACTTGCGCTCTCATGTACTGAGTCTTGGTTGCTTGACAGGGGCCAGCAAGAGGGTGCTGCTGTGACGACGCTGCCCGAGTACGACCCCAAGGTACGCAGCTTCATGCAGCTTCAAGCTCTACCTGGCCTGGCTGGCAGCATCTAACAACTCAACACAGTGCTACCTCTGCCCCGGCAACTCTCGCGCTGCCGGCGACCAGAACCCCAACTATGAGCAGACGTTTGCCTTTGTAAACGACTACAGCGCCGTCAAGGAGCAGCAGCCCGACTACGAGGTCGACCAGTCGTCGGATGGTGAGTTGTTTGGTGCCGTTCGTCTAACTCCCCTTTTGTTGAGTTGCTAACCCAAGGGGTATGCAGACCTGGAGTCGCTTTTGCTGCGCGCTCAGGGCGTCAAGGGAGTGTGCTACGTCCTGACCTTCTCGCCCAAGCACAACGTCACCCTCGCCGACATGTCGGCCAAGGACATTCTCCCCACCATCAACCATTGGACCCGGCTCTACGCCAACCATCTGTCGCCGTCAAACCCGCTCTCGGCAGTGGCCGCTCAGCTCCAGCTGCCCATCTCCAAGGAAGAGGCCCCCGTTCCCAAGGACAACTACCGCTACATGCAAATATTTGAGAACAAGGGCGCGGCGATGGGCTGCTCTAACCCGCATCCTCACTGCCAGGCCTGGACGACGTCGACGATGCCCGAGGAGCCGGGCAAGGAGCTGGTGCAGATGGCCAAGTACCGCCAGCAGCACGGGCGTCATTTGCTTGCAGACTACATCAAGTTGGAGCTCGCCAAGGAAGAGCGCGTGGTCTGGCAGAACGACTCCTTTGTCGTGGTGTGCCCGTGGTGGGCCATCTGGCCATTCGAGGTCCTCGTCCTCCCCAAGCGACACGTCCGGGCCCTCGTCGACCTCACCGCCGATGAGCGGCTGCAGCTTGCAGAGGCCATCCAGGAGGTCACTCGGCGATACGACAACCTGTTTGAGTGCCACTTCCCATACAGCTCGGGCATCCACCAGGCTCCCCTGGACGGAACGCCGGAGGAAATCGAGAATGCCTACTTCCACATGCACTTTTACCCCCCGCTGCTGCGGTCCGCGACAGTCAAGAAGTTCCTCGTGGGGTTCGAGCTCATGGCGGAGCCACAGCGAGACATTACACCCGAGCAAGCAACGATTCGCCTGCGAGCGTGCGATGGGGAGCTCTACCGGAACAAGTTGAGCTAGACATCTCAGCCTGTATATAGAAACATACAAACATCTTTTCATCATGTGATTATTTTTCCAACCCAAACATTTATACATTTCAACGTTGTAACCTTGATCCCGCAATACCCAGCATATCTACTCAAACTCGACGTAGTGGCTCCGGACCAAGGGCATCCAGATGAGCGCCGTCGTAGCCAGCGTAAACGGAAAGATCTGAGGCAGGCCAAACGTCATGCTCTTGAACACAAACAGCTCGCTGGCAAAGTGGCCCAGCGCCACCACGTACGTCCAGATGGCAATGTTGTAGACAGGCCCCAGGTGCAAGTGGTACGCCGCGTAGCAGCGCACAATGCAGGTGATGAGCGTCCACGTCCCGAAGAGCCGGCCGGCGAGGGGCGTCAGCTGGTCCGTCGCCTTGGGGTCGTTCTGGGCGTGCACCAGCTTGTTGGGCGAGTCCTCGGGGTTGAACTTGGCCGAGGCCGGCGGCAGCTTGGGGTTTCGGATGAAGCGGCCGTTGTAGACGCGCCGCGAGAAGTGCAGCGTCGCGTAGGCCTGCAGGGAGTTGCCGATGGACACGACGGAGAGCTGGAGGGAGTTTGGGCATTCGTCAGCGATGGCGCGGGAGATTTTTGGGGCTTGCTTGACTTGTTCAACATACGATGAGCATGTAGTAGGGCAGAATGCCCTTGGCCGGGGGCAGAATCGACTTGAGGAGGTCCATGGCGGTTGAATTGGGGGCAATTGAGGAGATCTGAGCGGGAGGTTGAGAGAGCAGAGCTGTGTCAAGGCCGGACGGAGTTGGTCCTTGTTAGAGGTACCCGTACTACTAGGTAGTAATACCAGGTCCACGGTACCTGTGGTGGGCTGATATCGGTCTAGTACCTAGGTACAATTCATCTAGTAACCCAGCAGCAGTGGCCCCGGATGTATCGACAATTGTCTCTTCTATCATTTGTAGACCAATTGAGATGTGATTACCTAGTACTCAGAATCAATCACCTACCGGATAACATCACCTGTAAGCACACTATTCATTGTACTTCATCGAAGCCTCATGCCTTCGGGACCTCAACTGATTTACCTTTGGGCTAAGGCCGCCCACGGCTAACCGGGAGCTGCTGTGACTTTTCCATTGGCCAAGTGGCGTCGTTGAGCTCGCCCACTAAAGCGCAAGCTCCCGCCAAAATCTCCTCCCTCCTCCGTTCTTCCACCCTTACACCAGAGCAGAATCCCGCGCCATCATGGAGTCCATCACGAGCTTCCTCGACAAGGTGCCTCAGTCTGTGCAGCTGGCTCTGGCTGGAATCGGCGCTCTGTACTTGGGTTCCAAGTTCTTGAGCTATCTGCAGCTGATCTTGAGCTCGTTCCTGCTTCCCGGCACCAACGTAAGAAATGCCCCTCCTCACGCGTCTACAGTTCCAATTGAATCGGCAATTGCCCGTCGTGTTACTGACAGCAAGGCAGCTTCGAAAGTATGGAAAGCCCGGCACCTGGGCCGTTGTCACCGGTGCCTCCGATGGCCTCGGCAAGGAATATGCCACGCAGCTCGCCGCCAAGGGCTTCAACCTCGTCCTCGTTTCCCGAACCCAGGCGAAGCTCGATTCGCTTGCCAAGGAGCTTGAGCAGAAATTCACCGGCAAGGGTGGCGTGCAGATCAAGACGCTTGCCATGGACTTTGCCCAAGACAACGATGCCGACTACGAGAGACTGCGGGAGCTTGTCCAGGACCTGGACGTTGGCATCCTGATCAACAACGTCGGCCAGAGCCACAGCATCCCCGTGCCCTTCTTGGAGACGCCCAAGGAGGAGCTGCAGAACATTGTCACCATCAACTGCCTTGGAACATTAAAGGTCACGCAGGTCGTCGCGCCCATTCTCCAGAAGCGCAAGCGCGGCTTGATCCTGACCATGGGCTCGTTCGGTGGCTGGACTCCCACACCTTACCTGGCGACATACTCTGGCAGCAAGGCCTTCCTCCAGCAGTGGAGCAACGCCTTGGCTTCTGAGCTATCCGATTACAACGTTGATGTCTACCTGGTCCTCAGCCATCTCGTCACCACCGCCATGAGCAAGGTTCGCCGCACCAGCCTGCTTGTCCCCAACCCGCGTGGCTTCGTCAAGGCGGCGCTGGGCAAGGTTGGACTCGGCGGCTACCAGACTGCGCCCAACACATACACCCCGTGGTGGAGCCACGCGTTCATGCTGTGGGTGGTTGAGAATGTCGCGGGCGTCAACAGCCCCTTGACGATTTGGTACAACAAGAAGATGCACGTTGACATTCGCCGGCGTGCTCTCCGCAAGCAGGCCCGCGAGGCCAAGAAGCAGTAAAGGTTCAAGCCGGCATCGGGATTTGGTATCAAGGTCAACGGCTATTGCACTTGTAGTGCGGTGTAGCTGAGGGGAACGGGTTGGCACGGGAGCCTTGGTACGCTGGATGTAGAATAGCCAGGATCCCTGGGCTCAAGGACATAATACTACTTGCTTGTGCGTTAAGATAGAACATAGTCTCAAGTCGCTGGGTTTCACCCTTGTTGATTCGAAAATAGCCCACAGATGCTAGGTAAAGATGACCGGCGAGGATACCCGGGAAGTGAGCAGATGGTGAATCGTCATGGATTGAGTATATGTTTCGGACGTGTACAGGCTGATGAAGCGTTACTTATGAAGAAGGACGTCGACCTCAGGCAGTACGCGGCAATCTCGCATTTGACTTTGCAAACGTGAATCTACCAGGTAATACGCTCAAGAAGGTTGCAAAAGACCAGAGATTATCAGTATCAGTGTAAACAAAGAAACAAACAAGGAGCAACATTGTCGTGGCCTAAGAGGCATCATCATAGAGAATGGCTGGCTGGTGATATCACACAAACTACTTGATTACGTAACATTTCAAAGTCGCTCGGCCACCGCGCCAAGCCCGGATCCGGCCTAGCGCGCTTGCACGCCCAGGCACGAAAAATACAGAGCTGTACCAACCTCCCAGAGCAGTGCTACAAAATAAATCCAAACTCGATCAATCTTTTTGCTCTGGCCGCTCGCCCATCGCCATCGCCTCCTCCGCCCGCCCTCGACGCCGCCACTCAATTAGCGATCGCGGCAACGAGCTTCCGTTCCAGACGCGCAGCTCCCGCTTGCGCCCGCCTCAGCAGCACGCTCGGCTCGTCCTTGATGGTCTGAGCAGCGCGTTGCTCCCACTCCCCGGCTCTGGTTGACAAGGTCAAGGTCAAGGTCAAGGTCAAGGGCAACGTCACGATCCCACCGCCAACGGGCCTTGACGCAGCTTCTGCCACGGCACGACACGATCTCCTCGAGCTCTGCCCGCCATGTCGTTCCCTCCAGCTACGCCGCTGCGCCCAGTGCCGGGCGCATTTGTCAACACGCCGGCCGTCGTCTCGCGCTACCAGACCTCGTCGCACGACCCCGTCCGCCGGACGCTGTTCAGCTCTGAAGCCCAGAATCCTCAGACGGCTGTCGCCACGACGGCAGCTGCCCATGGCACGGTGGCGACGACAGCGTCGACTGCAGTGACGGCGGCGGCGTCCAACGCAGAGGGGGCAGGCCTGGCTTCGCTGACCCCGATGCCGCCCCCACGCGTCGAAAACATGCCGCCCGTCCTCAAGGCCGCAAAGGCCATCAACACCTTCTTGCAATCCGACGAGAACTTCCCCGACCTGGACTCCTACTGCAGACGTAAGTGCTCGAGGTGATTGATGACCGGGATTGGCCGACAGGATAGACTAACCAGCTTCATCCGTTGCTCAGAGGGAGCTTCGTCCGACTATGAGCTGCCAGGCGCCGACTCCGCCTGGGCTCCCTTCCAGAAGACCAACATGTACCCGATCCCGAACCAGGTCTTTGACCACTACAACTCTGGACAGCTCCAGACCCTCATGGGCCTCTTTGCTGAGATCAACCACGCCTGGGTGGTGATTGACAACTCGCTCTTCCTCTGGGACTATACCCACTCCGATCCCGAGCTCATTGGTTTCGAAGACCAGCCGCACACAATCCACGCTGTTGCGCTCGTGCCCCCGAAGCCTGGCATCTTCGTTAGCACAATCACACATATCCTGGTCGTCGCGACGTCATCCGAAATCATCCTGCTCGGCCTCTCTGCTGCGGATACCTCTGCTGGAACAAAGACGGTCACTCTGTATCAGACCAAGATGGTCCTGCCCACTCGCGGCAGCGACATTCGCGTCATCAGCGGCTCTGCCGATGGTCGCATCTTCTTTGGCGGGTGCAGCGATACCGACATCAACGAGCTTTACTACCAGTCGGAAGAGAAGTGGTTTTCGAGTCGGTGTGGTAAGGTCAACCATTCGAATCCGGGCTGGTCCTCCGTCGTGAGCTTGCAGGCTGGCTTGTGGCCTCAGAGGGATCCCGAGCACCTGGTGGACATTGTCATCGACGACACGAGGAAGCTGGTCTATACCCTCTCTAGCGCATCGACGATCCGAACATATCACATGGAGACTCCCGAGCGACTGAATAAGGTGATTGAGAAGACAAAGATCCACTGCCTTCGGGATATTGCGCACATGATTACACAGTCCAAGCTCTTGACCGATCGAACCAACATTGTGTCTATCAGCCCCATCTCGAAGCAAGAGGCTTCGAAGCTGCATCTCATGGCGCTGACGGACACTGGCTGCCGTCTCTTCTTCAGCGCCACCAACGCGTCTTCTTACCTATACGGCTCCCAGGCAAACCTGGCCCCTCAGAGCATGCAGGTCCAGTTCATCAAGTTTCCTCCTTCAGCAATTGCCCGGCGATCTACCCAGATTGGGCTGAACGGCCAGCCCTCGGGAGAGGCTGTGGTCGACCTCGACTCAACTATGCTGATATCCAGCAGGCAGGGCGCCCGATTCCCGCCCGGATTCTTCCTAGACTTTGTGACCAGGAAGGAGGACCCCAATTGCGACTCGCTGTTCGTGGCTGGTCCTGAGACTGGAAGAATCAAACGCGTCTCACCCAACACCCCCCTGAGATACTTTGAGCAAGCGAGCTGGATCGACATCGGCAGCCGAGCGGAGGCTGTTGGTTTGATAACGCAACCATTTGCG